ATCGTCGTCATCATGAATACACCTGATGAAGAAAACATATATATATATATATAGTTGTGATTATTATCCACGTGCTCAAAAATAAAACCTAACTCTAGCTACTTATCACACTACTGTCGCAATTAATATATAAATAAAATAAATATAAGTATATATATAAAGGGTTCACTATGTATAACCTTTGCATGGCTGCTGCATGTAATTGGATGGTTTGCTATTTTCTACAAGTTTTTGGTTTTTACTTTCCTCTATTCTTTTGGAATTTAGTTTTATTTTTTAATCTTGATTTTTTGTTTGGATAGTAATTTAGATGTAAGGTTTTTTTTTTTTTTTTAAATAAAAATAATGTATAATTGTAGGGAATTACAATACATGGTGAAAAAAATTGAAATTCCTTCAAAAGAACACATCCTTAAAATCTTTTTAATATTTTTTTCAACCATTTTGGTTCCTTGGTGTGCTTTTTTTTAAAGGTTTCAATATGTATATAGCTTTGAGAATAACAAAATTTTTAATGGAAATAATGTTTAATAATAATATTAATAAGCGTTTGGTGTGTTTTTAAGGAAAATTTGTTTTTTTTTTTTTTAAAAAATATAATATATTAAATGAAAACACATGTTTGATTTAATAGTTTGTTGTGAAATTTTTTTGATAAATAGTGTGAGATCAAAGTCATACATTGAAGAAACAAACCATAAATAGTGGCCAAGAAATATCAAACAACAAGGTTATGTCCCAAATAAGAATGTCAAGGTTGAACTTAGGTTTAGAATTTCCTGAGGCTAGAATAATAGCTAGGGTCAAGATTAATTGCACATCCATTTAACTATGTTACTTTTGCTTTCTTCAAAATATATCTCACTTGTTTTTTAAAATATCATATGGTCACTAATTTTATTTTTTCTCTTTTTTTTTTTTTTTTTCCTGAAATTTAGTTGGTTACTATAAATATGTTAGGGGTGAGATCTAAGATTTGCTTTTAATCTTTTAAAGCTTTGTATTTATACAAACATATAGTGAAAAACTTTGGATTGCTCCTATAACTTTTGCCAACTTGGATTTTCCACATAGATATTTTGTGTTCATTTGTGTTTAACTTGCATCATCTTAACTTAACTTTTGCTTCAAATGTTAACAATTGAGTACATGCATCAGACAAATATGGGTTAGCAAGTCAATCTTTTTTTTTTTTTTTTTTTTTTTTTGTGAAGAAGGTGATAGAATGTGAGTGTGTTAATATTGGTTGATTCATCACTTGGAAAGTATGATGAACGAATGAGTTGCACTTAGGAATATTTAAATAAATCGGTAATCAAACTACCCTCAAATTCGGCTTAACTCAATAGGAAAACTTATAAGCTAGGAGGAGATTGGGATCTAGATTAACTTATGACTAAAAAAGGATTTTAATTATGTTCTCAATGAAATTTTTATGCAAACTTGTGACATAAAAATCGATTGAATCTAATAATTATGAACATCACATTTAATTGCAAATCTATACCTAAGGTTCAATGTATAATTTACTCACGTTAGCCAACTCTTGTGGCTGCGAAGACTACTTGAAGGAATTGAAATAGAAACATATAATTATCAACGGTCAAAAGAAAAACTTATATTTTTTAAGTAATTTAACATCCAAATCTCAATGAAATAAGTTAAATAGTATTGATTACGAATTAATAATTTAATTTATTAATACCAAGATCCTCATACACATACACACACATATATATAAACCCCCCTAAGTTATAAATAGACTACTAACTAGCTCATGGAACCAAGTGAAAATTCATGAATAAAAAAAATGGTTTAGATATATCATCATAAGTTGAAAACTTGTACAAGTTTAGATTTAATATGAAAATGCTAAAAACAATATGAAACTTTGGTTGTCGATCGACACCAGTTTCAAAGACTCAAAACAATATTAAATCGACCGGTGATATTGAAGATCGAGAAAACAAGTAATAATATAGTGTACGCTGGCCCCGGCTTTATGATGATCTAGTATAATTTTATCTAAATCTTGAATAATTAAGCCTTATGATCATTTGGACAAGTTTTGAATTGGACTACAAGGTGCAAAATATCATGGAAGACTTAATATTTACACTTTCTTCGATATCCATTGAAGTTGACTTTCTAGAATATAAGTCGTAGTGTATCCACTAGCTAGAGATGACGTGGCTAGATCGAAGGCGAGTTTCTTATTTGGCGAGATCATGTAGTGACGGCAAGAAACTTATCGTTCATTTTCATCCTTTTTTTTTTTTATTCCCGATATTTAACTAATTTTCACAAAAGTTTCAATGAATCTATCCTTCACAGCTAGCTAGCACTGCACTAATTAATCACATCTTATATAAATTTAAATTCTGATAAATCATAGCCAATGAGGCAAAACCCTTTTTCTTGTACGGATGACAAGCTCATACACCATTCCTGCAATTTGCAAGCACACAGAGAGATATGCATTTCATTTTCCGGACGAAAAAGAAAGAGCATTGATTGAAAACCAGCACTTAATTAAAAGAGACAATATTTCCTTAATGTAAGAGTTTAAGGGTTAAACCATGCTTTTCCAATTAGAGCATTTAGGCTAATCTTAGCTAGACCACTGTTTTCACTCTTTCCTAATCAACTTTAAATCACTTAGCAATTTCTTCACTACATGACAAAACCCTAATGTCAATTTTCTACCTTGATGCATCACACCCTATATATAATCTTCATATAAGATGAAATTGTATGTATACATATATAGATATACAGGTGCCAATAAATTTATACTTACAACCATCGGCAATACAATGGGCGCCACTATGTGATTAATTTATCTTTAATTGTTGGATTCCCCATTAATTGCGGACCAAATTTTTTTCTTTTTTCACTTAGGGTGTGAGTTAAATGGACAAATGGGAAATTATAGTGGTCATTTGTTGTTTTCTTGAATTTACAATATGGTTGCTGATTTAGGTATTTTAAATTGATGGGGTGGGGTGGGGTGGGGTGGGGTCATAAGTACGTGTGAATTGAAGATCTCTACTACATATATATCCAGTTTTGGTAACAAAGAACACCACCATCTCCATTGTTATTTATATTTGATGCTCATATAAATTATATATGTTGACAGATGGAACGTTTCTTTACAAATATTTGATGGTTTGCTGCTGTTCCTGACAATGATGGCTCGATCGATGTAATGTGAAATAAATCTATTTTGTGAATTATGGAAATGCCAATTTTTTGTTAATGGGCTAATTCTAAGAGATGATTTAAATTGTGGATGCAATTATTGGAAAGATTTTATTGTTTGGTTATAAATCCTAAACTAATTTGGGCTGATTAAATTAATTACAAGGGTTTGGTTTCGAAATGGCAAACTGTCTATCAATTTATATATATTCTGGGCTTGATTAAATAACAGGGCTAATGTTTCTGTAAAACAATATATCCAATGTATTCATTTTTATTGATAACAGAAATGATGAGATATTCAAGAATGTTATTATATTAATGCTAATTATCTTGTGAGAGTTATGTTCATTTGCTTTCTCGATCTCCAATTGCGTTATACTATATACTCTTTTCGTCCCATTAAAAAGTTGTTATTTTTTATTTTCGTTCGTTCCAAAACAATGTTATTATTTTTTAATTTATTAATTGTACTACGTATTTAACATAATAAACATATTTCCAATTTACATTGTATTACATAAATGTTATACTTTTATATCACGTAATACTAATAGATATATTTTCGCTTTTTTCACTACAACCCATCGTAACACTAATATTTAAAAATCTACGTGCAAAAAGTAAACGACAACCTTGCACCTGGACGGGACAGAATATTTTTGTTGAATATTTGTTTATTTTAATTGAAGTCTTGGCACTTGAAGCTGCACTTAAACTTATATAGTAATTATAACTGATGATGAATAAAAATATATATATATATATATATATATATATGAAAAGACTCTGCATCGCACGGTTCCGCTAATTTGTTTAAAATTAAATTAAGGACCAATAGGAATTGAGCAAACCGAACTAACACTGAAGTTATATGCCAATGCACCCTATTTACGTAGCTGTTTTGTATATCTCAAATATTTGATTAAATTTTATATCTAAATAATATTTGAGATTTTTTTTTAATAAAACAAACTATATATATTTTTTCTAAAAAGAAAATTTTGAAATAATAAATTTTGAAAAATTAACCCTAAAAAAATATTTATTAGCACATCTTCCAAGATCCACCCTCAAGTAACTGTTAGTCTGTATTTATATTGGTAATTTGGACATTTTGTATACAATTCATCTAATTAATAAAAAAAAAATTTAAAGAAAATATCACATAACATTAAATGTTCTTTATTTTTATAAAATAAATAAAATTAAATATATATTTTTTTCTTGTTTTAATTTTTTTTAAAAAAATTCAAATATATATTTTTGAATTGAAAATAATAGATTTTAATTTTTATTTACATAATACACTATCGAAGAAAAAAAAAATACATAATTCAAAGAATAAAATTAAAATATAAAAAAAAAAACTTTGAAAAACATATGATCAGAACTTGTAAAATTTCTATTTAAATAACATAAATAAACCCCGGCCTTTGAAGCATTGGGGGCGGAGATATTTCATTATCGAAAATTGAATAAGATGTAAACCAAACAAGCCCAAAGTTTCTCAATTGTATGTTTAGCGCACGTGTAGAATACCTTTTTCGCTTTTAGATTTGGTCAAACAGCATCAGCAGCGTTGGGTAGGTCTGACTTTTGGTTAGAAAGTTAACCACAAATGATAAAAACGTGTCATCTTTTCATTGGATGTTCAAAACTAGAAAAAGCTCGATTAATACACTAATGCAAGACGTGTACACAAGACCGATTGTAATCACAATTTGTTTGTGTTCAACAAAAATAAAATAAAATAATTTAAACAAGATAATTATGCATATTATTTCTTTTAAAAAATAATATTGAAATTATTATATTAATTAATGCTGACAAAATACACCTAAGCAGTATCAACCAAATTAACACGTGCAAGCTGGCATTCCAATGTTTGGTTGCCGCCACGTAGCCAAAGAATAACATATATTTACACAATCGCCCCCAAATCAATCTTCACCTAATTGCAAATTCACCCCCAAAGATTTTACACTATTCTGTCTATTCACAGCATGAACCCGGACCCATCAGGCTGAATCGGGTACCGAATACGAAACGGGTCCAGCGATCCCGGAAACCACTGACCGTACCCACCGACGCATTCGGGTCGGCCCATGCGCTGAGGTCGGATCCCGCTCTGCACTTCTTCTTCCAGCCGATTCGAGGCAGGGGCATAACAGTCATTTCCACCGCCGGCATTACTCTCCGGCGACTGGAGCTGTCCGAATTCCGGCAACGAATTAGTATAAGCATCAGCCCCGGCGAGCGTAGGCCAATCGAAATTCCCAGAGCCCAAGTGCTGGAAATCCCCCAAACAATTCATCGCCGGCGCCGGAAGTTCGAAGGAACGGTCCCCAATTTCCGGCAACGACTCCAAAACGTCGTCGTATTGGGATGAAGACGACGGCGGCGACGACGAACCCATACTACACTCTCTGCTCTGCGCACCAGACATTAACAACGCCTTCTCTGCGCTCGAATTCTTTTTATAAATCCGACAAAGCACCCAATCATCCAACTGCACGAAAACAAAACAAAATCGAATCAAAAACAGGTCCAGTCCAATCAAGAAAATCAAGACAAGAATTTAAGGATAACTCTTACCCTAGAGGAGTCGGCATTGTTTCTGGGAGGGTGAGATTCGAAGAGCCTGTATTCGTGCATAATCCAGTTTGTTTTGGTCCCTTTAGGGGCTTTTCCGACGTAAAAAACGAGGGCCTTTTTAATGCCCACTTTCCTGCCTTGAGTGGTGACGACTTTATCAGTTCCGGTTGCCTTCCAGTATCCGGCGCCGGCGACTCTGTTTGGGCGCGACCCGTTTGGGTACTTCCTGTCTCTTGGACTGAAGAAATACCATTCTTTCTCTCCAAACACGGCCTTACCTACTCGAAACCATAAAAATCAACAAAATAGCAGAAAGATTTTTTCAAAAAAGGGCAAGTCAAGCAAGATTCGACTTACTGGGGAGATCCCAAGGATCAAACTTGTACAAATCGATATCTCCGATGATCTGCAAAGAGAAAGAATGGCCGGCGACTTTCCGGCAAAGGTACTGCACGAGAAGCTCCTCGTCGGTGGGGAAGAACCTGAATCCCGGCGGCAAACTCAATTGGGACAGAGGGTCGGTTTCTCGGACACCCATGATTTTTAATTTTGCTGGAAATTCCGATGGATCGAGGTGGAGGATCTGAGCATTTATAAAAATTCGAGGAGGTAAAGGTAGAGGATAAGTGCGAGGGTCGCTTTCCCGGTGGGGCCGAACGAATCAGGGCAGGGCAAGGCGAGATGTAGGAGGGGGTTGGGCGCCAACCATGATCGATCGGATCCGACGGTGGGAGATGGAGGTGCATGAACCAAGGTAAGACATCAGATGCAGATGTATATGTGGAGGTTAATGTAAAAATTGTGTAATGTAATTGGTGGGGAGGGACTTGGCAGGATGTGTGATTCACCTCCAAGCTGCCACGTGCCCTGCCTGTCCTGTTCTAGCATGTGTATGTATAATTAAGGTGAGTTTTGTCTCCATTCCGACCGTGGTATGATTATCCAATGCAATTTGGTATGCAAAATTGTATCAAATTTGTCTGTGATTTAATGGAATTGGATCAAATTTAATTTTTTATACTTTTAAAATTGTGTTAGATTCTTTTTTTAATCGTTTTTATTTAACAATATTTGACATGCACACACCTAAATTGCAAATGAGTTGAGAATTTTTATTTTTAAATTTTTGAAATTACAAATATATTTATTCTTCTTCTATTTAGCTTTAAAAAATAGTAAAAATATAATTGTTTTTCTCTCATTTGAAGAAGTTTTTTTTTTTTTTTTTTTTGTGTTTTTGGGTTGAATATATCTATGAAAGTTATATTTATAATTTAAGGGATTTAAAAATAGAGATTATGAAACTCATTTGCAGTTTGAACACGAGCAAGTCAAACACCACCAAATAAGGACAACCGATGATTAGACGCATAATTTATGAAACCATGAGAGTATTTGATACAATTGTAAAAACATGTAGAATTTGGCTCAATTTTATTTCGTGCCATTTAGCCAATACATAATACTTCATCCGTTCGCCTCTAAGGGTTACATTTACATTTTGCGTCATTGTATTTAACATTAAAAATATCTTTATATTTGTACAATTTTTTGTAAAAATATTATTTTATAAGTATTATAAGAAATCAATAAAAATATTTTTACAATTTTTTTTTAATTTGTATTACGTTTTTATATAATAATTAATATTTAAAAATCAAATAAATAGAATCTTTATAGTAGGACGAAAATAATGACAGTGTCTTGTTGTGGGCACGTGCGATTGGCAATGGGGAAACATAATACAACAAATATAATACTATTGTTGTTATACGATAATTTAATTAATTAATGAGTTAATTAAGTAATAAGCCACCTCTTATGGAAAGCTTGCTATTTGCAGTTATGTAATTTTAAAAAACAAAGAAAGTTTTTAGTCAAAAGATGTAACTTAAAAAAAGTTTGCATTAAGCGTACGTGGATGGAGTTGAAAGAAAACACGTGGACAAATAAGTTGGAGATGATTGAAAACAAGAATCTGGAAGCACTCATCACTATTCCTTTTTCATTTAATTAAGGTTGCTAGTGACACGTGCACTCCAACCCATCCATCACACTTTGTGCTTTAGTATATTCTTAATTCTTTAGTAAATAAATTGGAATGAGTTTCTTTCACTCCACAACCTCTATCTACCTCTTGAATTTATTCTTGGCTAATTTGTGTCGTTATTTGTTTAAATAAAAAAATTAAATATCTAATTTAATATTTTTAGGAGATAAAAGTTGTATTTAATATATATTTTTTGTAAAATGTTAACTATTTATGGACTATGATAAAAAGTTAAAATATTGTGGGTAAACAGGCCCTTAGCACTCACTTTCGCTGGCCTGATTCAATTGATCCAAGTTTTCATTTTTTTGTCACGTTTTTTTAGTTGGATATCATTGGTGACTGGAAATTTTTGCATAATTTCCATATTGGTGTAATTAGGCCATTCATGTCCAATAAATAATTCCATCTTTCCTTCGATATAATATATAGCAAAGAAAAATCCATCTCTATTGATATTCATACTTTAAAATAATAATAATAAATCATTCATAAAAAATTTATCTATTTTTTTTTTTTTATCAACGCCATAATATTATTTTTTTCTAGTCAAATGCCAGTATTACACACAATAATTGTGTAAAATTATATTGCAATATTTTATTTTCATATTATAATTTTAAATTCATATATAAATAATTAATATTCCCTTCATGGTCCAATTGTATGCTCACTTCACCAAACACGAATTTTTAATAAAAATTGATAAAAATAGAAATTTTTACTTTTTTGAAAAAAAAAGTATGAAAAGTAATGCTATCTCCGTCCAACAGGAACTAACCACATGTTTTTGCGCAATTGTATTTAACATTAAAAATATTTTTATATTTGTATAATAAGAGACTAATATATGCATTTTTGTCATTTTCTCTTTATTTGTATTACGTTTTGATCTAATAATTAATATTCAAAAAAAAAAAAAAAACTAGAAGTTGTATGAAAAATACTTAATAAGAGAATACTTCGTGATACTTTAATATTAAATTTATACCCATATGTTTTTAATATATTAATTTTAAATTTATTTATAAGTTATATAGTAATTTAATATTTTTAATAATTGCTATAACCTCATGATATTTATTTCAAGCGCTGTGAGTTAAGCGAATGGAAATTAATGAAATTAAACTTATGGTCATGTCATAGGTAAGTGACAAATATTGAAAATAGAGTTGGCAAAAATAGATACCGTTGAAAAAAATCGATCCGAACCCGGTGCAAAGAATCATACTTGGGCTTCCAAAAATAAGTCCGAAAATTTTCGAATTGTGTTTGGCCCGACATACCAATGAACCGAAAATTCCTACGGATTTATATTAATTCACCTTGCATGTGAGAGAGTATATTACTCATTTACCAAACTTAATTTTATACTCCCTCCGTCCAGCTAGAAAGTATACATGTTTCTATTTTAGGACGTCCAATTACAAAGTAAACATTTCATTAAATACTTTACTTTTTTTCCACAAATACTCCTACTTTACATCACATCATTACTTTTACACCAAAAAGCAAAGGCAAAAATGTCATTACACTACTTTTAACTACCCATTGTAATTAAAATACTATTATTTTTTAAACACCGCGCCAAAAATAATTGTATACTTTTTTTGTGGAAAGAGGGAGTATTAATTAAAGGCTTTCCATGTTTATATAAATTTCATAACAATGTCTAGAGTGACGACTAAATACTGAAAAATCAACAATATAAGTCAATAACAATAGTAACAACAGCCAATTTAATCCTAGGAAGGGACACATAGCTCTCACCACATTAAAGATCATTTTTTTACCCCTTCAATTTTTTATTTTTCTTTTGAACCAGAAAAAAAGTTCCAGAGTAAGAAATATTATTAATTATTAATGATTAATTAGATGTTCTGCCAGAAAGAACAACCTGGAAAAGTAGGTCCATCGAATGATTCCAAACCAGTAGCAGCATCGTCGTCGTGGTTGTCGTATGGCAACACAAAATTTATTGGATCATCATCATCGAAACCTGATCCCAGCGCCAACCCCGTCGAAGAATAATTATTAGGGTAATTAATCGGAATAGGAATATGAATACTCTCTCCCTCCCCGATGATCATGTCCTGATCATTTCGAGCAGATTTATTACAATCGTCGTCGACAATGGGCGGAGATAGTAGCAGTTCAGGTGCAGGTGCAGGGGGGAGGTCCAGGTCCTTGAAGGGGAAGAGATGGGGGAAGTTGAGGATAGCGGCTTGGCCTCTCAGGTTGAACGCCTGGCGGTCGTAGGCGAGAGCAGCTTCTTCGGCGGTCTTGAAGGTCCCCAGCCAGAGGCGGTGCCGGCTGCACGGCAGCCGTATCTCCGCCACCCATTTGCCCCATTGACGCTGCCGGACTCCTCTGTACCGCTTCTTCACCGGAACCCTAGCCCGGGGCTTGGGCTTGGGCTGATCAGCCTGATAATAATGAGCCCCGAATGAAAATGAAATCATATGTCTGGAACTGGAAGAAGATGAAGATGAAGAATTATTTTGTGCAGTAGCATTAGTAGGGCTGCATCCTGGGATTTTTTTGATGACCGGCGGCGTAGTCACAGCAGCAGCTTGTTTCGCGCCGCGAATATGGGGCCGCCGATGATTCTCAGCCGCGCCGTCGGCTGCAGATTCCATGGGACCCCAATACTTGCTTATTGATTAATTCGCTTTTAATTAAATTCTTAGATATATATATAAATAGATATATATATATATGAAGATCATAGATGCAATTATATATAGAGAGAAAGGAAGGACGCATGCAGAGTGACAGTAAAGCAAAGCATGATGGTGGGGTGGGGTGGGGTGGGTTGGGTTGGGTGTAGGCATGAGACATGACGACAGCAGGTTTCAGGTAGCATTAATTCTTTAAATAAATAAATAATTAATTAATTAGAGTGGCTTGCTATGTGCCTGAAGAGATCGATGACCAATTAAGTTTCAATTTCTTGGTCATCAAGCATAACCTGCATGCCGGAAAACTGACAAAGAGCCGTTATTAATGTCTATATATGTATATGTCTCCTGGGATCCATCAAAGAGTGACATGATTTTGCTGTCCTTCAAAATTATCTATATATATATATATATATAGGACGCATGCATGTACGTATACGTGTATATATACATACATGTGTATATTCATATTAATATGACCTGCTTGCAATTGAAATATAGTTGTTACACACAAAAAATAATAATAATAATAAAAATAAAGATAGCAGAATGTTAAAGGAAATTAAACACGAAATCGGGTGAAAAATGAGAAAAATTTGCGTTCAGGTCAGTTGGTCCGTCCGCAATCTGATAAGTAGGTCGGTTGGTCCTCGGTCGGAAGGTCCGCGGTCGGATGGGCAGATCGGTTGGTTAGCTAGTCGGATGGTCCATAGGTCGGAAAGTCTGCCGGTCGGATGGTCTACAGATCGGAAGGTTTGCGGTTGGACCAACAAGTCGCTTGGTTGGGGCGACCAATAAATCGTTTGGTCTAGCGACCAGTTAGTCTCTGGAATGGTCGGTCGGGCCAAATTGAGTTCTGGAACTGGTGACAACGTTTGGCGAGATGGTCAAAGACACGTGTCAATAAAAGAGGAATTAGTGAACAGTTGCTGTAACCAACCAGGCGACGGTTCTGAAACGTTTTCTTGAATGAATGTTTAAGGATGCAGATATTTTATCTTCAATCATCTTCAATCGATATCAAATTCAAGAGAATTGCTTTTAGGGATCACCACTTTATATTCCAGTCTGTATTTTTATTGTTCAATTTATTTTCTGTATCGTACTGTGTTTAAAGATTCCTAATCTCAGACGCTAAAAATATCAAATTCGAAAATAATTTCTTATTTTCGGATTTTATTTTTTTATTGTTGAAAAAATATATCAGCAATAGTCATGTTATATTCCACCTCCCTTAGCTAGAAAATACATATTCCAAGCTAACTAGTGTTACAAGTTTTAGATATAGACAGTTTTGTGACAGGATCCTCGGTCCCGGGCTTTGACCCAGTACAGGGAGTGCAACACACCTGGGACCAAGGATCCCTTGCAATGTTTTTTAGGGTTTTGGAAACTTTAAAAAATAGTAAAATATTAGTATTGAATATGATATTTTTAATTTATATGATAAAGTAGACATTCATTAATTATATATAATATTGTAAGAATTTCCAAGTTAAACATATCTGTGTATACGGTGAGTATATTTAAGCCTTCAAGTTGCTCATTGAAAGCCACCACCTAAATACAATTGTTTGGATACTTTAGGCAAACAAGAGTCTAGCTAGACAAGGACTTTTGCTCGATCAGGTAAAGTCTTAAGAACAATATTTGCTAGGCTAACTATTTATTTCATATATATATAGGCACATTCATATATATATAGGCTAACTATTTATTTCAACAAGGAGGATCCCATGCTGAAATTATAAAAGTTAAAAAAAAAAAAAATGTAATTTTAATTGAAATTGAAAATAAATACTTTTTTAATTATTGAGGTGCGAGATAGTTTAGTGAAAGAGTAAAATGTCAACATTTTTGAGATTTTTGAACGATGATGGAAAAATTATTGAAGGGTTTCTTGGTGTGATACATGTTAGTGATATTTGTCCACAATTATTGGAGAATGTTAGTAATATTATTAACTCATTAAACTTTATTACCTTAAAAATTATATTACAAATGAAAATGATCATTTCAATTGGGGACTGAGAATTATATCAAATTTACTTTAATTTTAAAAAAAATAAAAAATTTAAATACATAGTGTAAGTTTAATTTAATTAATCATGTATATTTATTATAAATAAATTTACTTCAACAATGTATAACTATAAATTCATCTATCAACTAAATGGCTCCTCCACCTATGCTTGAATTCTTGTGTAAATATTATTGTGATATAATGTTTTGTGATAATAAATAATAATTTTTATTTAAATTCATATAAAGTAAATAATATTGATTTCGATTTTATTGGGTTATGGTAAAATTAATTGTTGATTGATAAGTAACAAATTGAATTTTAAGTCAACTCAGACTGCTTGCCTAAACTTGACTTTAGTGAAGTCAATTATAATAATAATAATAATAATAATAATAATAATAATTTAAGGTAGTGTTAATAGGTGCATGCACCCATGACACACCCATCCTTTTCGCAACTGCTGAAATCTTTATTTGAATGTGGTATTTATTACTTTCTCGATTATTCAATTGTGCATTTAAATATTTAGACAAAAATTATTAATAAAAATATTTAATAATTTTTATGACAGTCTAAATAAATAAATATATATATATATATTTAGATGATAGAATTGTTATTATTATTATTATTATTATTATTATTATTATGCGAAAATGGGTTTGAATATATAGCTCATTAATTATAATACTATATCGTAGCGCATCGGATCGGATCGAAGAAGATCATGTCACGTGCTACCCACCTACTAACCTGTAAATTTATGATTCTTTTTATTTACGTAATTTATAAAAAAAAATAATAATAAATTAAATATAACCATTAAATATTTATATTTTTTTTTCAAAAATATAATATTAAATATAATTTTTTTTATTATTTATTAAATTTTTAAAAATTCTAAAACCCCCTATTTTAACACAATTTGTTTTTTAGAGCAGACGTGCATGCATTGGTAGCCACGCATATTATATTCTCTCTTTGTATAATAGGAGTATATAACAAAGTGGCATGAGCTAGTTCACAACTTAAAAATAAATAAATAACAATAATAAAGTAAACTAAACATTTTATAATTTTATTTTTTTAAAAAAAAAATAGTGGAGACTGTAGTATTGAATATTTTATAAAAATACTTTTTAATTGTACTTTCTTTTTCTTTTTTTCAACTCGATTTTTTTATAGTAGTCTATATTTTTATTTAAACAAAGTTAGTTACATTGAATATGTATTATAAATTCAAATTATCATACATGTTTATTTTCAAAATACAATAGTTTAATAAATTAGTAATGTTCATAAATGGCTAATAATAAGATATTTTTGTATAAAAGTATTTTTATTTTTCCTAAATAATAATTTCAATGAATTTTTTAATATAAAACAGTTTTGTTTTTTTTTAAAAGGTATATACGTTATTTTTCATAAACAATAAAATGAAAAGATGCATGCATTTTTTTATGATTATTAAGTGATCAATTAAATTTAGCATATTATGTACTCGGTGCCCATATTATATATATATTAGGAATCCAATAGGAATAAATTCAAGACATTCGAAAGCAAGTTTAGAAGATAGATGTGATTTAATAAACAGGTTGATTATAGCGATGATTTGAAAACTATATATATATATATATATACACATAGTATTATATTTATTTTTTCAAATAACATCGATCAAAAGTCTAAATAGCATATTATTTATATGAATATATTGCAAATATAACACAAGAACAAAAAAATATATAATACATTTTTATATAGAATACATAAAATACTTTTATAGAGCGCATAACACTGTGATAATTTCCATAAATGACATTAGTTTAATTAAGAATCCAGAAAACAACATCAAAACTTCATAATATACTGACCAAGAGTCTAAAAAAAACATATGATTTTTGAAATTTTTTTATCAGTACCGTTTGAAAAAATCAGAATTTATGAGAAAGGACAAGTGAAAAAGATGTAAGACCAAAGACTTCAAATTCAAATGTATGAAAGCACAATTGGTGTTTGTTGGTTGAATTCAATGTCACCTCAAAACTCTACAAACTAGAATACTTTTTTCTTTTTCATTTTTATTTTTACTTTATATTTTTCATTTTAATATTTTTGAGGTAAAAGTAATTGTTCAAAAAAAATTTGTATAAAATGAGTGTTCAATTGATCTTTTGAATATATATATATATATATATTTGTAAAAAAAAAAAAAATACAAAACACAACCACCAATATTAATTTTGATTCAGGACATCCTGTGCGTATTTTCAGGCGTCATAAATATATATATATATATATATATAAATATAAACACGTTTTGCTTGCTTGACATTATATGTGTTACGTGGACACATTTTATTGTCTTTTTCTTTTTTAAAATTTGAATTAATTGGAAAACCGAGCCTCTTAATTTTAGAATACCTCCCATGCAATGCATGCTTCCCCACCACTTGGGCGATTTTTTTTTTTTCAAAAAAATAATAATAAATAAATAAATAATAATAATAATAATAATAATAATAATAATAATAATAATAATAATAATAATAATAATAATAATAATAAATCTAAGTTTAGTAGGAAGTAGAGAAATAATCAATACAAGGAATGCAGAACATGTTAACGACACGAAAGTTAATGCAGATTCCACTCAATATTTCCAAAATCATTTTTCAGACAACAAACATAATTAATACATCCAAATTAAAGTGGTAAATATTCTGCAATTGATTAAATGTATTAATTAATATATACTAAGTTATGATATTATTTTATTATATTTTAAAATAAATTTAATATATATAATTAAAAATAGAATATGTATTTAAATATTTAAAAAATATATATTCAATATGAATATTTTTATAAATAATAAATTTTTCTATAGTAAAAGTAAATAAAAATATTTATTTATTTATTTATTTATAATTAATATAAATTAATTTGATAAAATATGCGAAGGTTTAAATGAAAATAAAGATATTTATTTTTTAAAATAGATATAGATAAAATGAATTTGGAGTAGAACTACGTGGAGTATTTAACATAATAAGTGGTTGTATAGTATTTTTAATTTGATTATATATATTAAGTAAAAAGCAAATGATATTATGCGATAATTGGTGATTTTTGTAAGTAAATAAAGTATATGTATTACGTGAGTATGTATATATATATTTTTTATAATAATAATTGAAAAATATGTTATTATGATTATTATTATTTTCGATAAATAAACATACTAAATGTAAGTACTAAAATACTTATTTTTCAATTTCAACACAAGCCTTATGATAGTAAATTCACACCTACCACCTCTTACCATCAATTTTTAAATTTGTGCAAGGAAGGGTAGATAGATTATTATCACAATACCACTGTATCTTACATCTTTTGAATAAAATAATAATAATAATAATAATAATTTCGTAGAGATGGCAGCCGTGGATTCAAACCCGACGTCTCCGAGTTTTGTTTGTTACACATGATTCGTCCAATATAATTTGCTTTGTTGGATTTAATTTGCAAATTATTAGATTCGACCGGAAATTTATCTAAGTGTACCTGAAAGATAGCAGCAATAATAATAATAATAATAATAATAATAATAATAGGCGCGAGCGGCTAGGATCTAAGTCAACAGTGTGTTAATTTAACTAAATTAGTATGTTAACTAAAATTAATTAGCATTTCATTATAAGGTTATATAATAGAAACATATATTGCGGAGGTTATATATTGTGTTATATTGTATAATTTATTTATTATGTTGAAATCGCAATATAACGTGGTATATGAAATTATATATTGTGTTATGCTATATATTATACTTTCTCCGTCTACAAATTAATGTCCTACTTTTTTATTTGGGACGTCCAACAACTATAGTCCTATTTCTTCTTTTTAAACACAAATTTTATATTTTTACCCTTAATTCATTTATTACTTTTCATCTATATCATACAATTAAGAACAAATTTGTTCATTCATAACAAAAAGACAATCACCTAAAAAATCGTGCATGACAATAGAAATTGGACGGATAAAGTATTAACTTTTGCTATATGGATTATATATGATATATTGTGTCGTATAGCTTATTTATTGTATATAGATTGAAATATATATTTTGTTATCAAAATATATGTTATATTATTATATTAAATTAAAATGTACTATCAAATGTGATACCATCTTTATGAATATGTGCTTATTAAGTCAAATTAGTACCACCTAACCAATAGTAAGTAACAACAACAACAATACATACATAATTAATAATTATGGTCCGGTCTAGAGTTTGGACGTGTGACCCTTAAATCATCTGTTATACATGGTTCGCCGAGTGTGACTTTTCCCTAATAAAATTATTATACTATCACATCGAACAAAGAGAACATAGGAGAAGGTTTACATAGAGATTATAATTACATGTATGGATAGATACTAATATATGACAATTACTATAAAAATAAATAAAATACCATATAGGGTGTGTTTGTTTGGGGGTTTGGATTTTGGATTGGGATTTGAACAGTAAAAATTTTGAATTTGAATAGTTGTATGATGTGATATAAATAGGGTTTGATGTGATGTTTTGAATGTAAAATTGATTTTTAGTATAATATAAAAAGTGAAAAATAGGTGATTGATTTGATGTTTTTGGGGGAAAAAAATTGAATGAACAGTGGAAATCCTCCAAAATCCTTCGAACAAACACACCCATATATATGCATTAAACACACCCATATATATGCATTGCAGTTGTCCTCCTTCATCATACACTACATTACACTCTCACTACAGACATTGTCTCACTGTCTCTTTACCAACATAATTCATTACACCATTCCTTATCTTCATCTTTTAATTTAATAATTAATCAATTTATTGCATCTGTCTAGATATTTTAGTTGTTAAATCTTCACTTGTTTTTCATTTTTAAATAATTTACAATTAACTTTTCATATTATATTAAATATTCCATTTATATTTAAATTTGGGCTAGCTTATATTGTTTATAATTTATTTCTTATATGATATTAGTTATTCAATTTATCATTAGATTTCATTTTAACTATAAATTACGTTGATTTGTGTTATTTAAATTTAAATTTATCCATTTTATTGTATAGTACTTATATATAAAGTCTCTTATTTTGATGAATAAGTTTTCTCGTACAATATTCTCAGAGCATGGCAGTTTGCTTGCTGACTTATAAAGTGTCTGACCTCTGCCTCGGCAAGCCGCCGGTCCGATCCCTCTCCGCGGCCTCTGCTACAATCGCCGACGCCATCGCCGCCCTGAAATCCTCGCCGGAGCAGACAGCAGTCATCGGCGTCTGGACCAGCAACACCAAATGCGTCGGCAAAGTCTCCATGGTCGACATCCTTTGCTTCCTCTGCAAACACCACAATTTGGTTTCCCCTTCTTCCGCCCTCAACTCCCCAATCCTCTCCGCCGTCTCCCCCCGCCGCGTCCGCCATGTCGAGCGCTCCTCAAGGTCCCAAATCTCACTTCAATTCGATATAATTTCTCCGTAATCGGATTTTGATTTTATGTTTTTTTTTTTTTTTTTTTTTTTTGTAGCTTACTGGAAGCCATTGATCTGATTGTTTATGAAGATGTTCAGAGCCTGGTGGTTCCGATTACGACTAAGAAATCGACCGCCGGCGGCGGAGGACAAGAATTCTGCTGGCTTACTCAAGAAGACATAATCCGATTCCTCTTGAGCTCCATCGCCTTCTTCTCCCCGATTTCGACGCTCTCCATCGACGTTCTCGGCATCGTCTCCGGCCAATTTCCGATCATCAACTACGGCGCCACTGCCTCGTCGGCGATGGCCGCCGTTTCCCGCTGCCTCGCCGATCAGACCTCAGTGGCTGTGGTCGACGACGAGGGGAGACTGATAGGGGAGATCTCCCCCTCCAAGCTCGCCTTCTGCGACGAGACGGTGGCTGCCGCCGCCGCAACCCTCTCCGCCGGCGAACTAATGACGTACATTGACTGCGTCGGCGCGTCGGCGGCGCGGATGGAGATGATCGCCTGCCGTCCGGGGAGTTCCATGGTGGCGGTGATGATCCAGGCCATAGCTCACCGCGTGAACTACATCTGGGTCATCGGCGGCGGCGCCGGCGCGGTTGTTGGGATTGTTACTTATGCTAATATTTTGAAAGTTTTCCACAGAAAATTGGAGTCAATGATCTGAAGAGTCAGATTGATTAGCAGAGAAGTAATCGTAACTAAGGGAATCTTCACCTCATTAATTAATTTTTACAGTAAAAGAAATAGTACTACTTTTTTGTTTTTTAATGTTTCACTTTTGTATTATTTTTCACGTATATGTATAATATTTAACTTTAATTTTTATCTAGAATTATAGTATCGTATTTTAAAAACTCTACATATCTTGAATTTCTCATTTATTAAGAAATTTTATACAGTACTATAAAATAACTTTAATATCATATAAATATCTTCTTTTACTACTTAGTTTTTAGTTATCTAAAAAATCATATTTTATTTTCATATAATATATTATATTTAATAGTTATTTTTATTTTAAATATATATATTAATAAAAAAAAATTCCGATATTGAAAGAAAACCATTATAGTAATAATAGGGCATGGATCCATCTGTACCACATGGTCCAAGTCCAACGCAGTTTTTATCCTATTATTATCATTTTTATCCAATAGTATAAATTAGAGCTGGAAAAACAATAAAAAATAAAAAAATGCATTTCACATACTTAGTTATTTTATTTCTTCACTTCACATTATCGTCTTTGATTCATAATTTCATTTGAAAAAATAAAGATATTTATCAGTAACATAAAAAAGCTAAGATTCAATAATTGAAACATATGTTGGGTAGATATAACAATATTTATTAATTGAAGGACCAAAACTATTATAAATAAATAAGAAAATAAAAATTGTTATGGAATATGGAGCGTGGCAAGAATCACAACGTAGATTCCATTGTTATGTAACAAATGATAGTGCACAAGGCACAATTGTAATTCTGAGGCTATGAATTCAAAATTATTCCCATGTCTTTTTAACTGAGTTTGTGGATACAATAGGGTGTGTTTGGTTGGGGGGTTGGATTTTAAATATACTGTTCGTCCCATTTTTTTCTCTTAAAAAATATCAAATCAAACACTTATTTTTAATTTTTTATATTATACTAAAAATTAATTTTAAATTTAAAATATCGCATCAATCCCTATTTATATCACATCATAACGCTATTCAAATTTCAACTGAAAATCCAAAGCCCCGAACAAACACATAAAAATAAATAAGTAAAGTCCCTGATCTGTCATGTGATGTGAATGTGAAACTAATTGTATTCCCTTCACTTTTTAGCTTTTCACTTGGAAGAGGATACCGTATCTTTTTTTAGAAACTGTACCCTAAATTTAATACATTTCTTTTACTATTTCTAATTAACAATAATTAATATATTTATTTTCTAATTTAATCTATAAAATTTAATGTATTATAAAAAATCTTTATATTTTATGTAAAATATTTTTTTATTCTAACTATGTATACTGAGAAGTATAAAAAATAAAAATGAATAAATCCTTGTAGTCAAATTGAAATAATCACATGTAAAATCATTATTGTTTTTTTGTCGCTTTACATCCAAAATCAAATTTCGAACCCACAAAAAAAAATGTAAGTAAAACAACATCTATTCATAGTTTAATTTTTATCGTTATTTAATTAGTTAATATACATATAAATATATTAATTTTTAAATATTAATTGTTATCAATCGGGCCGGTCCAAGTATGACCCGACTTTCATGGATCCGGCCCGAAAAATCTTGAACCTATTTTCAAGGCTCAAGAATTTTTCATACAGAGTCGGAATCGAATTTTTTACGGTGCCTATTTTTCTCTACATTTAACTAAATACTATGATTTTATTTGAAGTGTGTTTGATTGGTACTTGAATACTAACTAATATGATTTTATTGTAAAAATATAAATAATATATTTTATATATTAAAAAAAATGTTAGAAGTTGTATAATAAAATATTACAAAAAAATCTCAAAAAGATAGATTAAAATAATGAAAGAAGGACAAGATTTCACGTCACTTGTGTACAAAGGGTTGATCTTTTATAGGCTACACTATATTTACAATGATCTAGTGTAACTCCATCTAATTCTTGGATAATTTTTGCATATTCAGATGAAGTTCAACTTAAAACCTGACTTGCAATGGCTAAAATTCAATGAGAGCTACATTTACAGTGTGATAAAAGTTCAGACATTCCAAATCAGATCAAAGGGATCATATAAGAAATCACTGTTGAAATGTGAGAAATAATGGAGAACTAACTTCTCATCAAAAAAGGGTTAGGACAATAATGTATAATTATCTTCCACAATAGGTAGTTTTGTAGGAAAATACAATTTCAAAGCACACTATAAGATGTAAACACAATGACTAATTCAGGAAATGACCATTAAAGGAGTACAAAGGAACAAAGCTCACCAATAAAAATCACAAGCCACTGTCGAAAAATAGGAATGTGTTGTATCCGCAATCTGGCGAGGTTACGCGATTAGTGTGCGGGTAACAAACATCAATTTGTTTGTTCATCCATGTGCACCACTTACTGCACCTTCCATGGATATCTCTATCGGTTGGAGGCAGCACCTGTAGGATTCGTGCCCCAGCTGTGCTCTTTCATTATCTCCGAACCCTAAAACCTGCCCCTGTTTCGTGACTACAACAGTGTGATACAAGCCCGTGCTGACTTGGGAAATGTGGTGGGATCTTAGGCTGTCCAGGACTCGAGGCCTCGTTACTTTGTCAGAGACTGCCCTATCCAGAAAGCCAAGGCTCCCAAAGCCCATCCAACCAAAGCCATAAACAGATCCATCATCCACCAGAACAAATGTTTTCCTCTTGCTAGCACATACCTACAGTGCTTTAAAATTATATCAGAAGGATAAAATAACAGAAATAGCACAAGAAAGTATTGCGATGGTTTTGTAATGTTGTTTTATTGATTATCCATTCTAAATGTGGCAAAGTTTGATCAGAACCTGTACGGCAAGGTGTTTTCTGAGGCTGGTAAGGTGTTCAGGAGTCGTCTTATCGATTTCATCTCCATGACCCAATGCACCACAATAACCTTTGCCCCAAGTATAAACCTGTATATCACCAACATTAAGTTATTGTATTCTAATGAGCTCTAACAAATTATAGAAGTAAATTTATTCTTTAACTAGTGAAGGATATACATGTCCACTAGAATCAAGAGCAACCACATGCTCGTCGCCAGCAGACACCTGAACCACATGAATACCCCTCCTATCGAATGACTGAACTGCTCGAGGACGAAGTTCATTGTGCTGCTCTCCATGGCCAAGGCAGAAATTGGTGCCAGAACCAAAAGAAAACAGTGTTCCATTATCTGCCACAGCAAGACCGTAAGTGGGTCCTGCAGCAATCTGAACAATGGAAGCAACACATCCGAGGAGTTCCACCTTCTGTGGTGTAGGCCTCTCCTGTGTATCACCATGACCAAGTTGACCATGTGTATTGATCCCACATGTATAGACATGGCCCTGGCTTGTAAGGAACATTGTGAAGCTCAGCCCTGCAGCTACCTGTATGGTATCAATTTAGTCCGAATAATTATATGTATACATATATGTATATCTACAATCAAGCCCACAATGTTCTTGTAAACACCAAATTAGGTGCACACCATGGCGGTAGTTGAAAGGTTACTAGCAGGATTCGGTGAACAAAGGAGAAACAACAATGAATTTTATATGGCTTTGCTTAGATCACCTCTTCTTTCTTTAAAACTGTGCCTCAATTTTGCAGTTCAAAAGAAACTTGAGTATCTTGCGTGTACTGAACCATAAATTAGTATACAGTATCTGCTCAATTAGATCTAACTGAAGCCCCCCTAGGCAGGTAAGTGCAAATTTTCGCAACACATAAAAAGCAAATCAATGGACTAGATATGAAACCAACATCAGAGATTAGAGAAACATCAAGTCGCCTACAGCACCAATCAGGAGCCCTCCGTACAGTTAGTCTTGCTTGTCAAATAACCCATTCTAGCCACAGTTTACCAAGTATTTTACAGTGGAACTGCTTGCACAAATCCCACTCCCTACACCCCCCACCCCCCGGAAAAAAACCATCCAGAGCCAATCATCTACATCATCATGCCAGATTCCAAGTCTAAAGAATGCCTTGCACCTCCAACAAATCAACTTTGACCGCAAAAGCCAATTAGCGAATGACAGAGCAAAAGTGCATGGATTTCTGAAGTTGGAGAATTTGAAAAAATAAAATAAAATAAAAATCTCCACACTTCCCTAAAAAATTTAAAATAAAAAACCAATACCTGTTTGCAAGGAATATTCTTCATAGCCTCAACAAGCTTTGGTCTGAATATGGGACGGACTGTATCTCTATGACCACAACAAAATGATGAATTATCTCCACAAGTGAAAACCTACATCACACCCCCAAAATCCAGGTTATAAAATCAGCCACAAGGGTGCTTGAATTTCATATTTGTCCTAGAACGCTGAAGAGGTCAAAGGTGCTGCAAAAAATCAATCTAAGTAGACTTTGCCAAACCAAAACCGTGGTTCCTATCCAAATCAAGTAGCATCGCTAAAATCACATAATCTAATATGTATATATTCAATAACAAACTTAACGGATGGTCTAGTGCATTTCAGTTTAAAGCAGTGCTTTTGAGAATATAACACAGACCATTTCAACTGATTTCCACACAAAATACTCAAGAAACAAATAACAACACAAACTACTCTATATATAAGGCAACCCCCACAAACTGTTTGCCATTATTCATGTGAGCACTCAAATAGGTAATTTTTCAGTTTTAGATTTAAAATTGTCTGTATAGACAGTTTACCAGAGCAGAGAAGAACTAGTAAGAGACAAACATATCAAGGAAAACAACTAACTCCTTCCATGAATACCCTGCAACTCATAAAAAGGTGATACAGATCAAGAGTTCCGCCGGAACGTCACAAATAGTACAGTATATGAATACCCAATTTTTTGGTAAGCTGACATCCAAGGAATTTATCAGGTGGTGGCAGACCATAGTTATGGAACTAAACCCGCTAGATAACAAAACCCAACATATCTAATTAAGAGCTGTAGAATTACAGACCTGTCCCGACTGTGTGACAAAGGCTGCATGATTGTGGGAGGCTGAGACTTGAATCACTTGAGATTGACATGGAAAACTGATTGGGGTAAATGATACACAATTTGTTGTTTCAGGACCATGACCAAGAACGCCACATAAGCTGGAACCACAAGAGTACACTCCCAGATCATTGATTAGCAAAGTGTGATATCTTCCACTGGTAATCTGCATCTGTTGAATAATTCTGAAATTAGTGGCAATGGTAACAGGAGATATAGCAGACACTCTTGCCTCAACTAATTAAATCAGAATTTGGGGATAATTGATCAAATGTGAGATTTCAGAGTTCAAGGGGTGGAAAAATACACAGATGCAGGTTACTACAAGCACAATATGAATCATGTCATTTTATTTTTCCAATGCAATCCTCTTCAATCATATTAACAGAAGTAGTGGAATAATATATGAGTGCAGGGCTCAAAACTAGATTCAATTGGTAATACTCAGCCTTGTGTTTGTTATGTAAAGACAGTTATTTCCACAGCTCTTAAAATAAGGGGAAGTGATAAGGTAGGAATATGTGTAGTTGATTTTCCTCTCTAAAATAAGTTCAAAAGTCCTTGCAGGAAATAAATTGTCCTGTGCAACAAAGCCCTGCAGTTTTTCTTTTTACATGAGACACAAATAGAAGACAAGTAGTAGGGGATTATTAAATTCATCCCATATCCAAAATCAGAAACAAACCAAACATGTTAAAAATACTAATTGACCAGAACTTGTCCAGGAGAATCATAGAAGATATGTAAATTGTAGAACAACTAGAAGCTATATCAATTATTTCTAAAAGAAGCTAATGAGATACAATTAAAGATGATATTGAAAGAATTCGGCAGGGTTAATCTATTTGCTCAAGCTTCATGGTAATAGTTAATGCTACAGGATCTGCATAGTAGTATAATGATATTTCTATTCTTCAAGAACATTCTAGTCGATTTCCCTCTCTAAGGTAAACCACAATGTTATTGCACACATACCTGCCCACATTGCAAAAAGGTAATCAACCATAAGTTCAATCTACAAATAATCCTGATTTAAGACTACCGCCAACAAACACATTAGAGGCTTTAAATGGCGCCTTCACATATTATTTCTTCATCTAAATATGTGAGAGATCAAATCATTAATAGATGAGTAACAGAAATCAAAATAAGAATTATCCGAACTCTAAGTGAAAACCAAAAAATAAACCACATGAATCAAGAAATAGTACATTGCCTGCAGAGGTTTGAACCATCTTAGAAGATTGCTCGACAGAATGCAAGAACCTCAATGCCCGTTTCCAATTCCCATTGCAGCGATTATAAAGCTCCTTCTGAGCATTTTGCTGAAGCGACGAGTAAATTGGGTGTGATTCACAGAGCCTGAAGGCAGCAAAATCCACTAAAGACCGAAACTTTTGAGAAAACAATCCATGACTCGCCCAAAACATCTTGGAAGTCAACTCCAAACACGCTAAATCTACAGCGCTCAGTCGACCAGTGGTCAAAATTTCGAGAATTAAGTGGAGAGGCAAGTCGTCCATCGAACTCGACTTCAGCCGATCCCCCATTTCACAAAACAGAACTTGACAAAGAAATGGTGGATTTCCCACAACCAAAAAATGAAAACAAGCAAACACAAGCGGGATGAAGCCCGTATCAAATTTTAAGACGGAAGCGGAAGCAATTTAAGCAGTTAATATAGAAAACACCTAAGTGGTAAAAATTGGAGGGAGTCGAGTACAGAAAATGGTGAGTGGGCGAGAAATTCAGCGTTGATTTGTCGATTTGAGTGAAGTAAATCATCAGAATGAGGAAATCAGAGCCAAACACAGCCTTGACAGAGCAATTCCACAAAATTTTCACAAACCAAATATATAACCAAAAATTAAAAGCGTAAACGCGAAGAATCCCAAACCGGAAACAGAAATTGACTTCGATTGAAGACAGAAGGATCAAAATGGGTAATGACTCAATGAGAATTGGTCAGAGAGAGAGGCAGAGGTCATCGTCTTCGCAGCAACAACAGTTGATGCAATCATACGAAGGCCAAATTCGAAGAGAGGAAAGTGCGCAGTGACAGAAAGCTATTTTCGGTGCACATAACTTTACCAATAATTTAATTTCTCGCCTCTTATTTTATTTTATTTTATTTTTGAGACAAACAGGGCACAAAGCAAGTAGCTTAATGGCCAAGTTATTAATTTAAATGACGGGGCGGAAACGACGGCAGATATGCTTTACACGCTGTCGTTTTGTTCTATGCAATTAGTCTTTGTTTGGTGCGTAAATAAGGAATCTTTTGTTTAAAATTATTATTTAAAAATGGGTAAAATAGTGTTGGACTTGGTCCTGGCAAGATGACTGTCTGTGATGTGTTTCTGTCACTGATCTCCACGTGGAGGATCCCGGAAATGCCACGTGGGCATATAACCGTGGAATGATAGGCCATTGCTTCTGCGTTTGGATGTGTTTTCTTTATTGAATCTGGAAAAAATTGGATTGGATTTTATATTAAAAAATAAATATATTTTTTTAAAAAATGTAAGTTTAAATAGTAAAATTTTAAAAAAAAAATTAGTTAAAAAAACCTACCAATTTTATTTTTAATGAAGTCCGATTACAACGGGGGCGTTTGATGGCAAGATGCACGTGTAAATGAAAAAATAATAATTTATTTGGGTATAAAATTTAAAAATATATATATTTTATTATAAAAATTATAAACTAAAATAATAATCGAAAGTATTTTTAAAATTTTAATTAATAATTAATAATACATAAATAATATAATAAAAATAATGACAATAGTAATAAATAAATATTTGAATAGGAATAATGATTAGATATTGAAAATTTCACATCGTTCAAAATTAATAATAAATTAAATTATGGACAAACTAAAAAAAATAAGAATAAATTTAACAAATCATAAACCAAGAGCGGATTTGATTTTAGTTTTAATTATAGTATGATGTTGCAAAATGCTATTTAAATCTACCTTAATTACTTGAATCAATATGCTTCAGGTTACCAAACTCTCTAGTGTTAGAATTTTTGTAGGTATTTTTGTCTTCTGTTTATCTATACAATTTAGAAATTTTTGGCATAATTTAAAATAATAATATATATATGCATATATATATATATATATTACATCATCCTCTCTTTCATAAAAAAATAATTTTGACATAAATTTTAATGAATATTATATTATATTGAATGTGATACAAAGTAACATGGACATAATTTGAATGAACATTGTATTATATTGATTATGATACAGAGTAAAGTAAATGTATTTTGATAAGTACATGAGTTAGTTAACATTGTAAAATACAAATGTTAGTGACAAATATGTAAATAAAGCATAACTTAAAAATTTTGTGAAAATTATTGTCTATAAGTGAATGTAAAAAGAAACAAACATAAAATTTGATGGACAAAATATATTAAATATAATATTTTATTTTACAAAATATCGTATTAAATATTATATATATATAACATTTTCCATAATTCCAAAGTATCAAGACAAACCTATAATATAATGCAAAATTTTAAAATTTTGTGGTTGACAATATATTATTTATATCAATCTAATACAAATATTAAGTATAATATAATTTTATATAATATCTTGAACAATTCATTTACCTAATGAAATTTATCCAAATCAGAAATATACTCCCTCCTTCCAAAAGAGAATGGTTGTTTATTTTTTCACATAAATTTTTTTAATATTAATATTATATTATTACTAATAAGAATCCATAGAAAAAGACCAAATTACCCTTAATATTAGAGTAAAATAAAAAATATATATTTATATAATATATTTTAAGTTATAAAAGTATTTATAATTAATATAAAATATTAATCCCAATTACCAAATAAAGAAATAAGTATTTTGTTTTCAAACCCAAGGGAGTATTTTTTTCTACAAAATCAGCCTAAATCAAAAGTTTCACACGGATACAAATCTATAATATTTATGTAACAAATAGTTTACTAAAATAAATACTAATGCAAATCAATATCTATAATTAACACATTCTTTTTAAAAATATATATATTAATATTTAGATAATTTACAGGTTGCAAATGGAGTTAGGATTAAGACATTAAAATTGATATATTTTACATTGAAGATGGGTCTAGAAACACACAGACTTTCTCGTGAGAAATACGTCCAAACCTACTAAAAATATGGGTATAGATGAATGCACTACTAAAAATATGGGTATAGATGAATGCACTAATAAGAATTTGGGGTGTGTTTGTTTGGAGGTTTGAATTTTGAGTTAGGATTTGAATAGTAAAAATTTTAAATTTGAATAATTGTATGATGTGATATAAATAGGTGTTGATGTAATGTTTAGAATGTAAAATTTATTTTTAGTATAATATAAAAAATGAAAAATAGATATTTCATTTGATATTTTTAGAGGAAAAAAATGAAATGAATAGTATAAACCTAATCCAATCCCCCAAACATACACACCCTTAATTTATATTGATTTATAAGGGGAGGGGATCCGGCCCATTATTGTCCAGCCCCACAGTGTCCCCATCAAACGTATATATGTGATATATACATATATATTTATATATTACATATACATACATATTTTGTATATATACATCACTTTGTGTGATGGAACTTAACGGTGGCATAATATGGGGCCGGTGATCTATAGATGTTAAAGTGGTTAGATTCTGATGCTAGAGCTTATACCTATTATGAACAAAGATTAAGCTCTTTTTTCTACAAAGATAATGAAATACACATATTTATAGAACAAAAATGCGTTAATGGTTGGAAACAAAGGTGGATTAAACAAAGAGTAGCTGCATCAACAAAGAAAAACAAAGAAGATTGCTATTTAATAAAAGTCTCTTTCATCTCACATGTATGATCTTGTTCATATGGATACATGTGTCCTCAATAAAATTCCAATGGTTAATGGATGCCACTACTTTTTGCCATTTGTAGATGACTACTCACCTTATAGTATCTCATCTACATCAATACTTAATTCAATTGTGTTGTAAACATGTTAAAACAAACAATGGAATTGAGTTCTTGAACAACTATTCCAAGTTGCTCTATCAAAAGGATGGCATTGAGCATATTACCATTTATATTCTTTTATCCTATGACAAAATGGAAAGAACATAAATACTTGTTTTAACTCACTTGATTCTTACTTTTTCAAGCCTCTTTGCCTTCAAAACTTTACTAACAATACAATACTTAATTGGATGTGAGTCTCTCGTAACATCAAGTAAAAAGAATTTAACTGAACTTTAAGGATGTCATGATTGTTGGATGCACTTCTTTTGAGTTCATTTGTGCATATCTCGTTCTAATGAACCTCTTTTGCTGCCTCTCATCTTTGAATGAAACCATAACAATGCTCTACACATGCCTTGTTTCATTAATAGTTTTTGTAGATTGGAACTTACCATGGTTTCCCTTCATTGTTTAATACTTAGGGGTCCTATGATAAAAACTAAAATCATCGGCCTTCTTATCAATGACTTTATATACTCATTGTTGATTTGTTTTATCCTATTGTATCTTATGGATTTACAGGTTTGTAAGGTTGCACCTATTCCTAGGGAGACCAAAGTGAGGCAGCACATTACACTCACAAAAAAAGGTTTTTTTGATTGATTGCCCTGGTGTTGTTTATCAAAATAATGACACTGAGACAGATAGATAATGCTCCTGTAAGGATCTTTTCAATAAGCAGGAGTTAACTGGTGATACACTTCAGAGAAACTCGAAGCCACTACTTCCTAGTGTGAATTTGAAGCTTAATTTTTTGAAACATGGTTTGCAATATTGTTTGTTTCTCAATGGCAAAAGAAAGTATTACATGAAAATTATTTAGCCAGCATGCATGATGGCCTAATAAACGAGGCTCTAAAATAAACCTCTGAGTTTCAAAGCACAAAAATCCTTGTATTTAGTAAGAAATTCTATGTTTAGATGCATTTCTAGATTCAGACTATTCTGCACCATCTGTACCTGATTCAGCAGCCCTTAGTGCTTCAGCCATCATTTTTTCTCTGTTCTGCATTTGCCTTTCAACTGCGACCATATAAAGACCTGAACATGGGCACATCATGAAGATGTAAATGAGCACGAAACCGAAAAGAAACCAACACAAACCCCATAGAAAATGCACATCTATTCTCGAAATATTGTTCAAAAAATTTACAGAATGTGGCATGAAACAAAGTTAAGCCACTAATACATATTAGTTTAATGCATCTAATTCAAAGTAAAAAAAACTCATACACTTTGCCTCCAAGCAACAACAGTGAAGATCCTTTTCAGATGAGAACGTCTTAACATGTCACGAAACTTCAAGCACCAATCACCACAAATTATGTGTCTCAATTATACAAATGAAATTCAATGGCAAAAAGATACTCCAGAAATGTGGATTTATCCTCAATGTCTAATTCAATGTTATCCAAGATTTTCACCATTGAAAATTGAAGTTCCACCACAAGATTCAAGGGAGCATGACCAACAGGGGTAAGAATATCTCTAAAGGTGAAATCAGAACTGTCTGACAAACATCAAGCACTATCACAGTATCGCCATATATTATGCATCTGAATTATACAAATAAAACTAGATGGTAAAGATATACTATGGGAATTGGGATTTATCCTTAACGACTATTTTCAATTCTAAACAGTGCTTTCAATCCCAAACGAGCAACATCTGAAGGAGTGAAGAATGTCTTAAGGACTAAGCATCAGTTACAAGCCATGTAGGTTGAATAATGCCAAATGGTTAAAATAGGCATACCAACTGCAGTCCCAATTGCACAAATCCACAGAATCCTTGAAGACCATCTATCCGCAATCACTCCTCGGTCTCCAAATCCCATACTTTGTCTGTCAAAATAAACAGCCAATTAGCACATAGAATAAATTTGGTAGGACTGTCCAATTCACAATGGATCACTAGACAAACATTGGTGATAACCAACCACGAATTGACCAACAAATTCACGAAAAAAGTATCTATCATCCAGGAATTTCGTAATTCTAAATTGAAAATTCCACATTGTTGAGTATATGACAGTATTCTAAGCAAAAGAACCGATAGAGAATAACATAAACTCTAAACAGACCTTTCAGCAGAACTTAATAAAGCAAGTTGAAATATTGAAACTGCAATCCCTCATCACTCTTCCAAAAAATTCAGGATTTCATATCAAAATAATTCAACTCAACCACATACCTAACAAAATCAGAAAATTCGCAGAATTAGAATACGCAGCAGAAAAACTTCCGCTAGACTTACCCGGTTGATTAGAAGAAGAATAGCTTCAAACAAGCGGCTCTTTGTAGAGTGCGAATGTGTTCACGATGAAACTGAAAACCCGCCGGCGACACCGCGGAAAATTACTGAGCAGAAGACAAAAGGGTTGCAGGCAAACTGATACTTCCGGTGACGGTTCTTTGCTTAATCGAAGTCGCTCTTTGGATTTGGGACCGCGACTTTGCAAGGCAGCGATTTCGCGAGCTGCCCATTCTATTCCAAACCGGAGGTTCGGACCGTCGACTAGCCGGTTTCCGAACCGCGGTTACGGTTCTAACCGAAACCGGCCACATCCTTTTTGTGTGGATGTGTATCGTGTAATGTTTTATAATATTAATAATTTAATTATAATTAAAATTAATAATAACTAATTATTACTCATTCGTCTCCCATGTCACGTTGCTGTTTCTGTCTGTTCTACGTACCATGTCATTTTTATTTTTGAAAAATGATTATACACTTTAATTTTATTTTAAACTTTTTAATTTTATTTTTTTTAATTTTAATTAAACTAATTAGTTATCTTAATTTTAATTTATAATTATTTATATTATAGAATAATTATTTTCACTAATACATTCTTAATTATCTACTAATTATACCCCTCCTAAAATACCATATCTACAGTGTAACAGACACGGTACGTGGGACTAATACATTCTTAATTATCTACTAATTATACCCCTCCTAAAATACCATGTCTACAGTGTAACAGACACGGTACGTGGGTCGAAGGTTGTAATATATAGAGGCAAATTTACACAATAAACATCCTGCTACTTATGAAAGTAGCTAGCTGGATAGCTTGATTACATGACATTATTTAAATTACTTGCTTATGGACGGGCACATGCACATGCACATCACATGACCTTAGCTTCTTATGGCTTACGCTGCAAAACAAAGAACAATTGCAGGCCAATATTCTCAGCACGCTCATCACTATAAAACATTTGAAAAAGCTTTTCTTTTTGCTCAAGAGCCCTTGTGAAGATCTCTTCGACTATTTCATGGCCCATGTGACTCGCCACGATCGGTTCCGTGAATGCTCGGAGGTGCATTACAAGATTTGTCATGTCCACCCGACTCTTCTTAGACTTCGCCAACACGTCTACCAACTCCATTCTTAGAATTCGAAAACTCCCGTTGTTCTCAACAATCCTTCTCATTTCCTTTAAACTTGGATACACATTAGGAATGTTGAATGCGTCGACTTTGCGGTGCTTCAACAATCCCTATATATTAATATATATATATGTATAAGAAATAATGAAAAAAATTTAGGCTCTGTTTATATATATATACATACATGTACTTTTAAAATTTTTTACATAATTTATTAATGTTAAATTTTTTAAAAGTAATTATATCAACACTAAATTTGTCTTATTTTAGTTTGAAATCAGAATTTTTATTGTTCAGTTTGCATGCTTTTCAATGAAAATATATTAGTATTTGTTTTTATAAAATACTGTATCAAAATATTATTTAAATTAAAGTTCAAATAAATTTGATGGTCTAAGAACAAATTTAGTACCTTTTTAACCATTTCTATAAGAATGTCTCCAAGGAAATTGATCATCACACCAACATCATGCTCGATTCCTTCGTCCCTTACGCCAGGTAACAACGCCACAATAACCCCTCCCGATACAATCTCTCTAGCTCTCGCCTTCAAGAAATCATCTATATCCTTTTCAAATTGCTTAGTGTACGCTTTTAGAACTGCCTCTGGGGCATCTTTGTAGTGAATCCGACCTCTATTCCAAGCCGGGGAATTCTCATCTTCTAAATCCTTTGGCACTTTGGACAACCAATGAAGCGAACATGAAGAGTATGCAATGTGAATGGAAGAAGAAGGGAACAATATATCGTAGAAAGAACCGGGAACTCCTGCTGCAAAGTAGTTTTTGTCGTTGGGTATGGAGGCAAAAAGCGTGTTGAAGTCATTAGTGATCTGGTCATTGAAGAACACTTGGAATTCGATGGTTTTGGGATCGATCCCTTGCATGTGGCACTTTGTGGCGACTATGTCGATTATTTCTTGCATTGCGACGAGTGTGTTTGGTCCAACGGAACATCCCAAGTCTGCGATGGTGACTAATTTAGTCGATTTGGTAGATAATAGTGTTGGCATGTCCAAGGCTTCCATGAGTGCCTCAGCCATGGCTTCTTTTGCAGCAATCGCGATATTTCTCTACATATAACAACAATAAAAACATATTCTTTCGGGTAGCGACTACGGGTTCTCACGTCATAAAAAAAATAATAATAATAAAAAATCTTTATTGTTCTATGTGTCAACTTAATTTAAAATTTTTAAAAAGAATGAACACATAATGGTTTTAAAAATATTCATATGGTGGAGTTGGTTCGCCTACACCAGACGACTTCGGTACTAGAGCTAATTTTTTTTGTAACTAATGTGTTTTTCTTGTGAAATAAAATAAAAATAAGGCTATGCAATAGTTATTAGATCTCTATCTATATCTTATTGTATATACTCCTAGGAGAAAATTTATAAATAATTTGGTTTGTATTTTTTTAATACTTTATTTTTATTTTTATTTTTACTATATTTAACATTTTATTTAAAATATTATATTCAATTATCATTTTACATATTAAGACTAAAAAAAATTAGACTATGTCATGTTGAAAAAAAAAAAATTAAGTTACTATAAAATAAATGATTACTTTTTTTAATAAAATATCAGCCAAAATAACTATTCAAACAACAAAGTAAATGCAAAATTTTGATAAAAACAAAAAAAAAAAAAAAAAAAAAGGAAAAACAAGAAGGTAAATGCAAAATTCAAAAATAATATAACACTTAAACCTTGGTATTTTTAATACTCCCTTCGTCCCAGTGTCTGCTACACTGTAGTAGACACGGTATTTTAGGAGGAGTGTAATTATTAGATAATTAAGAATGTATTAGTGAAAATAATTATCCTATAATATAAATAATTATAAATTAAGGTAACTAATTAGTTTAATTAAAATTAAAAAAAATTAAAATTTAAAATGAGATTAAAGTGTGTAATCATTTTCCAAAAAAAGAAAGTGACATGGTACGTGGGACGAATAGAAACGGCAACGTGGATATGATATCTGGGACGGAATGAGTAATTTGTAAGTTGAAGAAATTATTAAGATTATATATATATATATATGCGTGTGTTTGTATAAGCTTTGTTATATTAGTTGGTTGTGAATATGTTTGTTTGAATAAGTAAAATTTAAATTGAAATAATAATTCATGCAATATAAACATAAAATTGATATATGTGATATATAAATAATAATTTTTTAAAAAAATAAAATAAAAGATCTTATATAAACTATTCCATGTTATTGAGGGAAAAAATAGTGAATAATACCTTACCAAAATCAATTTCCGTACAAATTCACCAGTTTGGTTTGGTTTGGTTTAATGCATAAAAAAATCTTTCTTTATTTTCGTAAGTAACTATTTATTTGCTTTTATTATATTGAAATATAGTAGAAATAAAATAAAAATGACTAAGATAACCTTATTAGTACGATGTGATATAAAAGTAATGGAATTTATGTAATATATTGTAAGTTGTAAGGGTATTTGTAATATTAGGTAAATAATACAATTATTAAAAAAAAATTGATACTTTGTTATGAGACGGACTAAAATAGAAAAATTGATATTTTGTTATGAGACGAATAAAGTAATTGAGATCAATGTAAATTGTAAGGGTGTCTTTTATTTTTATTTGAATTTGAAATTTGATTTAAATGATATTTCTTGATATAATTTTTCATAAAAAAAAATAATAATATCATCCAAACTTGTTGCCATCAAACATATAGGTAAGAAGGAATTTTTTTTTCGATATAGTAATCGCTATTTAATAAATTCAAAAAAAATACTTATGTCTTTTACGAAAGGAATCTTTTTTTTTATTATTATTATTTTTACTTATTTTTTTTTTAAAATATATGTTCGATTAAATTGGTATAATTTTACATGAAGGAATGAGTATATTTTTATATATGAACAAAATAGAAATTAATTTGCAAAAAAATAAAATAAAATAAACTAGAACCTGCAAATAGGAGTTTTTGGCATAGCTGTTGGCACCATCACCGCCGACCATCACAGATGATGACTGTGTCGTCAAATTCATCTTTTGATCTGATCTTCAAATATGAAATGGGTCGATTGTTCAGCCCTTCACAAGTTTGATTTATAGTTCCATTATATATATATATATATATAGATGTAGACAGATATATTAAGGCGGTTGTACACATAATATAAATATAACATATAAATTGACAATACATATTAATAGCACGAGTAGCATATATAGTATTGTATAACAATAAATATCATTAAAAAATACTTCTTCCGTCGCTTCATAATCTATTTATTTTTTCATTTTGGTCCGTCCCGTAATAAAGTATTCATTTTCTTTTTTAGTAATTGTACTGTTTACCTAATATTACAAATACTCTTTCAATTTACAATATATTACACAAATGTCATTATCTTATATCATACAATACTAATAGGGTTAATTTAGTTTTTTTACCTTTATTTCTACTTTATCCCAATATAATACTAATATTTTTAAAATTTCGTGTAAAAAACAAATGAATATATAGATATGAGACGGATGAAGTATATAATATCGTTATATAATTGGATGTTAAGTGAGCTAAGGGATGCAACCAGGAGCCATTACAATAATTAACCCATATCTATCATTATAAAAATTACGATGGCTTTTGAGAGTTTTGAAAATAATAAAAAATTAATATTTGATGTGATAGTTTATGAGTATAAAATATATTTAATGTAATATTTTAAAAAAGTAGTGTCAAATACAAAATATCAGGGTCCAAACAAATAAGTAACTAGATGAAAGAAAAAAAAAAATGACAATAAAAAGTTATGTTGGCATCACTACTTGCATTTTAATTAAGGTGTGTTCTCTTTTTTGATTCATGAAAATTTCTAGGTGTGCTCCAAATACTATGTGCGGTAGATAAGATCAGAAAATATTAAAAATTTAAATTTATAATTTTAGGATCGCAAGTTCATTCTACATTACATCATATTATCTCTTAGAGGACATCTTTATTACTACGAATGTGCGGCATACAATGAATAAAAATATATATATTTTTAATTAATTATGCTAAAATAAAATTACTATATATATATTGGGATTCCATTTTGATCCGATTTGACGATTAGCATACGACATAGAAGTAAACAATATATACTTTTTATATAATATAATATATGATGTGTTATAAAATATCATATATTGTATTATAACATAATATATATATATTCCTATTATATTATAATTATATATATAATAAATATTATTTACCTATGTTATATATATTAATCCAGTTAAATTAGTATCATCCGTGAATCCGTGCCCATATATATTTATACGTTATCATAAAATAATAATATTATTAATTAATTGGAGTAGTTGGAGGTTGCCGACAACATAATTGTGAATTCTATACATAGTAATTTTGTTAAATGCCTTGCACTATAATCAAAATTTTCTATAAATAAACAAGCTAATTTAGAGGAACGATAGAAATAGAAATATGGTAGTGATCAAATCGACACCGTTGAATTTAATTATTATTATTATTAATAATTCAACGGCCAAGATTATATAATAGGATTTAAGTATATCCGCGCCCAATTTCTCTCTACCTCGTTGATAAGTATCACGGAAAATCTAATAATGAAGAAAAAGAAAAAAATACTCTCACCGTCTCTTTTTTTTTTAATGTAATTTTAGAAATATTATTATTATATTGGAATATAGTAGAAATAAAGTAGAAATAACTAAAATAACTTATTACTATGTGTGATATAAGGTAATGTCATTTGTGTAATATATTGTAAGTTGTAAGAGTATTTGTAATATTAGATAGATAATACAGTTACTAAAAAAAATAGATACTTTGTTATGCGACGGACTAAAATGAAAAAATGAATAATTTGTTATAAGACGGAGAAAGTATTGGTTTTGTTTACTCAAATAAATTTTTATTTATATCATTCTTAATATATACTACATTCACTTTTAATGTCTGCATATATTTCGATTTTTCTTTCATTTAATTTAAATATTTAATTTTTAACGTTTTAGTAATTGTAGATCATTGACTAACTATTAATACTTTGTTTTTACACTTATATATGATCTTATCATCACTATATTATACACTTTTATATATATATATATATATATGAAAGTAAGACAATATAATATTTACATTATTATAATCGACTATTATTAAAACATTAATATTCTGTAAACAGCATGAAAGAGTAAACGTAGTCGACGACGAGAATATATAATATTTTATTCTCTACAAAAATTAATATGTAACCCAAAATACTCTATTCGTTCGGGTTATTTATGCCACAATATTCGGACATAGAAACTAAAAAATAATACTTTATCTGTTATTTTTTTATTTGGTGTGCCCCACACCAAAGTATTTAATTTTTTTTTAGTAATTGTATTATTGACTTAACATTACAAATACCCTTTCAATTTATAATATATTACACAAATATCATTACCTTTATATCATAAAATACTTGTAGATTTAATCTTTTTACTTTTATTTCTACTACATCCCAAAAACAAACGGAAAGATAGATAAATATAAGACGGAGGGAGTAATATTTTAATATAAAAATGAGATATATAAAAAATAAATTTGGCGTATTATAAAAATTTTATTAAAGAGTTAATAATAAAATATCATGATAAGTAGAAAAATAACGACAAGTTAATTGGTTATTATTTGTTAACGTAAGAGTAATAAAATTATAAGTTTGATAAAATTGTTTACTATAAAATGGATTATGCATATATTAAGTGGACAACAACAACAAAATGACATAATTATTCTGGACGGAAAGAGTATTATTTTTTATATTATTGATATGATTTAACACTAAATAAATATAAATTAGTCTATTCACTTAGCATTCCCAATAGAACAATTTATCATAAATATTATTTAAAAATACAAATGTACTCACATTAATAATATATATATCACTCACTCGTTAAAAAATCAATAATTCAATACAAAATATTACTCTTTTAATCATAATTCAAAGTACTCTTTAATACAATTTTTGTAAATCTCATTTTAAAGTATTATTTTTCAATTTTAGAAAAAATAATCATACAATAATATCAAAATACTCTTAACTTTTATTTCCGTTATAAACATATCATTACACGTACCATTATTATATCTAAAACGTTGAGCGTACATACTTACTATTATTTATTTTTTATTTATATATTATACTTTAATTAAAATTTAAAATTATAATTTAGATACCAAATTTAAATAGTATCATATAAATTTTTTTAATTATACTAAAATTATTAAATATAAGTTATAAAATTTTAAAATAAATTAAAAAATACTAATAATTTAATGCTCCTATTGTATTGTAATTTTATTTTTAATTTATATGTCTTCTTTAAGTTAATATATTAAAATATAGATAATTAAATTTTAAAAATATTTAAATATAATTAAAAAAATTAAAAATATATATATAATTTTTTATTGAAAAATACAATCATATTAATAACTTGTCTTTGTTTATTCCAGGGATTTTGTGGGATTTCTACTATTCTCATAAAATTTTTTTTCCAAAAACATCAAATCAAATATTTATTTTTCATTTTTTATCCCAATCCAAAATCCAAGCCCTCAAACAAACAAACACACCCTAATAATTTTGCACTTTCAATGTTGCATCCAAATAATTTTTCATGAAAAACTGTTTTTATACCCAAACACAAAATCCTACTTCTTCTCTTCATTTCTGTTTCTTGTTTCTGCTTATTCTATTTCTTTTTATAAATAGACAGCTACTAAAATATATTTCTAAATAAGTTTTTATTAACTTTCCAATTTCAAAAAGAAATTAGACAATAATTAATTATTTAAAGTAATCAATTATGGAGAAAAATAATACTCCCTATATATTTTAAACAGAAATAATGAGTATTGTTATACAAAAAAATCTATTAAGTAACAAAAATAATTAGGAAAGTGAAAGCAACAAATACTCTAAAATGCTATATATTCTTGAAAAATTGCCTAAAATATAGTGTAAACATTAGTAGTGTAGTGTAAGTTTTATAAATAATTAGTCAATTTGTTAATTTGAAAGTATATTTAAACATAGAACTATAAAACAGACCCGCCTCCCCCTCTTCGGCGCTCAGTCTACGCGGCGGCCGGCGGTTTTTTTTCCGCCGCCTGCTTCGGGCGGACCACGACGTTCTGCTACGAAGGGCGTTGTCTTGGTGGATTGTCGAAGTAAGAACTCAATTTCTGGTCTTCGTTTCCTTTTTGTATGCTGATTCCTTTGGGATTATGCGGTACATGCTTTAGGCCCTATTTAACTACAAATCTACAATTAGTTACTTTTATGCCCAAAAGTTTGCTTCTTTTACTTGTGATCGGAAAATTCTCTTTCCTCTCTATCTGATTGAAATTATTACACTGCAATGGAGGTGTTGAATGCGCTTGATGCATGCATAGAACCATTTCAAATGAAAACGAGAGGGGAAATGTTTTGATGACGTGATGCCAACGTGGGCAGATGAAAACTGGCTGGGTGGCTGTTTATTAAGAAGTTTGAATTTTAATCTCTGTTTCTCAACCCTGTCCACTGCAAGAACTCTGGTAACCCTTGACATATGCAACTTATCCGCACTTCATTTGGTTATTTGGTTACATGAAAATGAAGTGTTAATTATGTTTAAAGTATTTCCCCCAAAGCTTATTGCTCACATTGGTAATCGATGAGAATCGGTTCAGGCAAAAAAAAACCAAGAACTGTTTGTTTCCTATGAGTGCCGAAGGTAATAGATTGTTTTATCCATAATTACAACATATATATTATGTAGTATTTCAAAATAATCAACCCCTAAAGTACGCCAAATGTGATTAGGATGGATGAAAACAACATAGATATTGGATCGTAAATTGAAATTTTTAGAGTATTAAACTCACTATTCTTGTTCTTTTGAGATTATCCCATCCTATTTAATAGTTTGTAATAAAATCTGTAAAATAGCATTATGGGATTATAATCCCATAACACAAAGTAAATATGTCCTTTTTGGGAGCACATCAAGAATGTATTGGTAATTTATTCTGGACAAGGTATTAGGGATTATGGTTGCAATATCTAGTTTGGGTGTCAGTAAATAGTGTCATGATTTTGGTGCGTAGAAAGCATGCCCCGATGACAAAATGTACCGAGTGCATTTTGTTAATTTATTCTGGACAAGGTATTAAGGATTAATGCTGTAATGCCTAGGTTGGATGTTAGTGTCGTGCCAGAATTTTGGTGTCTTTAGGAATCAGTGCACTATTGGATTTGGAATGCCTCTTTTTACCATCATTTGGACAGTGCATCTTCATTAGCATCTTGCCCTTCACCAATAATCTTGATAACTGAGAATTGTGAATGCACATGATGTATTCTGCATTGTATATTGTTCGTGGTAGAATATTTTACTAATAATGTTTACCGATATTCCTTTTACAACATTCAACGATTTTTGGTTTAAATAATTCGAAAGGGAAAGAAAAGAAAATAGGAGAGAAAATGAAATTGTTTTGGTTATGTTCTTTTTGAGTTTTTTTTTTTTTTTCAATATTTTTACTATACAGTTTCCTTGTTCCCAATAAAACCATATTTGTTTTCCATAAAATATCGCATCCAACCACTATTCACCTAAAAACCAACAACAACCAAAACCTGCAAAAACACAAAAGAACACACTTTTCTTAATTGTAATAATTAAATGCACATATTTTAAAATTATTAATAATTGTGGTCAAATAATTTAGTGATATTCTGAATTCAAATTTTAATTGAATACGAGCTGCTTGCTTGTATGCTCAAGCTTGATATTTGCACAATGAGCTAAATGAGGTTGAGCCTTTCATGCCTTTTCTGCACATATTAGGGCTCAGGGCAATATCAGAAAATACAGAGTGCTTAACTCAAGTTTGGCTAATTTACACCCTCCCTATTTACTATTTAGGTACGCATTTAATTCGTAGGTATTCGAAATTAATGGCTGCATTATCTTTACATACCATTCTGACGTGGATTTAATTAATTCAGATTCTCTGTCACATTATTCTATGTCTCCATTTTATATAAGTTCTTCCATCGACTACATCGCCATTTCTATTCGTCTTCTCACCCTCTATTTCATCTCTTAGAAAAACCTCAGACACAGAAAGGGCATATTGAATAGGAAGGAATCCTTCATGTAAACATTCTGTTCATAATTATTTCTTAGTCTTGTTTGATTGTGTTGGTTACTGATTTCCTATTTGTTTTTTAGATTCTGCATTTGTCCATCTTTGCTGTTTGAGTGGTGGGAAATTGTTTCTGTCATCTACCTCCACATATGAAAAACAATATAAAAGTTTAGTTAAAAAATTTTTTTACTATGAATTAGTTGCTGTTTCGATGTGATTCATATGATACGCCGTGCATCATCTTTCTTTATTGTCGAATTTTCATTTACTATGGGAACCAATTGTTGATGAATTGTAAATTTGAGAATTTTTTACATGAGAATAGAAATTTTCTAATTGGCTGATGCTGAATGTGCTTCTCTCAGCTTGAATCCATCATAACTTTATTGCAGGTAAATAAACAAAATTTAATAGTCTTTAATGAATTTATACAGCATTTTTGCTTTAGATTTTTCTAGTTATTAGAGTTTGCTTCGTTCATTGATTGCCTTCCAGATGTCTTACTTATATGGAAATGATGGAAGGCTATGTTTCTTGGAAACAGGAGACATATAGAAATGACAGATTTTATGTTTATCACTTTATTGAAAATTAGAATAGCCATTTTTTGTTTATGGTTAGTTGGTCCTATATGTTCAAAACTGTTGGCTTGTCAATAGATTCAACATCCTGAAGGATAGGATGCCCTTTTTCATTTTAATGTCTTTGTAACTTTTATGTGGTGCAATGCATTTATTCATTTGTGTTTGAATTTGATTTTGATTTTGATTTGGGGTTTCATCAGTATATGATAACAACCGTTGAATGTGCAAAGAGTTTCTTATTTTGTCTATTCATGTGAAGGATGGATCTAAATGTACTACATTTTGGTTCTTCACGCACTGATGAGGATGAGAAGAATTTGAGGATATTGCTTGAAGCTTTTGGTTCTGTGGTTTCCCTTGAGGACATAGCTTCAATCTACTCTCAAAATGGTCAGAACATGCAATCTACTGCTGAAACCCTCTGTAACATGCAGGGTGGCATAGCTGAAACTTCATCGAGAAAACCACAGGATAATGTGGGAAAGGTATTTTCTGCATCTCCTCTTTCTGATACTGTATTAGAGGCATCTGCTTCCTCAAAACCACAGGACACTGTAGAAAAGACATCTTCCTCAAAACCACAGGACAATGTAGAAAAGACATCTTTTTCCTCAAAACCACAGGACAATGTAGAAAAGACATCTTCTACATCAACTCTTTCTAATAGTGGATCTGAGAATGATCAGGTGGTTAATTCAAAGCCAAAAAAGTGTTCAGCAACAATTGGAACTGTGTCCAGCATGATTGGAAAGGATTATGTCAGGCCTAGACCTCAGAAAACAGGATCGGATAAGAAGGGAAAACCAGTGAAATTACATTTGGGAGATTTTCTTGCCTCTGAGATCTGGGAAGAGAAAAATGTGGATACTTCTCATGCCAAATTCATGGACAGAGATATGCAGGAGTTTATTTTCAAAATGCTTGGAGATGGCTTTCAGCTGGATAGGAGTGTGATTCAGGATGTTGTCGGTAAGAAATTCTTGATTATTTTGTAAAGCTGGGTATTGTTAGTGGCAATTGTTTTTTGGCACTGGTTTGATAGAAATCTATGCTGTGAAATTGCATGTACATGGGTAATTTCTTAAATAGAATTCTTTGTTCCTTTGTCAAAGAGAATTATCTTCTACAATTCTTGATCATGTGATTGAGAACTCATGGTTTCATCATTACAAAAAAAATAATTTGTCAATAGTTGGAATTAGTGGCTAAAAATACTCATTTGTGCTGTTTGAATTTGTCTATTTTGAGTGTTTAATTAGTCTTGAGTTTCTTTGTGAAATACCTCCAGAGTTGCCATTCTATTTTCGCATAATAATTAACCACAGCACACATCAAATCTCTATAAACAATTAGACATATGAATTGCTAAACCATTTCATGGAGATCTTTCGAAATGGCTCCACAGGTCGTAACATAGAATTGAGTTACTTTATGGAGTTCTGTTTCTACTCCAGTTGCTTGAACTTACTTCATCCATGGCCATTGATGATGTAGGTTATTTAGATATTTTTCAGTGCAATATTTGTATTTAATTTGTTTTCATTTTAATAACATTTCAAATGATATATTTTGTTTATATTTTATCTCCTGAAGTTGACATCAAACTATTTCATAGTTCATACTCACTTTTGACTCAAATGCTATTATGATTCAAATAGACTTACATACATTTTTTCAAAGAATATCAACTTGTGATTGTTTGAGTATTTAAGTTAAAGTCCATTACATCTTTTAATAACTCACTTTGCAATGTTTTAAATTGCAGGTCAATGTGGCTACAATATGCCAATGGTAAGTCTCTTTTGATTCAATTGTTATGAATTAACTGTCATCTTTATTGAATTGATTTGTTTGTTTCTTTTTTCTTTTGAACTCAATTTTGTTGAAGAGTTTTATGCTTTGTTGCTTCTGAAGTTTTTTAGCTTTTCTTTGCATAATTATGCTGCATGTAACAGTTCATAAGAGTTATATATGCTAACTATGGACTACTCCTTGTTTCCATTTTTCTCTTCCTAAAACTATGAAGTGCGTAGATAAACTTCTCAACCTGTCAACAGCAGCCCCTGTGAAAAGTGATGATGCTATTGGTATATCTGCTGGAGATGTGAAGCCAGCTGCAGGAAGGTATGGCACTTCAATTTGTAATATATGTTGTGCACGTGATACATAAGAAATTCTTCCCCATATTGTAGAACAGACATTCTGTAATGACCTTGTTAATGTGGTGAATCATACTTATGTGTCAGTATGAAGACTGGTGTCCAAATGGGAACAATATTGCCTCCGGCAGAGATCGAAAAGAAGAATATTGAAAGAGAAATTTTGAATGCACTTTTTTGTGCACCTGACAGAACAGAAGAGGACTCCAGTCCAGTTAGACCTGTGCAACAGCCTCTATCTAGGATTGTGACCAAACCACCAGATGAAATATTTATCGAAGATTTTACTTTTATTACAAGACAAGCTGTTAACGAGAAAAGTAATTATCACTTTTCTTTGCTACTAATCTGTTCTCTATTCTTGTATCTCATTTAAATATTATTATATTAGTCTGCACTAATTTTGGCATTTGAAAAATGCAGATATACTAATGAGTTGTTTACTCACTGGTTAGATTTTTACATTGATGTTTTCTGGTGCATGCAAATTTTGGTTAGGTTATGAAGAAAACCTGAGTAGCTATGAGGAGTTCCACAGAGTGAAGGTGGAATATTGGGATAGAATGAAAGAGTGTTACAAAGCTGTAAGTTTGTATTCTACTATTGTGGCTCACCCTTGCTGTCTACACTTCCTCACGCTTTTCATGAACCCCTTTCAGATTTGAGTAATTAGGATGTATTTCATACTTTCTATGCCTTCACCTTCAGTTTCTGTAATCTTTTTGTGGTATCTTAATTTTCTACAGGCTGTGGAAGCATATACTATGGAGGATTATGAAAATGCAAATGAACTTGTGGAGAAGGTACGCAATACGTATCTTCGAATCTGGAAGAAATAAAAAGATTTGATCTAAGTTCTCTAATCATATAACTATTATAATCTGACCAATTATTCCTGAAGTTCATATTATATTTCCCAACTGCAATCTAATGTCATGCTCATCTTTATTCTCTATTTGGACTCTTTTCACTCAGATAGTATATGAGTTTATGCATAGTCAATGACTTGTTAATTTTGAGTACTCCGAACTTTTTCATTGATTATAATTGGACGCTTCATTTTTGTTTGAGCTTTTACTGCTCCAGCCAATATTCACTATAAGGTATTATATACTGATTGATTTTAGTAAGGCATGCACATTGGTAGCTATTTTGATTACATCCGCCACCGGTCTTCTAACAAGTTATATTCTGCCATCTACAACCAGTTTCTCAATGATAATATACAAAGTTGTGAAGGGAATCTGAGTAATTTGCTCAGGTTTCTTGCACGGAATTGTACATGCATATACATAATTCAACAGTTCAGATAGTTGCACCTGCACTCTGTTTAGAATATCTAGAATTTTATTTCTCCTAAATCTATTTGTGTGAGATTGATTTTCCTATGACCTTACTCATAACCTTATTCATTTATATCGCTTTAGGGTCACTCATATATGAGGAAGGCCCAAGAAGCAAATGATAAATCTGCTCAAAAGCTTATTGAGGACAGGTGAGAGTGAAGAATTACACTATGTTCTTTACTTTCTTTATGGTAATCTGCTCCTTTTATTGTGCCCTTGACTGGTTGTGTGTGAAATAACTGAAGAGTCCTTGCATCTCTTTGTTTTGTCAGCGATGAGGAAATAATTTCTTTGAACATGCACTATTTGGGGCCAAAGGATGCTCTACGCCAAATGAAGCTTAATTTGACAACCTTTTCGGGTTTGCCAGGTCAGTTATCTTTTCCTTGCCATTTTCTAAAGTCTAAACCACAATCCTTAATCCTATGATGGGACTCTGACTTCATTTTCATCAGGTATTAGCTGCTTAAAGGTTGTAGTTGGCACTGAACCGGGAGAAGCCAAAGACGAACGGAGAAAGCATCTGGTACGAGCACTTTGTACATTGTTTGAGCACTGAATAATGGGAAACCTTGTCTACTTTCAAACTTCAAGCAATGCTTGTCTAACTGATAGGGAGAATTTGTATTAGGTTTTTTATGCTTGAAAAATAGATGCATTTATGTGTAATGCTCAATTACATGAATCATGACAAGATTATGTGTGCAACTGTAAAAAAAAATGACAGCAATAGGTGATGATATGAGATTTTGCCAGTTAGAATCATAGAACAATTTAGCTTATCCCTTCACATTTCTGGCTGCAGATCACAAAGCTTTTGGAGAAAGAGGGGATTCCCTGGACAGAAGAAGGGAATGGACGGATAATCACCATTGCTGTGAAGGAGATAGATCCGAGAAACCTTAGCTTTGCAAACAAATAGCCAGTCTTTCAAATTCTCTTTCCATAAGAACTGATATTTTGAGGTTTGATATTGTCTTCGACATTCTGTGGCAACAGATCTTACCATTTTATAATGAGCGGAAGGGAATGTACAGGCAATCACCATCACCGTGATGTACGTATCCGAAGAAACCTTGGCTTAGCAAACATATAACTAGTTTTTTGAAATTCCCTTTCCATATAAACTGATCTTTTTGAGTTTTGGACATTTTATTACCATTCATCAACAATCACTAATGGTAGTGCCTTTTTTTGACTATCTGCCTGTATACTTTGGATTTTGGCTGAGTATATCATTCTTTTGTTTCTTGAATAATGTCACTTACATATACAAAAAGCATAGATTGCATGCGTAACCAGGTTAGGGAGAATACATACAAAAAGATACACATACATATACATACATATATATATCCTCTGCTGCAACAGAAATATCATGATTCGTGAATGTTTTAAGCTTGTAAGAACCACAAAACTGAAGGCTGCAATGGGATTTCTAAAGGGTCACTGAGTCAATCTTTGCATCTCATTATTTCGATCTTCTAGAGTCTCAAGCAGCAGAGGCGGTGCATATTGCGCAGTTCCTTGGTGCTCGTCCGAGTCTTGGCAGAATGAAAGGATTATAGTGTCGATGGACATCTCCACGACTCCAAAGAAGAGACTCGCAACAACATACCCAAACCCCCAGCACACCTGCACCGGGATGAGATGATTTCAACAATCAGTTCTGCCATGATTTATAATCCTTTTCACAGTCGAGCATTCATCAAATATTAGGGTATACACATACATACCAGGACAGGAAACAGTGGAGAAGAGATCTTGTTGTGTGCAGATTTATACTTGTGATCATCCAACATGAGGAAGGCGAAGAGCGCGCTGGTAAGGCTCACACAAAGTTTCCCGAGAAAGAGTATCACATCTCCGATGACATTCACCTTACCAATCCGAAGGATGTTGCTCATGATCAACTCTGTAGCAATCTCCGAAGCTTTAAAGAACCCTTTCCCAGTTATTGCAATCTGTAAGAATCGAACAATTTCCCGTATAAGAGATAGGCTAGAGACCACAGTAACATTCACACCCCTAAATCATTCCAACACAAAATAAAATAGGGCCATTTGTTTTCTACTGAATGCAACAATGCAGCTGAAATGATACAGCTAAAAGAACGCTACTAAAAGTGGCATAAATATGCAAATTTGAGAGTTCGACTTACCATAATGTAAGCATTACGATTAACAGATCTGACAATCCATCCAATGCACCTCAGACAACCCTGTGAAGTGTGATACATCACTTTTCCAATCCAGCTTTGAGGCACAGAATTAATGTGTTTGAGCTTTCGACGAAGTGCTTCAAGTATAAAACGAACTGATTCAACAAAAGACACAACCAGAGAGCCAAGAGCTACGGATCCTAGACTGTATCGCGCAAGCCGCTTCATTGAAGAGAAAACAGGAAGAAAGGGGATCTCCGGCTACATTTGGACGAAAGAAAGGAGATACAATATGAGAGAAGTATCGGGAATTTTATCAAATCAACTAACAAACGACAATCCTATTTACATTTAACGAGTGATCACAAACTATAATAGATATAAACAAACATTTCGAAAATCAATAATACTTGAGAGTGTCTTACAGATATTTCTCCTTGAGCCCAATAATACGATGCAACAGAACCCGCAATCACTGTCGAGGAGCATGCTCTGATGAACTGAGTAGCCCAGTAGCCACCGAAAAGATGAAAAAGGATTGCGACGGCAATATGAGAAGTGTAGCGGATACTATAGCCACAACAACTGTTACAGCTCAGTCTCATTGCTTTGAGATTGTATGCACAGCAATTAGCACCACAATCGTTCTGTACAACTCTTCCAGAACTGAAAAGATAAAGGGCAGCAGCCAGCCAGAACATAAAGAAAATGGCGAGTATGACGTATGGCATAACTGGAAAAATTATCAGTGCCTGGACTTCTCCGATGACCTTTGCAGCAACCTGTAATGGAATGGAGCAGTAAGAAACAGTTAGTCATAAAGAAGTGATAGGTAAAACATCCGTGTGCCATTTTAGGTTAGAGAGACAAGAAAAAAGAAGTCAAAGGCTTTTGCATATCCCTTAATGCCTAGTTTCATAATTGTACTAACACACTATGTATAAATCACATATATTTCAATGGCTAAATGTTTCAACAATCAAAATGAGATCGAGGAAGGGTGCAGCATGGTAGAGAAGACATCATGCAAAACAATGAACATGTTAATGCTTGTGAAAAGTAGGGAATTGCTTGATTTTACAATGAAGCGAAGATAATGTGGCTTACCTTGAGAACAGATGTTGCCATAAGGATCCGGCGGACTATAGCAATCGAAGAAAGGAAAGCAACAATCATCAGGACTGTCATGAAGACAGCAGCTGCATGGAGATGATTTAGCTCCTGGAGACAGGAGAAATCCATATCAAAACATGTTTGATTTTAATGACAATGGATGACATGTTTGAAAAAGAAAGTTGGATCAAGAATCAGACTTGAAAAGGCATCTATCATCAAAATCCGAAGAAAATATATCAGATTCAACAATAAGAGTCAAGAAATAGGGACCATCGAAAAACTTGTACGAGCATCCAGAACTTAAGTACTACCCTTGAGGATACATGATAGTACGGGTCATGCTCGCCAATAATTGGAGAAATGGCATCATTTCCGATCCACCCAGCTGAAAAAAAGCATGAATAAGCATTCCAATCAAATTATGCAGAGGTTATCAAAATAGAAATCATAACAATCGAACCCCTTCAGTTCATGTGGCAATTGTTTATACAATGAAGAGTTAAGTTTATGATCTAAGAGCATTTCACTAAGAATAATATGCCGCAAATGAAAATCAAACCAAATGTCCAAACAAACCCTCTTAAAGAAAAGGCATATGAAGAGAGATGCTAACCTTTCAAATAGTAAAACATTGTAACAGATACCATGAGGATATTAAAAACAATGACAGTGATCCACGGCATTCCGGCAACAAGATGACGGATCATCAAAAGCCATATAATCGACAAAAAGAGCGGCAGAAACCCTCCGCATACAAGTAGCACAGGCCAAGATTTCCCCACGTCCGCCACATACCTCTGCAAATTGTAGCAAAACCAGAAAGATTGCTCATTTTACAATAGAATTAGATAATTAAATACAAAAATACAAAAAAAACACTCTAAACTAACTTTCAACAACCCCTTTTAGGTTCACAAGTCCAATGTTTCGATTATCTTAGCCAGTACAAGGAAGTGTGGAAGTTCACCAAACCTTTAGTACAGCTGATCGAGCATTAACTGCTTTGTGGATGGATTTATCAATAGCAATGTCTTCTATGACTTTCACTCCCCCCATGATCTCCCAACGCTTGATAGAAGTGTTCGATGCATGCGCAATGAACTGGCAAGTCCAATAAACTAACAGGGGAATCGAAAGTAGCCTTTCAAAGTCAAGTCTCAATGCAACTTTTCAAATGCAAAAAGGTTAAAACTTTTAACAATATTTACCGTTGACGCTAGGAAATATAACCGGATAGCAGGGACCCTGAAGCTGAAGAGAAGTGTTCCTGAGTTCAGGAGTAAGGTCGGCGAAATAATCGTAATTCCTATCAATCCAGTCATCCAATGGGATTTTAACATCTCCCTCCGGGTAATCGCAGACCCAATTAAGTCCATCCTCAGATGGGATAGGACAGTCCATCAAGCAAATACTCCGGGCATCCGAGAGCTGGAATTTGGTGCCCTTCACCCCTGACTGGTATACCTGATTGGGATTCAACCAATATCTGAGTTCCAATTCACGAAGATCCCGGGCAGCATGCCGATCGCCGCAGACATTCCCTTCATAGTCCAACCCATAATTCAGCCTGCCACACAACAGGATATGAAAGTAAACTACATTACAAAGAATTAAAGACCAATACAATCAATGCACTTAAAAGGGAACTTTGACACATCAAGAAGCATTCTTGTTAGACAACCAGCTTCCAAAAATCAACGATTTTGCTCAGAAAGGAGCACAAGAATAATGAAACCCAAACCCATTAGAGGTCCCAAATGTGAAAGTGCAATTTTTTATATTAAATCAAGAGCAAGGTAGAGAGCAACAATACTGTAATAAAAAATACTAAGAAAGCAGATCATGAAGGCATAAAATGCATTAGGAAAATTGCAAGAAAAAGCAAGGAGGCCTGTCTCTTTACATACCTTAGTGGGTTTCCTTGGTTGAAGCCAAAGCTGGAGTTGACAATCATGGCGACCCAGAAGGCAATGAATATCACAAGAAACACCAAATCTCTGCATTTCCTGTTGTGCTTTATGATATCACTGCTTCTTTCCCTCACTCCACCGTTGCCCTCACTAGATGACGGATACCTTCCTATTACTGGCCCCAATGGCCCTCTCATTTTTCTTCTCTCTCTTTTTTTCTCTCTCTAAGATGTAAATGGGGGGATGAGGGAGAATCTGTGGGAGGAAGGAAAGTGAAAAGTGGTGTGTGTGCTCTGGGGACAGTGAAGAAGAAAGAATGGAGTGAGGGCGAATGTGAACTGTGAAAGGGGGACAACAATCTTACAAGTCCATTTATGACCGAGTATCTTTTCCACTAATTGGTAAAGTTGTGAGCTTTAATCCTTAATTATTAGCATCACTGAAGTTATAGCTATTAATAAGATTTAGGGTAGTGTAGTGTTTATCGCGGAGTACAGACTACTTGTTCATTCATATCATTTATAGCAAACAGTAGGGTGTAGCACTCGAGTGTTTTTCAGATTAATTTCTTCATTTCGGGCTTAGATGTTCAATTGGGCTTTTCATATTTATTAAGCCCATTTATTCTCTTGCCAGTAGTACTTAATAGACACATGAGATTATAGGTTCATGCGATGAAATCGAATGTCAGACAATAGGACCGATGGAGTTCCGTGCTTTGGATCTGTGTAAGTATACCAAAGAGAGGACACACATGAATTTATTTTTAAAAAATTAATTTATTTATTATCTTTTTAATATTTTTATATTATATTATATTGACGTGGCAATAAGAGAGAAATATAGATAGAACCCGAAAGTTGGATTTCTTCTGTTGCTGGTTCTATTATGGTCTATCACCCATATTTTTTAATGATGATAATGAAGGCTTAAACTCCATTGGTGTGCAGTCAATGACCTTAAATAGATATGTTTATGTTGATGCAAGAAAGATAAATGATGGTCAAATAAAAAGGGTAAACAATTTGATGATTAACATTACTGTGAAAACAATTACTGCATTTCATCAAGTGCCATAGTCTGTCTATACATGGCACACTAAAAGTTCATCATAAGGTTTATTTAAATTTAACCCATTTTCTTTGCCCTGGCCCTGAAGAAACAATTTATACACTTACAGGAATTTCTCTATGCTGGTTGTTAATGTAGACTCTGGAACTGCACCGATCACAGCTTCTTTCTTCTCCCCATTCTTGAATATTATTACTGTAGGAATGCTACGTACTCCATACGTTGTTGCCATTAAAGGGTTCTCATCAGTGTTGAGCTTGTAGCATTTGAGCTTTCCGGCATATTGCTTTGCGAGTTTATCGATGATAGGGTGGATCATGCGGCATGGTCCACACCAAGGAGCCCAAAACTCAACCAGAACTGTAGTATTACACTCAAGCACAAGAGACTGCCAAGTTGAATCGCCGACAGCAGATACTGCATTTATTCCGAAGGAAGTTAAACCATTGTCACAATCAATTTGTTATTATTCAAAATGCAAACATATACAATATGCAGATTCCAACATATGTAATTTGATTCGGAATTGTAATGAATCTTCATTATGTGTCAAGTGAAAGCTTCAAAATAAAAAATAAAACTTGTACTTGAGGCAATTGAGTTAAATAATCATAGCAAGATGAACCGGATGTTACATATATCTTTCCATAGGACAATATAATTTATTCCTTCGACATGTCAAGATTCCTTTTTTCAACAAAATGGATAGTTGTTTCCACATAATCTCATGAACAGGGAAAATGAGAACTCCTGAGTGCACTCTGCAGAAGATGTTTTCTCATCAAAAAGGAAATTTCAACAACAAATTTTCTCTTAGGGTGTGTTTGTTTGAGAATTGGATTTAATTTCCACTATTCATCCCATTTTTTTCCCCCAAAAACATCAAATCAAACACCTATTTTTTATTTTTATATTATACTAAAAATCAATTTTCCATTCAAAATATCACATCAACACCTATTTATATCATCACATCATACAACTATTCAAATTCAAAATTTTTACTATTCAAATCCCAATTCAAAATTCAAACCCCCAAACAAACACTGATACATTCACTTCATCGGATGAAAGGGATACACTGTTTACCCCTGCATCACATATCCCCTAATATTTGCTAGATGAGATTCACATTGAAATGGGCCATAACTGCATACATAAGGAGGAAATCAAATCGTTGTTTGTAACACAATCAAACAAATCTGCAAAATTCACCATTAACCTTTATAGATTGCATCATTAAGCATTAGAAACAAAAATAGCCTAATTAGATATGACTGATCAAGACTAACTAAAAATACTTTTCAAATTTCAGACTTTCTTGAAAGAATATTACAAGAAAATGCAAGGCACAAGTTAAAAAGAATGAAGACAAGGTCAAGTTTGATTCGCGGAATTTGAGTGAATATGAAAACCAATGAAAGAGAAGAGTTAAAATAAAGAAAAATAATTAAATTTGACTTTTTAAATTGACTAAAAGTGAACGAAGAGAAGTACAAAAAAAATCATGTTTGCCAATGTTTTGGAGGAAAAAGAAGATTAGAAATAAAAAGAAAAAATTTTGACTAGTATTTCCATCATTTGGTGAGAGAAGTTTTCCAATCAAAGTTTTGTTTTTTAGCTTCTCAGTTTTCATGTCAACCAAACTAAAATCATAAATTAGGCCCGACAGAGCACAAGTTTGCACTCAACAAATGATCGCCTTTGCAAAATTCAACCAGTTCTTGCATGATAAATTTACGCCCCACGGACCCAAAAATTCAACATACTTAGCTGACCTAAGCACAGTGAAGATTTTTCAGCGACTGTGAATCACGCAGACGTATGTTCCAAAGTGTGCTGATGAGCCAAAATGGCAAATTACAGTATTAAAATTTCAAACTAAAAACCCATTTTCCGACAAAAATTCAACCAGCAACATGACGCAATCTAAACACCGGAAGTAGAAAATCACACAGCAGCAGAAAAATATAACAATAAAAAACAGAAAGCCATTATATGTAACCACATATCATTCAAGAAGATAATCAAGCTTCGAGGAAGGGAGCGACATAGGAACAAGAAAAATCAAACCTTCTACGGCAGTTTCTTGTGCTTCGCAGACGATTCGACCCCCACGGCTGGCATATCTGGATCTCGAGCTCATCCTGGCGGTTGACCGGGCAGGTTGGATCTTAAGGCCATTATAATCGGAGAACTTGACGGATCTTCGGCCAGAAACGGCGACAGGAGGCAAAGACGCGGATGGAGGAGCGAAGGCCCGGGGTCCGGCGAAGCTTTCGAGCAAGGAAGCCATGCCAATTGAGGAAAATGAAGGCCAATACGATGGTGGTGGTGACTGGTGAGGTTAGAGCAAATGGCGGAATCGTTGGGGGAGGAGAAGGAGCATGGGCGTTGGAAGTCCAATTCAGTTTTGCGGATTTTTGTTAGGAGCGGAAGAAATGAATGGACGAAAAAGCTTCTCACGGGTCTGTGTCTCCTACGCTGTTGGGCCCTCTCGGCCCATCAAAATATTCCATTTAATTCTAAATTTACTCTGTTTTTATTTTTATTTTTTTATTTTGTTTTTCACGATTCCGATAGGAATACAATATTTTGTATAATTTTATTTTTAAAAATTTATATTTTTCTATTATTTATACTTTTTTTTTCCCTTTTTTTACTCTTGTAGACATGATTTATAAAATTATTTTAGAAAATTTTGTGATAAAATTATGAAATCTCTATTTTAACTTATCATAAGGGAAATAACCTCCGGAACAAAATATATGTGACTGATGGATCTGAAGACGTCAAATTTGAATCCATAAGGTCACAAATTCAAGCCAATTTCTTGAAATGGAAAATTTTGAAGTATTTTGTAGTATTATTATTAAACTGTTGGAACGCCTCCATGCTTTATTATATTTACCGGAATGGACATGGCCTAATTTACGGATCAAGCCACATTCCATCTATGCTCCAAATTAGAATTATTTTTTAGTTGAGAAGTATATATTCACTTATCCTTTTTGTTATATGCTAACAAATATAAAAAAAGATATACATATATATATATATATATTTATACAAATTACAAATTTATCAAATATAGGGTTTGGGAGTTTTAGGGTACAAACACTGTTTAAGCAGTATAACTCCCCAAACTGGGGATGTCTCTTGATTGGGAGACAAAGTTGCAGGTGCTTATGGTTTTGAATTTTTTTTTTCTTTTTTTTTAAAATTTTTTAATTATTAATTCAAATTAAAATTTTATAATATTATAATTTAATAAAATATATATGCATATATATATATATACTATTTGATATAGAATAAATTTTTTTATAATATAAATAAATAAAAATTTAAAAAAATATATGTAAATATAATATAAATTTATAATCAAATTATATAAATTAAAAATTATCTATCAAATTAATACATATCAACACTCTCAAAAATTCAAACCAAACCTAAACACAAAACAAACAAAAAAATCTAAACTTATTTTAAAATTCAAATTCAGACTCAAGCTTAAAGAAACACATGTTTGTTGCATCGTTAGTTAGAAACTCAAAGAAATCTTTCTATCTTTCAGACACAGAATGTATGAAACATAGATATATACAAACTTGTGGCTCCTGTAGACTGTAGGCCGTGTTTGGACATATGATTCTGTGGCAACAAGAGAGAGAGAGAGAGAGAGAGAGAGAGAGAATCAATCATTAATCATGTGCTTGCAAATCTGCAACACAGACACTCAAACTCAAACTCAAACTCAAACAAGCGGTTAATTATGTACCGTACCTGTTCCTGTCTGTAAAATTATACTCCGTACTAAAAAAGCTGCATTGCAGAGTATTGTGTTTTTCACACTTTTCTTGCCTTGCCTTGCCTTGCAGTAGCATCTGTATTTCAAACTCAAATAGTCAGCCTGCCTGCCTGCCTGCCTACCTGCCACTCGGTCAAACTCTAATAAATTCAAACTGTATCTGTAATTGTACCCTGCCTCTCTCTTCCATGCTGCACTGCAGAAAACAACAACTACTACTACCAAATTGACCTGCTCCCCTGCATCCATTATTAGTATTACTTTCTTTCTGCTTAGTCAAAAATCTCAACTCACCTCTTCCTCCTACCACTTTGTTGGTCTGGTCTGGTCTGATCTGCTATTCCTCCATCCATATCAATGGAGAAGGAGAAGAAGAAGAAGATTGCGGAGCAGGTGAACGTGACCAACAAGGCCGACAACCAAAACCAGAAGCAGAGGAGGAACAGCAGTAGTATTCCTGACAAGGAAGAACATGAACATGAATGTGAACAACTGAAGCTTGCTGCCATGGCCATCACCTCCAACTCCAACATACGCCTGAGGTCCGCCGACATGCCCTTCTCCATGCAAGAACGAGCCCTCCGTCACGCCCTCCACCTCCAACTCAACTCCAACTCCAACTCTAATTCCGTCCGCCTCAATCCCACCCTCCTCGCCCGCTCCCTTAAAAAGGTAGCTAGCCATCTTCATCACCTGCATCTGCATCTGCATGCCAATTAACAATACAAATTAATATGAATGAATTGAATCATGTCATCTGATACTGATCTTAATGCTAATAGGAATTCGATCGAGTGTACGGGCCGGCGTGGCACTGCGTGGCCGGGAGCAGCTTCGGGTCATTCATCACCCACTCCCCCGGTGGCTTCCTCTACTTCTCCCTCTCCCTCGACGCCAACCGCTCCCTCTCCATTCTTCTTTTCAAGACTCACCTTCAACTCATCACAACTTAACAACTACTACTATGATTAATTAGTCATCAGTATTTACATATATATAGACTTCTTGATCATGATATAAATATTCATCAAGTCAAAACTGTTTAATTCATCCATCTTTCTTGTCCACGAGTTCAACTCTAATCTAATATATGTTGTGTGTGATCGATCCATCCATAATCAACACACAACTATGGCCGATAAAAGGATCAATAGCCTTGTGGTTTTGTGTGTGTGTGTGTGTGTGTGTGTTTAAACAAACATTCCAACACAATTGCAGGTCAAAATTAAAAGCATCTCAACTGTTCATACCAAAATAATACATGCGCTGGGCATAATCTGATTATTCTGCAATTGTAAAAACATCACTTGCAGACAAGATATATTTAGCGTACATATGCACACACCAGTTTTATTTTTTGAACTACATATATATAAAATGCTCCCCATGACAGCAAAAAAAAGAAGGCAGATATAGTTAAAAGAAAAAAAAAAGAATAGGACTAAAAAGGAAGTGCAGAATTAAACAGGAGTAGCACAATAACCCGTAATGTGCATGGAACAATACAGCTAAGACAGATTCTTTTCACGCATATACTGCTCTATTTTTTCCACATCTTCAGGGACATCAACACCATGGCACTCATGATCAACTTTTATTACCTGTGCAAGAGTAAAATAATCAAGACTTTGTACATCAAAATATAAAACACAAACGAGAAGATGACCTAGATTTTGTAACTAGAATTCAGTCATTGACATTGCCGTAATGCAGAAAATGATATCATATAGCATATTTAACTAGAATTTGGCCATTGAACAAAGGGTCCGAAACCAATCTCCTTGATTTACATGTAAAGTTCTCACAGAATTAAGGTGGAGAAATGGTAAAGATATGTTGATTCCAGGCCTTCTTTAACAGAACCTCAATATAAAGTATCCACGTCTCCACAGGTTTGCATAAGAACAAAACAAAAATGTTGGGAAAGAAATTTAATATTGGCACCTTCATCTTATATCCATTTTCAAGGACCTTCAATTGTTCCAGATCTTCTTCCAATTGAAGTGGAGTTGGCGCCAGATTTGGGTATATCTTAAGGAAGCTCGAATCAAAACTCTGTGAGGACAACAGAAATATGAGAGCTTAAGGCACCGACTGGTTGCAATATGAATAAAAGATGTGAGTAGAAACAATGCTGCTATGATACCTGAATCCCTAAATGAAGTAAATATGGAAATTCAGGGTTGACATTTCCTGACCTGCATATTCATGGGTCATTACAGTTACACGATGTAGCCCATAATATGGGTACTTAATACAGTATCCTACCAAAGAAAACTAACTTGTTAAATGGTATGAGTCCTCGTGAGAAATATATAGCATAGCCACGGTTATCTATCACACATTTGACACGATTCGGATCAAATGCATCTTCAGGTTTCAGAGAAGTCACTGCAGTGCTAAAGACTGCATCTGGAGCAGCCTGCCAAAGTCACAATTTCAAAATTGATCATGTTAAGAGTAGCCATGGTCCATTGCAATCAAGCACAAACAAAATATTAGCAAGGGATCTAACTTGAATTTGTTCAATGGTATAAGTTCATGTTGTTCCCCATCGAGTATTTAAGCTTTGGATGTTTAGAACATTGTTGATTCTCCTACACATCATTACCAATATTAACAATAAAATGTCCATTATATATACCCCATGGGCAAATCATTTTACCCATTAGCACATCTTAATGCAACTAAAATTTAAATGTAATTACCATAGACTTCTATTGATTGACTGAATGACAAGCTAATATTATTATAAGATGGGGCCTTATATCTTAGAAGTAGACGCTTCATATTTCAACATACTCAATTATTTTAAAAGACTTGCATTGATAAATGATTGGTAACAACCCTGGTTGAGCTATGAAATTAACAAGATAAGCATAAATTATTATGTTAGCCTGTGATCTTATAATCTATCTTCCATGAGTAAGACATCTCCGACATTTGAGACAAAGATAAGACCACAGAAAACCAGTGATTAAATGTCTTTTCAATAAATTAATCCAAATTTTTTATCCTATATTATTATCATTATATCAAGGATTAATGTCGTTACCTGAAGTGCTTTGACAATGCCATCTATAATTTCAGGCTCTATGAGTGGTTCATCCCCCTGAATATTAACGACAACATCGTATTGCTTTCCGAGCTTCTGAAGGGCTTCATTACAGCGTTCAGTGCCTGTCACAGATAGAAAAAAACACCATAAACAAAAAATTCAACTACAGAAACTTCAGTAATTCAGATCAGAGCTCCGCATTTGTAAGTGCTCATACCATTTCGGCACGATTCCGAAGTCATTACCACATCTGCACCAAACCCTCTACAGCATTCAGCAATCTTTTCATCATCTGTCGCCACAACTACACGCAGAATAAATCACAAGAATCAGCATCCACCACATACGATACAAACGAATGTGTAGAACAGAGAACTGAGAAGATGAGTTACTACCAACATGATCGAGTGATCCAGCCAATTTTGCTCTCTCCCATGTTCTCTGCGATCGAAATCCAAATCGGAATAAGATTTATACAATAAACAGTAGTAAAGCTTTTCTTAATATCGCATTCGAATGCAAATCAAAATGTGCATCTTATCATATCAAAGTAAGTGTAGTGCATACAATTATTGACAAGCCATCACGAGAGTTGTAGGAATCCCTGAGAATAGAAAGAAAACATCTGAAAAGTACCTGAATCATTGGCTTGCCCAGGATCGGAACAAGAGGCTTGCCTTGAAAGCGAGAAGAGGCAAAGCGGGCGGGTATAATTCCGATGACCCGGCTCCGAAACTTTCCAGATCGGCGGGTGTGGAAAAATGCGTGGGCACCAAGCGCCGCCGCGAGAGCTGCGGCAGCTAAAACGCCATGTGCAATCCACGCCTTTGTGGAGGCAGAGCTGGAAGATGAAGAGGAAGACGACGAATCGCAGATCGGCATGCTCTTTGGAAAAATCAGAGATGAGATGAGATCAGGAGATGAATGAATGAGCAAACACGACTGGAGATGGGAACGAATTCCAGGAAGACTGTCGCCCTCGCACTCGCACTCACACTCTCAGTCAGTCTTGAAGGGGCGATAATAGGGGTGGCTGTTCGATTTTAGCTTCAATATAAAAAACTGATCGATTTATTAATTTTATTTTCAATATAAAAAATTTGTTGTAATTCTTAGTGCCAAAATTGATTGAAATGGTAGGAAAATTTACTTTTGTGATAAACAAGTCAATACTTTACGATGGATAAGAGACACTACCTATGTAGCAGGTGTTATTGGATCGGAGTTTGAACCATCTTTTGCTCCGAGGATCGAAGAGTGTTGGTTACAAGAGATGTGAATCCGGATTTATCGAGTGTTCGAGTTTATTTATAGCATGAAACAACTCACAGCAGTTTTTGCCAAATATTTATGGTCCTTAATTTTATTTCTTCCATAGATCGATCCCATGGTATATTATACGCATTTCTATTAAAAATTAGTACAGTACCTTTTGTTTCTATTAGAGTGAAATTCCATCCTAATAAAATAAAAACAAATAAATAAATATATATATATATATATATCAAATTAATCAAACCAAAACCAAAACGAACCAAGCATTCCATTGAAGATGTGTCGAAACGAACCAAAACGAACCAAGCATTCCATTGAAGATGTTGAACAAAATACTAATGCTTCTACTGACAACTTTAATTTGTTTTACTTAAGGCTAATCTGAGTTTAAAATTTTCAATGAAGCTAACTTCTGATCCTTTCAATTTAATGCTTGCAAAAGCTTGCTTTCAGAAACATTACATATTCTTAACAACTGGAATGGTGCACCAATCTTGTCATCAAACATGATTTGGGCAAATCTAATTGTACATATTTAATTCCGGCGGCAGCCTACACAAAATCAAAATTTTCTCAACGGTAATTTAAAGCTCAACTCCAAAACCATGAAACATATCAACAATTCCTTTGGCGGGTCTTTGAACCATCACCGTTACTCTGGTATTGTCCTGAGTCATATTTCTTCTCCTTTGCGGAACCTTTACTCATGTTGGAACCTTTCCTTTTCTTACCCGAAGATTTTGCATCACTACCGCGGCCAGATTTTCCATTTCCCCGGGGTAATGGTTCTTCATCATCGTCATTCAATGGCCAGTTACAGTAAATCTCCTGTTGATCACCGAGTAAATGATGCGAGGACGCTCCAGAATCTGGGAACAAATTATTGATAGTCGCGTTCCTGTTAGAGCCTCCTTTTCGTTCCAACAATACTGCATCAGGCCGGATGATAGAACTGAGGATGCTCTTGTCTGGGCCAAGTCGGAGGATGGCTTTTGCATTTGTCAATGTACTGAACGCCATTGCGAAAGCAGATCTGACCTGGAGAAAGAAGAAATGAAACTGAGCCTATGTGCAGAGAAAGAGAACTCTATTTCCATCGATAAATCAAATAAAAATATAAAACCCTTGTGTTGGAAAATTTGGTTGTGTTCTTTTGTGAATTTTACCAAAATATTTTCCCTATTCAAATTCTTTTTCCCCTAAAAAAATATCACATCAAACAATTATTTTTTTTATATTATACTATAAATTTATTTTAAATTCAAAACATCACATCAATCTCTATTTATATCACATCAAAAAACTATTCAAATTCAACTTTTTACTATTCAAAAATCCAAATCCAAAAACTAAAACCTACAAACAAATTGAGTCTTATGATTTTTTGAATTTGCTCTCTCAAACCCATTATTTTTGTTTGGCTCTGGAATGAATTTCAAAGATTCAAAGTTAGCCTTTTAACATTTACAAAATCTCTTTAATACATTATTTTAAGTACTTCCTAAAATTCCTAATAAAACCAAACAATAGATTTGAATTTCAATACATTAAAGCAAATGGGGACTATGAGAATTTCACCTGATAATAATTGAAGGAGTTTTTCCCAATGTCATTGTCTGGAGTCTGCATACAAAGGGAAGTGCATGGTTAAGCTAAAAATCAATTTTCCTGTTTTATCTATATTTGCAAATGCCCTTTCATTTCAATTGAAGTAATGGAATTAAAATTATTAAAATTGACTGGAGCCACAAATGCCAAAATATACAAGTTCAATAGATGAATACTTTGGTTGCCTTGGAATTTTTAAGGAGTGGAGAAATTCTGCAAAAATGCAATCAAACAATACCTGTGGGTCCTCAATGGAAATAAGAGATGGTCGGCCATCAATTATGAATCTGAAAAGCATCACATGTAAAATCAAATTATTATGCGCGAGTTTACACAGTAATAAAAACAAGCAAAATTCAAGGAAAATGACAATTTTTTACCCTTTACTACTTTTTGCAAAGAAAATGCCTTCACCGTTACAGGATACACCAACATCTACTGTATTCAGTTTGCATCCATACATATCAAAAAATTTTACCTACATTGAGAAAATGCAGAATTCAAAATTATTGAATAAAGTTCCCACGGATGAAATAATTAAATTCAATAATTTTCTGTGGATATGAAATTTGGGAAAAATATAAAATAATACCAGCAACACTCCGAGGTTATGTTCAGGAGGAACTTGATCTTGCTGACCCTGAAAGGAAAAGGGAACAAAAAATTTGACAAATAAAAATAGAGTACAAATGTTGAAATGAAAGAAGAAATAAAATAAATAAATAAAGATCCCATATATCTAATATTTGTTGCTTTCTACTTTCCAAAACCAGTGGTAGAGTGGAGAAAATTTGGTGCACATACTACTATTTTTTGAAGTATAGTTAGGGAGGTTACTTCTGTGATCAAAACACCTTTTACATTACATTAAAATGCAGAATTAATGGCTTGAAGTACTTTAAAGGGCCAAAGTGATGTAATGATCTACCATAACAAACACCAAGGATACCATGACCATCAACAAAATGGCTATCAGAATTAGCATGCAATATATTGTGAATATCATTATCACCAACTCATATTTGTGTAAAATTAGAAGGAGAAATTAAAAGAAAATTAATAAATACCCGCAACATTGCAATAAGCATAGAAAGAAGTGCGTAGGAGCCAATTCCACCACTATACACCTAGAGGACAAATGCAAGTTGATGAGATTGAGATGGGTATTTTCTAAAATAAATTACAAGGAAAAACGATATCAAACCCAACCTCATTCAGCTCTCTTTGCTGGAGGAAAACTTTCAAAATCAAACATAATGGTCTAAGTGCTGGCCATTTAGATACAGCATCCTGCCAAAAATTTTCTATGAGAAGACAATGGGAACCAAATAGTAGCAAATTCAACAAGGAACGCAAATATTACCTTAATAAAATGCGCAGCTTTTGGTCCATTGTCAACATCAAAACTGCCAAAAAAGCAATGTAAGCACTTATAACGTTAGTAAGGAGAATCTTAAGATTGAAACAATCAGATCCAAGAGCGTGAATCATGAGATCCAAAAGAATCGAACATGTCTGCCCAGCAAAACAATTCTGTTTTCTTAGTTAACTAGGTAATTCTGTCCAGAATAATAGTTGCAGTTTAGTTAGATAACTAGATAATTTTATCAGCAAGTAGAAAGTTCATACACAAATGCAAACCAGACAAACAGTATACAAGGGAAATGTAGAGCAGCAGGAGTGCAATAAAACAAAACAAGAGACCTGCTGAGCACTCCTAATTTTTCCAAAAAGACCAAGGAGAAAAACACTGCTGCACAAATGCAATGAAGAAGCTACAGCCCCATATAACACCAAAAAAGATGGATCTACAATTTGATAAAGGAATAGAGTGGGCATCCTATGTGGTATCTTTATAGGTAACGTCAGATCCCAAATAGTTGGTATAATTGTTCTTTCCAGTGGGAAAAGGAGAAAGTAAAGTCACCTCCTCCATACCATAAGTCCCTTGATGTTGAGACTTTGAGAGAGCAAGATGAAGGCATATAATTAGCATACCTAATTAAAAAGAGAAATCATTGGTGCACCAACCTTATATCAAACGACACTTCACTTTTTTTCTCCACAAACTTAATAATTGGCACCCGTGCCTTTGCAATAACCTAAAAATGGAAAAAAGAAGAGAACATTGAAGAGATGCTGCATAAGTTTGGAGAAAGTGAAATAAAAATGCTAGAGGTTACCTGTATCTTCTTTGCAATTCCTCTTTGAGACAGTGCCCTAGAGAGAGCCTGTAAGCCAATCTGAGGACTTCTGACATTTGAACCCAATATGACAACCTGCAAGATATTAAGTTGTCAGGTTACAGTGCTCAGATAGTTAACTTGCTTTACAAAACAACAAATAAATTATATATTTATATATATATGTGTGTGTGTTGTATTAAGGAAGAAATCTCGCCATCATAGTAAGAATAGTGAAAAAGATAAAGGACAGCTGGTAAGTGAATATTTCCAATCAATGCCCTCTATAACAAAAATGCTATGAATCATTCTGAGAAGTCTATAAAGAAACTTGAAATCCTTCTGCACCAAAAACAGTATACGTAAACCATATCTACAACAAAATACCTAGCAAAAGATTCTAGATGACTCTTAAGCCATTGAAAGTTTGGAACGCTGCCACACCAACTAATGTAAAATTTATCTCCATGGTAAACTCAGTGATGGTGCGTTCATTTCATCTGCACATGTGATAATCAGAGATGTGGATGCAATTCACCTCTGATTGAGATTCCAACTCTTACAAATGGATTGAAGGAAATTCAGTATTGATTACATGCAGAGTTGTTGATGGTGTACATGCTGTGAAGGGCATTAAGTTGCTAGATACATGGTTATAACAAAGTGCACCATGGTGAAGAATTGTAATAATAAATAAAAATATATCTATACCATTAATCATTGTCCTGATCATATAGATGTAAATGGCGCATAGCACAAGGTCTGTGCCATGCCATGGCGTACAACATGCCATGCACTATACATATTAATATATAATTAGCATACACATATATTACAAGCCATACATCATACTTCCAAAAAACCAAAATAATCATTTAAGCATCTTAAGGTGTGTTTACTTTGCGTGATTAGATTGGATAAACTAACATTATCCAACCTAATCACTTGTTTACTTTGATTAAAATCTGTATAAATAGAAGTCCAGCATAATAATACATAATCAAGGAAAATTAATCCCTTTAATTGGTTGGATTAATTTATTCTTTGTAAATTTGTGCTAAAAGTTTAATTTATCCTATACTTTATCAAGCAAAACAAAGAATGCTTTAGAAAATCTCCTGGTATACAATACATTAGAATAACCCTAGGATTATGATCCTGTCCTAGAAAGCAAACACACCCTAAAAGGGTGTGTTTGTTTGAAGGATTTTGGAGGATTTCCACTATTCATCCAATTTTTTCCCCCCAAAAACATCAAATCAAACACCTATTTTTCATTTTTTATATTATACTAAAAAACAATTTTACATTCAAAACATCACATCAACACCTATTTATATCACATCATACAACTATTCAAATTCAAAATTTTTACTATTCAAATCCCAATCCAAAATCCAAACCCCCAAACAAACACACCCTAAGTGTTTAACAATTACCATATGTCAAAACAACGCAATAATATATACACTCATTATAAATATTTTAATAATAAAAAGTACAACATTCTTTAACTAAATAAAAATAAAAAAAGTGCACAGCGGGCTACCATACCCTTAATGAGAGGGAGATTAAGAAATTGAGAAACAAACAAACATTTATAATAGACCTAAACATGAAATAACAGAGGCACACGCCTCTGCACCAGGGAGGCATCTTAGGTAAGCTTCGCCATAAATGCTGGCATGGCCTCTGCCATTTATGCCTTGCACCATGGTACGCCACGTAAAACTATGCATAATCGAGATAAGATACTAATAAATTTCAGCTTATACTTCCATAAAGAAATACAAATACCAGATTGATTACTCACTTGGAAAAACCACTGCAAAGTTTGAGATAGCAAAAACAATTTTCTAATAATAACAATAATTAAATGTTGTATAAGGGAGAAAAGGAGCGAAGGCTGTCACTTGCAATGATGGTATCCTCTACACTTGGTTAAAGTTGCTCAAGATGGATTTTATAACCAGGCCTTGGTGAAGTCATATATAAAAATAGCATAAAATTGGCCAAGAGTGGCACCTCATTGGTGCTAAACTACTGCCACATATCATAATGCACCATGGCACGTGCCTGGACAACTACAGATATGAACACACGGTGTGTATCCTAAACATGTAACAAATGCATCTAATTATTTGCATCACATTTATTAGTTTTCCGTTAACCTCTTACCTAGTATACAACTGACAGCAATCAAACAAAATTTCTAATTAGTTCGAATCCTCTACAACAATTTGTTACTAAATTTCAATGTTTTCTGTTGACATATTTTAATGAAAATATCAGCTGTGCATTTAATAACCAAGTTGTTCAACGAATAAGGCTCGAACAATCAACGAAAGCATAAAAATAGCGTCAGGAACAAGAGAACAGACAAGTCATGACTCACGTCAATATCACTAGATGGAAGGTACAGCCCGGTCCTGAATGACCCAAAAACTTGTACCTGCAAAACATTGATAATAAGCAACGAGCAGACACTAAATACAGACTTGTGAACTCAAAAGTCACCAATATGACAGTTCAAATTCTCATCATACCTCAGCACTAGGCCATATGTATTTGATCACATTAGACACAGAGGCGACAGCAGCATTCCTGGATTCTTGCTCTTCCCGAGTTGGCGAGAGAAAATCACAAAAATCAAGTATCTCTGGACACAATTCAATCCAAAAATACTAAAATCAATTAACCATGCCCATGGTCTAAAAATCCATACTAAATTCCAGGCTGAAACAAGAACATTCCCACATCATGTTTAAACACTAAGCGCTTCAAGATAACACCGTCACAGTGAAAATTCCATTGAATTAAATTAATAAAAAAATCAAGCAATTTGAAACCTTTGTGGAGCTGAAGCATGGGGCTTTTGAAGCGAGAACCGGTGCGAAACCAGGTGCCTTCGAGACCGCCCGCGGACGCCGGGGTGGAAATTTGCGCAGGGCCTTTAGGAGGGAGAGGAGTAGCCGAATTCGAAGTTTGCTTCTGCTCTGCGTCATTGACGTCCAGGGAAAAGTAATCAGGTGCTGCCGACTCGGGTGAGGCGCATTGGGCAATAGGGGTGGAAATAAGGTTACGGTAGACAACGAGGGTTTCCAAGTCAGAGGAAGACGACGACGAAGGGGGCGGCGGGCCGTCGAGAGGCCTTAGGGTTTCGTAGAGGATTTCCGGCGCCTCCATTGCATACGAAACACCGCGGGTAGGCTACAAGACCAGGTTTATTTTGGACTTAATACGTAGACTTGCTCAATCGGTTTTGAACCGGCGGTTCCGGTTCCAATCTGAACCGGCGATTTTTTCTTTTTTTTTTCTTTAATATATTAGGTAGGAAGAAGGAGGTAGGAGGAAGAACCTGGTGCTGTGGATGTGTTATAAATTGAAAATTGATTAGGGCTATGTATAATTAATTTGTTACATAATAAAACTAAGGGTGTATTTGTTCGTGGGATTTTGGATTTGGATTTGGATTTTGAATAGTAAAATCTCGAATTAAAATAATTGTTACGATATGATATAAATATATATTGATATGATATTTTAAATATAAAATTTAATTTTAATATAATATAATAAATAAAAATTTGATTTGATATTTTTTTAAAAAAAAAAATTGCAATAGTAAAATACTACATACATAGCATAGTTTGACAGCTCACAATATTATTACAAACAGTATGTTAATATGTTATAGTTGTACAGCTTACAATAATTAATTTTGTATGTAATAATAAAATCTGTTGTTTAAAAAATTAGTATGGTATTAATTTTTTCCAACCAGAACCCTAATCTTTCCTTAAATTTTATACCTTAAATTTTATAAATCTTTACTCTTTTTTCCGTCTCCATTACACATGACTATTTTTTTTTGTCCGTTCATAAAAATATTCTTTTTATTTTTTATTAGATTTATCAAATTCAAATACAATTAATAAATATAAATTAATTTATAACTAAAATCTATTCAAAACCTCTTTATTCTTATTTTCTTTAAACTTCTAGTAATATTTTTATAAAATTAATCTATGATAATTATAAATAAATAAATAAATAATTTTTTATTTATTTGTACAATTAAAATATATATATTGTTAAGGAGTTGGACATTAATATTTAAATTTGTAATTTAGTTTTTCCAAATGTTAATATATATTATGGTTTTTTGTTAGGAATTTGAACTTTCTTCTCCGCAGATTAAAATTTGAATTAGTTTCGTGATTAGCAAGTAATTAATTTTATTCTTTACGAGTGAAACAAACAATTTCATGTGAATATGTGAAATTAGATTCTGTTTTAATTTTATATTATTTATTGATTTGTGACTATTTATGTGATTTCTAAATACTGAGGATAAGTATTTCAATTTATCTGGATAAATTAAATTAAATATTCATACGTTATTTTAATATCAAATCTAAATTAATTTTTTTAATATCAAATTTAAATTGATTTTTTTATTATACACGTAAATCCAAACCAATTTTTTTTAATATTATATGGGTTTTTTTAAAAACCCATATAAAAAGACATACGTAATAATAAAGAAATGAATATAAACATATACATATACATAGAAGTAGGTAGCTAGGTTATGAAATGGAAGCTTTAATAAATCTGTAATTGTTTTCGGATCTAGCTCAGTCGAAAAATGCAGAAGCAGTACTTCACCATCATTGTCATCATCATCTTCAATTTATCTATACATGATCTCTAATAATTGATCAGAATTCAGAACCTAACGGTAGTAGGTCCCCAACAGCTCAAAGCCATGACTTGCTTCATAGATCTCTCCGTCTTCTTAAGCCTCTCAAACTCCACATTATCCCCCGCCATCCTCAACCTGTCCTTGCTCCTGTTCCCCGCAGAATCAGAGTCAGAACCATCCACCGATTGGGCGTATTTATAGGCAGATTGGAGCCTCGATCTGGCGTTCTGCTGCATCGATCTCAACACGTAATTCCATCTGCAAACCCCTAATTGATCCTTGAGCGATTCCACTGCCCCAATGCTTGCCGCAACCATCCACCCACCTCCCCTCATTTATATATATATATATATATAAAATTTCCCCAACACAATCACAATACAGCTAAGTAATGAATAATTCTCACTTGATTCTCCTCCGATCGATGCTGCGTCGCGGATGGGATGCCAATTTTCCATTCATGGAGGCGTTTAATATAGAGGGAGAGATGTTAATTTGCGATTTTGGTGGAGACAAAAACAGGGTGCGGTGAAACCTAGGGTTTGGGAAAACAGCCATAGGTTTTTCAATAAACCAGCGGCATTTACCGCTACTGCCGCCTGAAATGAATATAATGGAAAATAATCATATTATAAAAATTAAAAAAATATATGGTTTAATTAGCATTAACTGCGTGGCAACTGGTTACGAGACCCCTCCTTTTCCGTGTCTTTATTTAATGGTTTTGGGAGTGTGCTGTTTTCCCACCGCCTCGATTTCGTAAACCGCGTGAAAATTGAACCCAACAAATAAATAATAAATAAATATTGAACCAACGCCTTTTTTTTAAAAAAAATAATAATAAATAAATAAAATAAAATATTTTATATATTTAATTTTTTTTTATATTTTTTATACAAATTTTATAATTTATATAAAAAAAAATAATTTAGACAATCTTAAAACACAAATACCGCACTATTGCTTTGTTAAAATATATTCCTTTCGTCCTAACTAATTATGCCCCTAGTTTAATAGAGAAGTTTTTGTTACTATATAATTAATAAGTAGTAAAAATAATTATAATTCAAAATTAAAATGATTAAATAATTTAATTAAAATAAAATAAAATTTATAAATTATAAAATGTCTTTCCTCCTAACTAATTATGCCCCTAGTTTAGGAGCGAAGTTTTAGTTACTATATAACTAATAAGTAGTAAAAATAATTATAATTCAAAATTAAAATAATTAAATAATTTAATTAAAATAAAATAAAATTTATAAATTATAAAATGTGATTAAAGTGTATAATTATATTTTTAAAAAAAATTAAAAATTATGTGAACAAATTAAAAAAAAAAAAAAACAAATTATGTAGGGATAGGAAATATAATTTTTGAGAGTATGAAAGTTTTGAAAATTTTAAATAAAATATTTAAAATTTAAATATTTAATACTTTTTCAATTCTGCCAAATAGAAATCTTTTCTTTATCTCATAAAAAATAATTTATTTTTAATTTTGATAAATTTATCAATCTTAAATAATCAATTTAAGTAAATTTTTAATTTATATAAAACGATCATTCACTCAAATTTTATTATTTTTATTTCTCATCAATTAACAAATACTTATTTATCTTTTAAATTTCTATTTTTTATAAAATTAATTTATGATAATTATAAATAAATAATATATTTTTTATTTGTATTGTATTAAATTTTATTTTCTACAAAATTATACATATTTTATTAAAATATAATATTAAAAACATTTTAAATTTATTTATTCTTTAAATAACTAATATTCACTGTTAAAATAATTAATTTATACTTTCTAATTCTCGTATCCAAACAAAAGAATTCATATAGTAAATTTTTTTTTTTTTTAATGATATATTTTTAAACAAATATGTATAAAGAAAACTTGCATTTTTTGTTTTTATGTATATATCCAATGGCGCACACTACTACGATTATAGCAATGTTAAATTACTATATGTCGTCGATAACAAGTAGCATTTTTTCATATATATATATATATATATAATTGCCAAAAAGTTGGATATCTAATTAAAATATTTAGAATGGCACTATTTGCTATATTATTATGTCTACGTTTAGTAAGGTTGTGTTTGTTTGGGGATTGGATTTTAAATAATTATTTATCTTTTTTTTTTTCTCCCAAAATATCAAATTAAATATTTTTTTTATTTTTTATATTATACTAAAAATCAATTTTACATTCAAAACATCGAATCACCATCTATGTATATCACATCGTACAGCTATTAAAATTTAAAATTTTTATTATTTAAATCTCAATTTAAAATCCAAAACCCCAAATAAACCCACCATAAATAGGTCGAATAATTATATATATATACACTTATTTATGTGTAGATTTTCAATAATGCATATATACAAGCACATAGACCAAAATAAATATTAAAGCACGCACGCGCGCGCAACTGCAAAATAAAATATTAGTTCCTACGCTACCAAAAAAAATTACAAAATGCAATAGTTCAGTGAGTAAGGTCGTCTCCGCATGAAACAATAATAATATTGAATATTCGGTTATTTATAATTATACTATATATATAATTGGGGTTTTTTTGATTTATCACATTAAATAAGAAAAGAATAAATTTGCTCAACTAAAATAAAATAAAATGTATGACGGATTACCAAAAATAATTAAACTTTAGAATATGCATGAATTTTCTGTTCCGATATAAATTTTGTTTCATTGACTAGTTGAATAAATTGATTATAGTTGATTTAGATGCGTTCATAACTAACATTTTCTAACTTTACTGACTCGACAGCTTTAAGTACTAGAAAGATACAATTTAATTTAACAAAATTCCTACGCGAATTTGTTTAAAATTGATTTTAATTCTTCCCTTAGAGTATTTATCTAGGTTGCTACACTAATTGAAAAATTAAACAATTACGGGTGTTAATCTCCAATTTAGCTACGAAATCTCAAATCAATACGTGCGCAATAATAAATATTTCTAAACTTATAAATTAGAAGAATTAAAAATATCAAATATCGATGAACACCAAATTAAACAAAATCAAGTCTTACAAATTCAATATCAAACATATATTCACACATACGCTAAAAATGAAATTATTCGAAATTCATAGAAATTGAAAATACAAACAAATAAAGAAGTTCATCATGCCTTCAATTTTAAAATCGACAAAGAAGAACAATACGAAAATAGAATAGGAACACCCCGAAAAGTCGTATGGAATCTTCCTCCAAGTTCTCCTCTCTTCAGTGCTCTTCTCTATCCATTTTTCTCTTTAAGAAAAAATATGTTGTGGTAGAACATGGTAGTCCCTTTATCTTCCCCTATTCAATTGCAATCGTGTCTCAACAACTCCATCCGAAAATCCCCTTTACACTTCAATCCTTACATACTTTTTATATTGTTAATTTATCCATGAGGATCTTTTTGTAAATTCTACATTTTCTCGTATTGTGTTCTGCTCATTATCTTTCAAGTACACCCCAAAACATACTAACTCCATGAAACCTATTATGCAATAAAAAAACACATCATGAATTGCATATATACGAAATTTCGTATTTCAAAAGTCGCCAAAAATATAATAAAATATCATTATATACAACACATATTAAAAGCATAATATATATATAGCTTGAAATTATAAATAATAAAAAGAAATAGTAAAATTTTCCTTATTTTAAAGTTGTCAAGAATAGAAAAAAAATACTAATAATAATAAAAAATCAACAAAATAGTTGACTTGTTCTAGTAATTGTTTATAGTCACGACCAAGGAACAACTTACGTCCAAGTTTTTTAGATTTTGGTTTAAAATTAATTTGAAACGAGTATTAATGTAAATTTTATTCAAACAATAGTATTTTTATATAATATCTTTTAAGAAAATAGTAGATGTGTTATTTTTGCTAAAAAGAAAAAAATAAACACATTTTTTCAGAAAAGTAAAATATTATAATATGCTAAAAAAAAAAAAATAAACACATTTTTTCAGAAAAGTAAAATATTATAAATATTAATTATTTTATATTATCTACACAATTATTTATATTTTACGTAAAAAAAATGATTTCTTTAAATTATTTCACAAAATAAATATATACAATGTATTTTTGTTAAAAATCATGAAAAAAATAAAATATTTAAAAAAAATAATATTTTAATTATAGTGGATAGTTAAAAATATTATAATGATATTTTTGTTCATATTTTTTTAATATAAAATTAATGGCTTAATGTAAAATAAAAATATTTATAAAAAAAATAAATATTTAATAAAATATTTAGTTTGTAATTCAAATACCTAAATAGAAATATGAATATTTTAATTTAAAATACTTAAAGAACATACCAGGCAAATTGGCTGTTTCAATTCCCTATCTACAAGCACAACAATTGTTTCCTTGACAACAAATTAATATAATATTATATACTTTTTCCTTAGAACTTTTATATACAACTATTTTATCTATTTTATCATTTTTATATGTTTGAAATTAATTTAATTTTTTGTTTTTGTAACAATTGTCGCACAATTTTAAAAATAGAAAAATACATACTCCCTCCCTCCGTCCAAGCTAAAAGTATATAATTACTTTTGGCGTGGAGATTAAAAAATAATAATATTTTAATTACAATGGATAGATAAAAATAGTAAAATGATATTTTTGTCTTTATTTTTTTTTTATAAAAATAATGATGTGATGTAAAGTAGGAGTATTTGTGGGAAAAATGAGGTATTTAATGAAATGGTTACTTTGTAATTGGACGTCCGAAAATAGAAATATGTAGACTTTCTAACCGGAAGGAGGGAGTACAATTTACATAATATTATTATAAAAACATCATCATTATTACTCCCTCCGTCTTATATACAATGTCTGCTACACTATAGACACAATATTTTATGAGATGTGTAATTAATAGATAATTAACAATATATTAGTGAAAATAATTATCCTATAATACAGATAATTATAAATTAAGTTAAGATAACTAATTAGTTTTATTAAAATTTAAAAAATTGAAAAATTTAAAATGATATTAAAGTGTATAATTATTTTCTTAAAAAAGAAAAATAACATGGAATGTTAATTTGTTTTTTCTTCTTAAAAAGATAAATTATTTTTTATTGTACTATTTAGATATAAAAATATTAATATTCTAAAATCTTTAAACTCAAACTAAATAATGTGGAGGTTTGAATTTTAATTGAAATTTAAATAAATAAAATTTTAAATTTGAATATAACATGATATAATATAAATAGATAAAACTAAATAATGTGGAGGTTTGAATTTTAATTGAAATTTAAATAAATAAAATTTTAAATTTGAATATAACATGATATAATATAAATAGATATTCGATGTAATATTTTAAATTTAAAATTTTTAAAATAATATAAAAATACTTGATTTCCTATTTGATATTTTGATAATTTTCTTTTAATAAATAAAAAGCTAATTTCCATCCGGAGTAATTTCAATTCGAAGATTCAATCTTCTAACCTAACAAAAATTTTGCTTTAAGAACATACCTACGTTCAATCACACATCATTATCATCACCATCTTCATCTTCATCCTCATCTTCATCCATACTGTAATTCTTCCATCCAATTTAACACTTGATTTTATGATACCCAAATCACACCAAACCAGACCATATTCTTCACAAAAATAAATTGGAACTGAAATTTTATTATTATAAATTTTCAGATCTAAACTCTCAGGGATCTAGTAATCAGCTCCATCCATTCATTTGGATATACACTGTATACAGACTATATCATATTATCAGGAAGAAGAAAAAAAAAAAAAGTGAAAAAATAAAAGAGGGATTCAACATCAATTGGGACCCCAGCAGCTCAAATACATGACTGTTCTTAGCGAGTCTTCCGATTGCTGCTTAGTCGTGTTCTTCGAAAGCGCCATTGAAGAAGAGTAGTGTCCAGACAAACCTAATTTCTGCGCGCGAGGTTCAGCGGCGCTACTGTAAGATCTGAGGGTGGTTTTTGCTTGCTGTTGCAGGATTCTGAAAGCATAATTCCATCTGCAGAATCCGGCCTGATCCTTGAGTGCTTCCACTGCTCCGATGCTCACTGCGGCTATCCAAGCTTTGCTGCTCGAACTCATAACTGATTGATTGAATTTGTTTGAGGTTGATCGAGAGAGCTATGAATTTGATTGTATTTTGTGTTTGTTTTGCTGTGGAAGATGATTTCAATCTTATCTTATATATATAAAGTTGGGGACGGAAATGGAGAGTGGGGAGAACAGTGGGCCGTTCCGCCGATGGAAAATGAAGGCGCCATCTGTTTTTGCTGCTGCTGCTGGTATTTGGTTACCAGCCTTTTGTTTTTTCTGCCGTTTCCGTACCCACAGTGCGTGCGGATCACGTGATGCTGGCAAGTAGTAATTGATGCTTTTTTTTTTTTTTTTTTCACATAATTTGTTTTTAATTTTTATTTTTATTCATTTTATATAATTTGTTATTTAAAATATAATCATATATTTTAATTATATTTAAAATTTGAAATTTGAAATTTTTTTAATTTTAATTAAATTATTTACTAGTTATATTTTATATAGATTGGGGTAAGAGATACACTTGATAAGGATTTACACGTCATGTTTGCTTTCCATCATTCATTGCGGTTCGAACCGGCGTCCACGGTTTGCAATAGTATGAAACCAAAACTGAACCGTTAAAAATTCGGCTCAGTTTTAGGGTCATATCGGTTCTAACTGAACTTCCGGTTCAATAACCGACGAACGTTTGGAACCGGGTGAGGGAGACTGGTTCATCAAACTAATAAGAAAATAATGGCGCTCGACGGGTACTTCAAAAAAATTCAACAGCGAAAATTGTACAGTGGAGAGAGGAGAAAGAATAGCATGGGCGAGTCATTTATCTTCACTCCTCCTCAGGCAACTGAGCTATCTCTCCGAAGGTTTGAAAACCCTAATGTCTTGTCGCACCAATGCTTTGAATACTTTAGATGTTTGGGGTTCTTATTTGTATGTTTAACTTGCAGTCAGATCGAGAACCTGAGAAAAGTTGATGAACTTGTGGATCTTGGTCCCGAGGAGAAGAATTTTCTAAACAACCTCACTAGCGAGCTTGAGGTGAGCAACTGAAAAATTTAATTATTTGACATTTGTGGAAGTTCCATTTTTATTTTATTTATTAGGCGCAAACCTGCAATTTTTGACTGCAGAGCAAAATTGATTCGGTTTACTCGGAGTGCTCTTCGAATTTCAGTGTGTTACAGAATAATGACGTTGGTAGGGTTGTTTTTGTTATTGTTACCTTCATATTATAATCGTCTTTATAAAGGGTTCAAGATTGTGTATATAAATCTAAATATATGATGTAGATGAAATTTTGTTGCAATTAAAGAAAGAGCTGGGTGAAGTGGAGGCTGAAAGTGCGGACCTTGAATGTGAAATTGAGGAACTTCAAAAGAGAAATGTGGAAGGTGAGGGATAAGTTATGTTCTGTAATTGAACTGAAGTTGTTTTTGATAAATTTATCATCTCAGTAGCCAAGTCCATTTGCCTTTTCACTTAGATGTCTGACATCTGGTATTTTTTTTTTATTCGTTAAATGTAGAGGTTGATAAATTGCAGAGTCAGCTGGAGAAATTATGCTGGTCATTGGATATTGAATGGCAGGTTTGTTTCTAGGAAGTGTAAGGTATTTCAATAAACAAATTGTGCTAGGAAGTAACATTCGTAATGCCAAAGACAGTTGCAATTTGTATGCCATAGAAAGGAAATTGATTGGAAACTAAAAAATTCATCATGTTCTATTCGAAAGCAGAGAGTAAAGATAGAAGAACCGTTTCAAATGTATATTAGGGAAGTACCTGAATACTTTTGTCATGTGTAAGAGTTATATCAAGATTCAAGAGCTTGAGTTCATAATTTTTGTTATTGACTGACATCTTTTCTAAACTTGATTTTTTAGTAATTCCCAGAGTGAGAGGAGGCAAGACAAAGCTAGATATAGAAACATGATGTATTGTATGCTTGGATAAGTAAACTGCATTCTATGACCAGGGTAGTGCCCAACTGATTGCATTCTTATCTATATATAATTTTGCTTTATACCCAACTACTATTTACTTGCGAATCTGTCGATATATGATTGTTTATGAATATGTGATACATTACATATCATTGATTTGTACTAAAGTTATCTATGTATTGCAGAAGTCAGAGAAGGCAAAGGAGGGCATAGACATAGAGACCTTTCATATTCTAGATGATTTGGTGGAATCTGATTCCAAATTTAAGGTTTATTTATTTTGCAGTTTCAAATTTAATATATTTTATTTGGTCACTTAGAGTTGAGAGCCAGTGGGTTCCAAAAGAAAAGCTATTATGGCCTATCATTCTATTAGGAACTCCCAACATCAAAAGTGTTTTTTCTTACATGCCTCTATTGCTCGATAGCCCGTTGCTATGATACATTTGATTCTTCATTACACTTAGCAGAGTCCAAGAAGCTAACACGTGTTATTACGTGCCCAAAACAGAAATTTATGATTGGAAAAATATTATTAAGTACTTATTTTTGTCCCTTTGCTGTTAAATGACTCTAACCAAGTAAATATGTTTGTCCTAATTCTTTTATTAGTTGCTAGAATTGAGTCACCAGATTGAGAAGAACAGGACAAATCTAAAGTCACTGCAGGATCTTGATGCTGTTTTCAAAAGGTAGTTTACTGCTTAGAAAAAGTGTAGCTCCATCATTCCCCGTCCTCTACCCCAGCTTCTGAACATGAGTGTTTTTGCCCAATGCATGATCATTTTCATTGTGTCAGGTTTGAAGCTGTTGAGAAAATTGAGGATTCATTGACAGGTGTCAGAGTTATTGAGATTGAAGGAAACAGTATCAGATTGGCCTTGAAGACATATATTCCATTTTTAGACAGTGTTCTACGCCAGCAAGGCATAGAATGTGTGATTGAGCCATTGGAAATAAACCATGAATTGATAATAGAATTCATAGATGGAACCTTGGAACTAAACAATGTTGAGGTAAAGCTCTTGTTCTATTTGGATACAGAAGTTACAATGCTTTAGGCATGATATTAAGGGTGTGTTTGTTTGGGGGTTTGGATTTTGGATTGGGATTTGAATAGTAAAAATTTTGAATTTGAATAGTTGTATGATATGATATAAATAGGGTTTGATGTGATGTTTTGAATGTAAAATTGATTTTTAGTATAATATAAAAAATAAAAAATAGGTGTTTGATGTGATGTTTTTGGGGGGAAAAAATTGGATGAATAGTAGAAATCCTCCAAAATCCTTCAAACAAACACACCCTAAATAGTTAAGAAGGAAATGAAGTAGCTGATTTCTTAGGCATCTGGAGGCTAGAAACAGGACATGATATTGGCACTTTTGCAAGTACAACCAAGGAGTCTTTTTGGAAAAATATTTTTAGTTGTTGCTATCCAAGGATTTCACCAAGTAGTGGGATTTACTTCCTTTGATGCTCCCATATAATGCAAGGACTTTCCACAATCACAAGCCATTTGCATAATATAAATTGTCTTAATTGCTAATGCCAATAGCCATTAGTAGAGGTTATTCCTTGATATACCAATAGTGTCATAGCATTGCTGGAGAAAAGTGTTACCTCATTTAAGCTCAGCTATTAAAGATGTTCTCTTGTTCATGTCCGTTTTGTTACTTAATAACTTCATAATGGTTTGTGCTTTTTACTGCTTGACATTTCAATTTCAAGCCCCTTCTTATCAGTGCTGCTAAATTTTTTCTTTCATCCACTTATCCAGGCATGTTCTGAAATGGTAAACGTGAACGATTTATCTATTAATAATTGTGAAAATAAGTGTCGTACTGTTTCCAAATATATTCTTATTCACAAACGGCATATGGACACTTGATAACCCCTGATGCATGGATGTCATATGAACTTAGCCTAGTTAATAGATAAGGTATGAAGTGTAAACTTGAATCTGTTTCAGCTATTAAAAGACAAAGAACACTATTTAGATGCTTTGTGTTATATTTGTCATACTGTTTTATGGAATTGTTTCTTCGTTTTTGCATTTCATTCTACTGTAATGAATTCTGCCATGCATTATGTTAATAGGACTTACTGTTTTGTTATATTCTTTAACCTTTACTATGTGTATGCAGATTTTCCCAAATGATGTACACATTGATGAGTTTATTAATGCTGCAAAGTCCTTCAGGTTTGTAGCATACCTTTCACTTCATTTCTTGTTTCCATACTTTCTATAGTTCTATAGAGGTGAAAGTATGCATCTAGAAATTTTCTTGCACGCCACATTGAGACTTTGAGACCATTTTAATTATTTTAGATTATTTTTTTTTGTTAATTTTTAATTTCTTTTGAGATTGTTTAGGATAAAGTTTAATATACCAATGGGCGAAGTTAAGATTTCTTTTCTTACAACCTTGTTCCTTGGGTTTAGATGTGTTTAAATATCTTTTGACATCTTTTTGAATTACTTGAAAGTTTTGGTTGAAGTTTGATTCAGAAAAACTAAAGTATCAGCCAAATGTCTACAGATAGTTTGTTCCATACAAATCTGAAAAGGATTTTTTTTCCCTACAAATATTAATCAGTAAGAGCTCTCTGTTTGCGTATTATTTGTTCTTCAAGGGGATTATCTCTTGTTGATTCTCTCAGATGAATTGGGATTAGTCAATGTATTTGCTTTATTGGTGTGTGTGAGTTGTAGTTTTCATTTTCACAATTCTATACCTACATTGTTTCTTTCTTTTCTATGGGGTGCGATATCTTCAATAGGTATGTTTTGAGATAGATTGGTTGGTCAAAGTTTCCAAACATTTGCCTCATTGTTGCAGGTTTCCTGTATAGTTAGGTTGACTATGGTGTCCTTTACGAGTTTTTGCTAGATTCATATGATCTTGCTTTGTAAGTGGCATATTTGTAACTAATGATAGCCCATTCAATGAGAAGAATGGAAAAACAAGAAGTTTTCCTTTATTCTTTGGCGCTGGGGGATTGGAGCATGGACAAGAATAGAGTAGTAACTTTAGGACTACACAGATTTCCTTTCTATGTAATTTGACAGTAAAAGTTTAGCAGGTTGGGTCTCCGAGATGTGCTATGCATGCTAAGTTTAGCTTAGTTGATGCTATTGCTTGCATGCATTTGTTAAATTGAGGACTTTGTTAATGTATGCATGCTGATATTTTGGTTTCTTGTCCGACATTTGATTATCTGTGGTGTGTCCAGGCAGCTTTATCCAACATTCTCTATCATCAAGACCAGGTCCACCTTGGAGTGGTTTGTGAGAAAAGTGCAAGAAAGGATGGCTCTTTCGACAGTCAGACGATTTGTGCTAAAAAACTCTGATAACTCAAGGTCTGTCTCAAATAATATGTTTGACTTGCTTAAAAGCATTGTTTTGGCAAGTAATAATTGCGTCATCCTACATTATCTGAATTGAAAAATTGTGACCAAGTTAGCAATGCGATGGTTTAGATCGTGCATAGAGTCTCTGCTTGAATTGGTGGGGCATACGATTCAAGGATGTCTTGACCAAATGCTAACTAATTCACTTGGTTTTGCCACCAATTGAACGAAGTTAATCTGATTAAACAAAGGACATAGTATTTTGATTCAGAGCTTGAAAATTTTCTGGATCTATGATATTAGAATTGTGCCTTCTTATTTGATTAATAATGTCCATATGTGTGATTACAATGCTTGAATTGGAAAATTATCCGAGAACCTTACAAAATAAACACTACCAAGTTTTTGGTAACAAAGAACCTTGTGAAGACAATAAATCTTTATGTAGTTAAAGCATATAATTAAATTTCCAATATCTGTTATTTTTAATGGATATTATGGAAAGCAATGATATTGTGTTTATAATGAAAAATCAGTCTGCTTATTGTACGAGATTATTATAATGAATCAGAATGCTGATGTACTTTTGTTTCTTTAGTACAACAAACAAATACTTGATGAAATCGAAGGATCCCAACTTTAGATACTGTAGAATTCTAACAAATGCTATGCCATTTTATGTTCTTTTCAGACATTCACTTGAGTACCTAAATAGAGATGACATGATCGTAGCTCATATGGTGGGTGGGATCGATGCATTTATAAAACTTCCGGAAGGGTGGCCTTTATCAAATATGGCTTTGAAACTGACATCGCTAAAGAGTACAAGCCATTCTCAAGAAATTTCATTGAGCTTCATTGGGAAGGTTGTGGTAAGTGATTTTATTGCTTCTATTTTGCTTCCAAAAATGATAATGTACAATGTTTCCTTAGTGTTGTTCAATTATGTCATTCTTGTTTCCTGGAAATGTCTCTTGAGTTCCAATTTGTGTTGTCAAAGTGCTTTTCTGGTTTAGATTCTATGAAATACAAACGATGAACTGTGCTAACATTAATACATTGAAAGTGAAGCTAGTTTATTGTTCATGACTCCCAACATATTTTACTCCTACACATTAAAATGTTTACTAGTACTTTTTGTCAGATAGTAAGTATCTCTACAGGTTTCCTTCATGTTTATAATGAAATTTGTCAACTTTTTTTTACATGATTTCTGTGCTTCTCGGTCATTTTCTTAGGCTTCCTTTACTTGGAAGTAGTATATAATACTGCATTAACGACAAATCAGATGATGAACAAAAGATGTCTGCTCAATGTCCCACATTTTTAAAGGCCTAGGAGAAATTAAATGGTTGAAAACAATTAATGTTGGTTGACATTGATTTATCAGTGATGGTGTAGTTTTATTTGATGAACCTTCACAGGGAAGGTGGTCATACTTGAGGGCACGGTTGCGCACCCATAGGGGTTCACTAGCAAAACTAAGTTTCCACTTTCAGAAATTTGTCCTGTATATTCCTTTCAATGTCAGCATTATCAGCCAACACTATGCAATTTAAGCTCAGCTGGCTTTCTAGGATTATGTGCCTTATGACGACCTTGTAGAATGCTTCATGCATTCACTCGTGGACCAACCTCACATTCTTGTGTCTTTGATTTGTCAGGAAATGGCGAACTCTTTAAATCCTGACTTACTCCACAATGTCTCCTTCTTCACCAACAGTATTGAAGAGATACTCATGCAACAAATGCGATTGGAACTCCAGCCAAACAGTAAGCGCCACGGTGAATGAATGATTTTGTGAGCCACAACTTGGTAAGAGTTAAGTTAGATGGATATATTCTGAACTACTGTTGTGTCTAAGTTAAGTTGGTTGAAGTTTTTTTAGTCTGCATATGAGTATATGATTATGCCATTAGACCTGTTGTTATTGTTGATATCTGTTTGGTATATACAACACCTAATTGTGTAGACATTTAGTTGGGGGATATGATATTGCTCAAAATTTAATGCTCTTGGTCTCATTTCATATTCTTACTATTCTTCATCCCAAACATTTTTAACTTGCATGTTCTTTTCTACATAAATATATATATATATATATAATTTAACTATGAGCAAAGTTCAGTAAATGAATAATTTTATAATGATTTTTTTTGTCAATTAAAATAAATAGATAATATGAACATTTAAGACAATCATTTCATGCAAATATTCATTTAGGACAGGCTTGTGCTAATTGTATATTTATGTGTTTATACTAACCAATGCCTGGGTCAATAACCCTCCAAGAAGGGTTGAAAATATTGTTTTGTAAGTTCACACAAAACAATGTTTAAAGAGCTTACGACTTAAAATAAAGTGAAATTAATTTCTTACATTAACAATCTATATCCTAGAGCATTAACAAAATTCAATAATTCCACAATGTACTTCATTATTAACAATCAAAATCACACACAAGTTGGAGTTAAGATAAGATAGATAAATATTTTTGGTCTATTAATAATAGCAAAGCTTATCGGGTTTACTACAAATGTGTGAAAAAAGTGATGAAGTTACTCAATGTTTTATTCATGATCTTTTGCAAGTAAAATGGTAATGAGGAGTTGATAGTCTAAAATCAAGTTGAAATCAAATTGCTTATGAAATTGAACTCGGCCAAAGGCTTAATCAAATTTGTTATTGTTTCTAATGTAGTGGAGCAACCAATTCATGACTAATCTAAAAGGAATTCTATCACTCAAATAAACGACTTAGAATTGTAAAAAAATAATATAATTGAAACTATAATTGGTGACCAATAAAGTAGTTATGCCACAAGATAAAATAAACAAATTTTAAAGCATTATCCCGAGTCAATTGCTTTTCAACTATAGGACAATAAGTGAATATTATGACAAAGGGATTACATTTATAAACATTTGAAGGACTTGGACTCTTAATGCTATTTTGATTAGTAATTGGATATTTTGGTTGGGAAGTCAAAATTTTGAGGATAGTTAAAAACTAAAGAGAGTTTGTTTGGTTATGGTTTAAAAATTAAAATTACCATTATTCATTTACACCGTTTATAATAATAATAATAATAATAATAATAATAATAATTATTATTATTATTTTTTTATCTCATAAAATATTACCTAAGGTACTATTTAATTTAAACCAAAATTCAAACTAAAACCAAACAAACTCAGTCCAGAGGCATTTATATCTTTCTATTAGTCTGATGTTTTGATACGGAGGGAATCACAACCTGAAAGTGTTGAAGAACAAGAGATTAGTGGGGTATCTTATGTAGTTATGTCTAAAAGTTGAAATCTCTACTTAACCGTTTTGGCTGATGCAATCAAGAAAGTGGGAGAAAAAGGTTTTTACTTGTGTTAAAAGGGGACATATATATAGATTGTAAAGGTTGTTGTGATTCTTGTTGTTGGAAAGAAATTACTGCAATTGGCTTGTATCTAATCATTGGCTGCTATGATTTGTATGCTTGATTGTTAATTTCTTGTTGCTTTAGTATTCTTGAGTACCATTTGCTTCATTATATTAAATGGGTGGGTATGCATGCTTGTAATAGTATGATACCACAGCATCATTGCCAATTAATAATATGCCATGGTTCATTACTCATTAGCAGAGGTCATTGCTATTCAATCTGTTCCCTCCCACAAGTAGCCATGCTTGTAATTAAGTAAACATAGATCTATCTAACTTTCACACACCAAATTAATTGATACTCCACAACCAAAAAACCTTCAATAACCCCTTCACTTCACAACAACTACATGTATTGTATATATCATAATATGGATCTATATACATGAGAGAGAGAGAGAGAGAGAGAGAGAGAGAGCAGTGTTTGATGTCAATTGGGACCCCAACAGCTCAAATACATGACTGTTCTTAATGATTCATCCTGAGAGCAGTGTTTGATGTTACTTGCAGACACTTTCTGTTGCAGAGGCTGAGGTTGAGTAGGAGTGCAAGATCTGATGAGGTTGTTGGAGTTGGCAATGGCATTCTGGTGGTGGTGAAGGAGCAGGCTGAAGGCGTAATTCCATCTGCAGAAACCACAACGATCTTTGAGTGCCTCCACAGTCCCGATGCTTGCTGCTGCTGCAACTATCCATGTTTTGTTCCTCAAACTCATCTTTTATACTCTTTTATAGTATATCATTCAAACAAACAGATTTCAATATTGCTGCTGCTGCTGCTGCTGCTGCTTTTAGTTGTTCTTGTGTCTGTCTGAGTCTATTTATTGAGAGAGAGAGAATGGGTATGGGTGGGTGGGGTGGGGTTGGGTGCACATTGGTTTGAGGCAGTGGTATTATTCAATCCATCTTTTCTTGTCCACAGAATTGGGATAATGTACGGCAATATACGTTGAATCCGTGCAAACAAACTCCCATGCTCTTTAATGGACTTTTCTGTTAGTTTTTTTAAATATATACTAATATTCTAACAAAAATATTTATAAAGTAAGAAGAAAAATACAATAGGGCCATAAGTTTATTGTCTCTTGTGTAATTTGTCGGCTAATACTGCTTTATGTTTATTTTTTCGAGCCTATGCTGGATAAAGATATATATAAAACAAACTGCCTATTCATATAGAAAAGATAATGGGTTGGGCCTCTACAGTTTATGGGCCCAATCTTAAAATCCACATATTCGTAGAGTGATTTAAATAATTTAAAAAAATGTTTAAATTATAAATTTTGTATATTAATTTATTTTACAGGTTTACACATATGTTATATCTTGGAGCAAATAATGAAATTTCCTCACCTCACACACACAAGCTAAGGGATCAGACTCGAGTCATACCCCGTCACCGGTTCAACCCCACACCACCAGGTCAAATAAATTTTAAATGATTAAATTTTTTTATAATACAAATAAATAATTTTTTAAAAAAATTATATATAATATAAATTTATAATCAAATCATACGTCTATTAATTTTACAAATTTAAATTTATTAATATATTATTATATTCATTACCGAACCTAACCCCAACCCAAAATCCCCCCAATTTTCCACACCCTTAATTATTTATCTATATATTATTATAAAATTATATACACTAATATATTTTGATTGCAGTCAACTAAATTGAATGAGGCAAGAATAATAAAACACGTTCCCCTTATTTTTCAAACACCATACCCCTCACTGTACGTCACGATCCCACCCACCCACCCTCTCAATCTCTCTCTCTCTCTCTCTCTCTCTATATATATATATATATATTTATATGAAGTGCATGTATGTATGGACGTTTCTTCTTTCTTTTTCTTCTTCTTCTTCTTCTTCCTTTCTGACAAACTGTGCATGGAATTAATTGTTTAGATCAAGATGCTGGAGTCGGTTAATCTGGTGAAGAACCGTAGGAAGAGCAAGTTCTTGGGTTGTTTCACCGCCGGCGATGAAGACGGTGCACCGGCGGCGAAGCTGTTCAACGGCCATGGCAGAAGGAAGACACGCAAGAAATTGAAGCTTCACAAGTTACTCGTCAACGCTGTTTTCTGCAAGGCATCATTTGTAAGAATTTCTCACTCTCCAAATCCCCACTTTCGTCAAAATGATATTTATGTAAATATTTTCCAAAGAAGTAGTAATTTTCCATTTTCTTCCAAATTCGTGTGCCCAGAATTCTGATTCCTATTTTGATTCCTAATTTGTTCGTATGTTGGATTATTATTAATTAATTACTTCCTCGATGTTTCCTAGTCCAACCGCCAATCAACGTCAGTTTATTGTCATTTAAATTTAATAAACCGTCGTTTCTTGACTTGACTATAATTGATATATCTATCAAATTTGTTAATTTCTGCCATGAAAGAACCTGTAGAAAATCCTCTAACAAGTTCCCATTTCCTACAGGTGAAGAAATTTCGACACAAAAAGAACAGTTGGGGATTATTACAATGTCGATCAAATTCGTCGACGAGAATAAAAAATCATACAAATCTTTCGACAAAAACCCAAATCGAGAAAACTTTACTGCACGACGGACTCTCCTGTAACTCCTCATCAAATCGTTATTCGCTGTTTTCTTCATCGAAATCTTCCTTTTGTTCTTCTTTGTCGTCGTCGTCGAATTCTTCGTCGTCATTTTCGAATCCGACAGCGGTCGATCGGAGGGCGAACAATCCGGGAACGAAGTCGGCGTGCAGACACAACCCTGGAATATGTATTGTAATAATTTGTTTAGCGGCGGTGGTTTTGTGGGGGAAGGCTTGCGCCATAGTGGTTTGCACATCGGCGTGTCTATTGACGGCGGCGGAGCCGGCGCGGACGGCGGCGATTTGGAGTAATGTGGCGGCGGAGTCTCGAGAGTACAAGAAAAGAGTGATCATGGAAGGTCTCTTGCAGAGGTAGCCATGTCGTCGTTAAATTCTTACAATGTATTCTTCTTCTTCTTTTTTTTTTTTTTTTTTTTTTTTTTTTTTTTTTCCAAATATAGAATTTGGGGTTTGTTTGCTTTGATGTCTGTTTATTTAATTATTTTATTTTGCAACGATAATTTGGCCATCAAATGTTTATACGTGGGGTTTTGGAAAATAATAATTTTCTAATGTTGTGCAATGTTGATTACATGCTGTTGGAATTGGACGAGTTTATATGGATTTTTATTTATTTATTGAAAACGAAATAATTGGTCCAATTTGTTATAGCTTAATATTTCAAATTGCAAACTAGCGATAGAATTAATGGTTACTGTACTCTGCGATTTGATCGATTAATAATTGAGATTGGGGGAGTAGGAGAGGGATAACATAAAATAAAATAAAATAAAATAAAATTTGATTGGGTGATGTAGGTTGACATTTTGTTTAGGGTAAGTTAGATTAATTAATTGTTCAATTTGCATTTATTTGTGAACAAACAGTCGTAGTCTTTAATGATATTTTAACCCATCGAGTACAAAAGTTTATAGACAAGTTGGGTATCCAAATGGTGACACTAATGAAATGAATTTCTATATAACTACATGAATAATGACATAATATTTTGTGAAAAAAAATAAATAATACTATAGTTTTACAAAAATATGGAGAAACATATATAAAGTAGTCAAATATGCAAATTTAATTTTTTAAGTATTTACTAAATCATTTGAGTTCTATATGACAGACCAAAAAAATAACATTAAGAAATTTGAATCAATGATCTCATAATTATGAGTTTAATGACAATGTTAGACTATAAAATTAAATAAAATATACCTATTTTCATAATAAATTAGAACAATATAGTTGGCCATATACTACAAAATTAAATAAAATATACATATTTTTACAATTAAAATAAAGTAATATAGAAGAAGTATTTCCTCAAATTAGTTATTTGAGCTTTTTTAACTTATTTTTTTCTATATTGAATTGTATTTTAGCCTTAGGCCCTTGATATTAAGCATTCTCCAATAAGAAAGTTAAAAAATACAAGATGTTTCTTACAACTAATTATATATATATATATATATATTTAGACTAAAAATGTGGGGTTTTTTTTTTTTTTTTTTTTTTTTTATGTTTATAAATTTTGGACTCCGTTGACTAATATATTTTGGAGGTTTTTGTATTATTCATTAATAGCTTTTTTTTTTAACAAAAATATATATACTTATTATTATTATTATTTTATAAAATATCACATAAAGTATTTATTTTATTATTTTTCAAAACTTTCAAAAGCTTTTGTATAAATGGAACCTAAAAACTTTATTTTAGACTAATATAGTTTTTTTTTTTTTTTTTTTTATCTAGAGTTTTTTAAAAAATCTATCTCTTCATATTCATCTAAAGATGATTCTTTTGCTACAATAGTTATAGGCCAGTTTAATGATTATGGAAGACAAAGTTAAATTTGTTCTTTTTTTTTGGGATTATTGTTGTGAGACACTATCATTCAACTGAAAAGTAATATTATATATTTTCTTTTATAGAAATAAAAAATAGGTTTGCCGGATCTAATTTATAGGATATTAAATTCGTGTGACAGTTTATCTAAAGTGCACAATAACAACTACGGATTCCGTCATAAAAAAAAATAGTCATTGGTGGATCTTTTAGGCTATACTAAATATTTATATTAATATTTTATTACTAATATATTATCTGAACTTTTGATCTTAATTTTCAAGGCATGGGATCCTCATCATCATCAGCCTCTCCACCCCCATCACTCAAAAGTGATATATATACATTATATATATCCCATGCCCTTGATGATCAATCTATATAAAAAAAAATTAGCAAAGTATTCAAATTAACACTGTAATTGGCGTCTAATTATATGTACTCACAACACCAATAAAAAAAGAAAAGTTGATAATGTATCTAATCAATATCTAACAAACCCTTAGCTGAGATAGAGATTACGTGAATACGTTACATGAACAAGATATGCGTAAAAGTACAAGACAAAGAAATTAATTAATTAAGAAAATGGGCCGAGTAGTTAATACTAATATACGGGGCTTTGTCTGAGTGTGAGTGATACATACATACATACACACACATATATATATATATATATATATATAGAGAAAGGTACCGTACGTAGCTAAGGTTAAATCGAGGAATACAGAGCGTACAAATTGGCTGCCCAGAAACGGTACAAATACAATGGCCTATATATACATATACATATACATATACATATAAATATAATTCGTCTGTGTCGTACATTGAGGACCACATATACATAAACTATGTATGTATGTATACATATAATACAAAGAGATATCTCCAGTCCAGACATGTCCACTTTCTGTGTCCCTAGCTTAGGTCTTTGTTATTTACTGTCCTAAAGGTACAAACACAACCAACACACACACACACACACATATATATATATATATATATGACACACACTTTTGTTGTCTTCTTAATTTTGCATTCAACATTGTATTCATTATAAATTTCAATAGGAGATGTATATATATATACGGACGGCTGAGATTTAAGATCGATCGACGGCATCCACCGTCGGCCCCATGTAAGATCTTAGTTTCATTGAGGGCAATATATACACATATATGACTCAGATGGACTTTCGTACTGGTGTACATTCAGCATCGCCAAAATCTCTCTGAGACAGAAACACAGAGAGTGAGAAGCAGAGGGAGAGAGAGAGAGAGAGAGTGAAGGCAAATCTCAGTTCAGATTCATATAATCTGCATTAATACTTACAACTCTGATTTGCTCTGCAGTCTCTGTCTCTCGTCTCTCTCTTTCTCTCTCTCTCTCTATATATATATCTCTATAATTTGTATGTGTGTATGTAGTCTGTTTGAGTGGATAGAGGATTGCCGGGATTAGTTAGGGTTTCACAGAAGCTGTATAAAGCCGCAGCTTACAGTTGCTCCAAAATCAATATTTTGTTCTATCACCCTTTCATTAATTATATTAATTAGATCAAAATCCATATCCATCTAATCTTCATCATCTTCCTCTTTTGTTCTTCTTGGGAAAATATTCAAAATCCAATGCTCATCATTACTGCTAGTTTCTCCCACGAGTAGTTTTCACAGCTACAAAAGTAGCAAGTAGCCTCTACTGTGTTAGCTACACCATCTGATCTATATCTCAACCCTCTGGACATATATACATACTGGATTTTCAGAAAAGTCATCTTCTCCAATTCCCCTTTTTTTTTTTTTTTTTTTTTTTTTTTCTAATAAATAAAATAAACTAAACCAAACTGAGTGTTTGATCGATCTAGCTATAGCTAGCTAGAATGTAATATATATAGATAGATACAGAGGCAGTCAGTCAGTCAGCGATCACAGATCATGGTTGGTAGCAGTCATGGAACCCAAACCGCGTGACGAACCGATCTAAAGCTAAGCTCAGAGATGAGAAGGATCGATTTCATTTCATATATAGGGTGTGAAAAACCAGGCCAATGGGATTCCTCCACGTCATCCTCACCTTTAATTTCCCAAAACGAGCCTCCATGCCTCCCTCTTTCTGCACCACCAAACACAGAATAAAAAAAATATACGAAAGGCCTTAGATCATGCATGCCAATGCCATCAACATCAATCATCATGCCACATCGAGATATATGGACGGTGAGGATTAATCTATAATTTCCAGGGGGGCCCAGCCAGTACCCTAGCTAGCTATATAGCCCTAGCTAGCTAGGTGGTTAGGTTAGGTTAGGTCGGGTGGGTTGGGGGCGCGCCGTGATGGAGAATAATTTTTCACAGACGGAAGGCGGCGGCTGCGTCTAAAATTAAAATTAAAGCGACTTGGAGAAGACGGTCGTTCGTTTTCCTGGCATGTGCGAGGGTGGTCGGCACGTGCCGAAGTATAAATATATATATATATATATATATTCTTATAAAAATATATGGTGTGTTCGATTATGGGCAGACACGACGAGCTCTAGGGGGTCTGAGGGGAACAGAAAACCCTGCATAGAGAATCCCTCTTTGGGATCTGCGCCTAATATAATTAATAATATCAAACTGATCATTAATATATATATATATATATATCTTCATGCTTCTAGATTAAATTATTATACTTGTAAAATAAATATTTTTGACAAGAACAGTTGAGATTAGTAGAATCATAATCATGATGGTCGAAAACCCACCCAATATGGGACTTACCTATTGAACTTGTAACCACTTCGAAAAGTGATCAAATGGACAGTTTCTGTTGTCCAAGAAACAAAGTTTGCTATTTTGGGACGACCAAGTCTTGAGACAAGGCCATGTAGTGTAGGGAAGATCTTTCCAAATGTAATAAACTATAGGGTAATCGATTAGTATCATATAATATATAATGTGTGCCCAAATCTCAGTCTCAATGAGATGCATGATCATGATTGCTGCTCTAAATGGTCCACAGCTTCATATATATACAATTTTCATTATTAATATATACATACTTTAAAATAATTTGCATACAACAACAAAAAAAAAAAAACATTAACTAACCTAAATTAGGTCTCGCGTAGATCTGTTGTGTTTTTATTTGATCACAGCTTCCAAGAAAGTGTAAATGGATACTAAAAAAATCTCAGTCATTAAAACATAACACAAAAAAGAAAACCAAAGTACTTGTAACGAGAAATGAGAACTGCCCCAGGACCTAAAATGTGAACCCCAAATCAAACTTTCTGTGGGGGAACTACGTATAGCACATTTATACATACAATACATATGTGTATATATATATGTATGTATGTATATATACATCTGTCTGTGTGTGGTGTGGAGGGTACAGTACAAAACCAGCCTGAAACCTTCATGAAATCCCCCCACATTGTGCATTTCTCATCTGTACTTAATTCTACTTCTGGTTGGTAGCTTTTATTTTCTCTCTCTCCAACTCTCTCTCACTCTGTGTTCTATATAGATATATAGATACATAGATATATGTTTTGAGAGGTTCACATCTATCTATCTATATATATATTCCATCTGCTACTGTTCCATTAATTAATTAGCTCGATCGACCAACAATGGCGACTTCCATCCTGAGGCCGTCGAGCGACCACCATCAGAGCGGGGAGGGAAGCCTGGCTTTGGGTCCAAACATGCTGCAGCAGGATCACAATCACAATCACAACCCGACGGCAATACGACGTAGTTCCGGCGGGAGGAGGAAGGGGGGCAACAAGGGGTGCGACCCGTCGTCGGCCGGGGGGCAGCAGAAGAAGAAGACGCCGCAGAGAGGGATGGGAGTGGAGAAGCTGGAGCGTCTCAGGATGCAAGAACGCTGGAAGAAAATCAACGAAATCACCAATCATCAGGGTTTTGGTCTTCCTCCGGCCACATTCTCCGACCACCCTCCCGCTTTCGTCGTCAATGGCGCTCATCTCCCTCTCCACCTTTCCAAGGTGCAGGGTGGGTTTGGCGTGGGGCCTCCAATGGAGCTGATTCCCAGCCATGGCGTGAGCTTCCATGGGCAAATGGTTGTGGGTGGATTGGCCTCCTCCGATCAGATTCGCACAGATCTTCTCGGAGCTGCTGCTGCTTCCGTCGGGTGTTTGAGCAATAATATTAATCTGGAATTTGTTGGGAAGAATGGTATCTCAAGAGAGCTCTCTTCGACCCCAAATGTCGTCGCCAAGTGCTTCTCAGAACACTGTAATATTTGCCACAAGGTAATTAATTCATTCATTCATGACCCTGGATCTCTTTCTTTCTGGTTTGTTTAATGTATTAATTGGACTTGCAGAAGAAGAAGGGTAAGGGTGAGAATGGTGGATTGAAATCAGACATGTATAATGTAGGTGAGTGGGGATTTCTGGGTTTAAATCTTGGAGACCATAATAATCAAGACAGCAGCATTAACCAAGAAAATCATGCCATTGGAACCGGTGGACCTCCTCCTCATGTCGGATTGGCAGTTGAAATGAATGGAAAACAGGTAATCTCAATCTCAATTCATACATCCTTCCTTCTCATTCAAAAACACACCATTAATTAAAATCTAGTTATAACCAACCAACCAATTCTTGTAGGGTGTGGAAGTTGTGGCAGTTCACAGAAAAGGGTGTTCAAGCGGGGATGGAGATGGGGGGGTGTTGATGGAGTATGAGTTTTTCCCAATTAGCAGCTGCTCCCACAATAATGATCATGAGGACGAGGATGATGATAATGACGGTGATGATCATGATCAAGATCATGATCAGCAGCTGGAAACAACAATGGAAATGGCTAGTAGGGCAGTGATAGTAAATCATGGATCCAACAACAACAGCAGCAGCATTGACCTGTCCCTAAAGCTCTCCTCTTATTATTAATTAGTTAATTAGGAAAGCAAAGGTGCTGTCTGTTTTGAGGTTTTTTGTCTTTAGGCATTTCAGTGAAATGGGTTCTGTCAACCACACATAACACCTCTACCAGCTTTTACTTTGCCTTTTTGGTTGTTGAACCACACCTCCCTCCCTCCATCTCCTCTTTCGGCCAATACATTTTCTGATTCTCTCTCTCTTTCTCTCTCTCTCACTCATACAAACAGACACAAACACATATATATAATATGTAGTTTGATGGAGATGAGTACTTTCCCTTAATTGTTATATTCTGCTGCTGTGATCTTTCTGTTAGCTTTTAATTCTGGTTCTTTAATATGTTTAGTAGTTAAGTGGCAAGACCAAGACGAATTGATTATATTTCATATATATATACACACATTCATGGCAGAGTCATTCAGTTCAGGCTGCAGAGTTGAGGATGATGATGATGATGATGGCACACTGGTTTAATCTACTGCTGTCAATTAATTAATTATGTTCCCATATTTTGAGATTGATGAGTATTCTATCCCTAAATTGTCTCAGAAAACACAACATCAAATAAATAATCACCTCTAATTATAATGACATCCAAAAACACATACCCATGACTCACTAGCTAGGGCAGCTCATTAAGAATAAGCTTCCCATAGGGAAAGAATGATGCAAACTTAGAAGATAACTGGAAAAAAACCCTAATATCCAAGATCAAATCTAGCTAGAAAATGAAGTTAGAAGAAAATGAAGGGGAAAATAATAAAAAATGGAAAACCCAATAACCCAATTAATTAGACCTAAGACCTAGCAAAGAATTTTGATGATCAGAGAAACCAAGAATTGATGAAGGTATTTTCACCTGCATTTTATTAATACAAATCGAATTCTACTAATTAGTATGTACTTTAAGTGATAAGGGTATTTCCACCACTTAATTGACCTAATAATAAAAACAAAAACCTCAGTTGCATTCTACTACAGCACCATTAATATTAAAATTGCATCAATACAAACCCTAGAGGCTGTGTAGTCTGAACAAGACTGAAACGGTAAAACGTGAACGGCAGGATTCGAACCTGCGCGGGCAGAGCCCACATGATTTCTAGTCATGCCCGATAACCACTCCGGCACGTCCACTCATGACTCCATTTTTCTCAAATTGTATTTAAATATAAACTATAATTTAAAGATCATTGTTATTAGTATTATTTTCTTAATTTATACTTACATAAATAATTATTTTAATTTTAATTTTTATTATTAGAAAACAAACCATTTGGCAGAGACGACAGCATATTCGAAAAATAATGGTATATTAATATTCTTCTCAAAGCTTCCAGTAGTTTCAACGGTTTACAGTTTCACACTAACTCAGTTACGCTTCGTCACTTTTCTTCTTCGTTAGTCAGTCAACATTCATTCCCAAACACCGGAAGTAAAACCCTACTACCAACGATATGCAGAACCCCTCGCCGGATTCCGACCTCCCGCCGCTCGCCGCCATCAAGGTTCGCTCCTCTTCTCCGCGATTCCCCCCGCCGACTACTCCACTCTCCGACGAGACACCCACCGCCAACGCTCAGCGCAAGATCGGGATAGCTGTCGATCTCAGCGACGAATCCGCTTTCGCTGTTAAGTGGGCGGTTCATCAGTACCTTCGCCCTGGGGATGCGGTTGTTCTAGTACACGTCCGCCCCACTTCTGTCCTCTACGGCGCTGACTGGGGCTCTGTGGACCTCTCAATTGTTGACGCCGGCAACGAGGAATCTCAGCGGAAACTCGAAGATGATTTCGACGCCTTCACCACTACCAAGGCGTCCGATCTGGCGCAGCCACTTGTGGAGGCTGGAATACCTTTTAAAATCCACATCGTCAAGGATCACGATATGAGGGAGCGCCTCTGCCTGGAGGTTGAACGGCTGGGGTTGAGTGCTGTGATCATGGGGAGCCGGGGATTTGGTGCGACCAAGAGGGGGAGTGATGGGAGACTTGGGAGTGTGAGCGATTACTGCGTCAGGCATTGTGTTTGTCCTGTTGTTGTGGTGAGATACCCTGATGAGAAGGATAGTGCTGGAGGCGATGCTGCTCCGGTGGTCTCCGTGGCTTCTGCTGCCGAAGAGCTTGAGGAGGAGGATGAGGAGCCTGAGTATCATGATGCATCTGATAGCAAAAAAGGTATCCGCCTTATCTATTCTCTATCCGAATCGATCAATTCTATCTATCTGCTTTTTGCTTGGATCGATTTATGTGAATGTAGTCGTGATAGCATCTGCCATATGCTAATTGTGAATTCTATCTGGTTCATCGACAATAATTTGACTAATATTGTATGCTGTTGGATTTAGCTGAGGTGCTAGCTTTGACTGCTTAGGTATTGTTGATGCGAGTTGTTTGGAAATCTGCACACAGTTTCCTGTCTGACATTTTCTACTGTCTCCATAATTGGTTCGTTGAACAAAGAAATCTTTGTAGATGAATAGAATTGTCCTTATAGAGCAACTGAGTTAATGCTCTTTCTCTGCAATAGAAAATTGCATATAGGTTGCACTCTTTACTGCTAGTATCACTGTGGTAGATGTTCAATGCTTCTACTCTAAAATCTTATGATTCTATCCAACATCTTCGCCATTGCGCCATTTAGAATACTTAATAGGTGCAGGTGCTGGCATTGCGCCATTTTGTATGGCCAGGCATGCTCTTTTCTTCTTTTCCCCTGGCACAGAGGCATGCACCATAGGAGTGTTGTTATAATTATATGTTTTTCAAATTGTATGAATTATTATTATTATTATTATTATTATTATTATCTTTAATTCCAAGATATTGAGTGTGTTTGGTACAGAGAATTAACAGAGAAATAAAAATGTTTATATTTCTCTTGTCTCTCATATAACTATAGAAATAGAGAGAAATAAATATTGCAAAATTATCATTTTTTATATTTTTTGTACTATTTAATTTTTATAATTTTTAAAAATTATATTATTTCAATTTTACAAAAACCACATTAAATTTATTATGTAAGAATTTAACTTTTACCAAATTTGAAAAAAATATACTAGTATATAATCTTACAAAACATTCGTATATAATTTATAATTTTTTAAAAAAATCACCAATTTTTTTTTTCACTAATTCTAAAACTCTTTTTTGTCTAATTAATCATTTGTTCTTGTTCGATCCATTCAGATAGCTGTAGTTTTTTTATATTTCTCAACTAAATTATTTATTTTACTAAACAATAAAATTAATTCTCATTCTCTATTCAATTACTTTTCTCTTCAATTCCATTCTCTGCTCTCATTTCTCTACAATGGAGTACCAAACGCCCCTTAGAGTTTTTTATTTTTGGAAGGAAGAGTAATAGGATGCTGAAAGATTAAAAAATAAATATCATAATTTATATTATTAAATAATATAATTAATATAAACTTAAATGTTAATATCAGCATGGTGCCCTATCCTCTTGTTTTGGAAATAGTCTTCCAGGGTCTGCATCCAGTCTTCTGCTAATCCGCTTTCACTTACATTGCTTAATTTTAGTTTGATTCATGTTATGTTAAAATATTTTTTGAAATATTGTTGCTCCCTCCGTCAGCTATGCCAGGTTTCTTTTTTGACTGCCGTTAAACTTATGCACAGTCTATTCCACCTATAATTATATGACTTTTACTTTAACAAACAATAATCAATGTACCATTATTTTTTTCTATTTATCCTACCACATTTTATCAATTATTTAGCAATTTTTTATAATACCTCCATTTTACTTATTTATTCTTATTTTTCAGCATTTAACTATGTCACTGATTGGAAATAATTCAACATGAATAGTTTATTGCCTAACTCTAATAAGGAAAATAAGTATAAGGTAATTTTATAGTAAACCTTTTAAAAGTGATATCACAAGATTCAAGTATCTAGAAGGTGGATATCTCAATGCATATCATTCGTATATAATACTTTTGGTCAAAGGCCTTGCGCCATGCATCCTTTACGACTACATATCTTTCCAAATTTTCTTTTCTTCATTATATGCTATCAACAAATCCAGTTAGGAGCCTTTATGTTCTGCCAGATGCTATCCACGTAAATGAAATAAATCAAGCATAATGATTACTAGTTATGATTTTCTACAAGTACCCTCCATAATTTTTGTGCTCTGGATAACACTGAAGTGCAAAAGCCAACAGGGCTGAAAATTTGATTTGTTGTGCCGAAATAACTTGTATAAAAAATCCATTATTTCATCAAAAGATATATTGATTGTTTTATATTTAAAGAATGTCTTTGGCACCTCTGTCTGACTTTATTAGAATAACAATACTATTACTTCTGACATTGGGACAACTTAGAAATATGTGATACATATTGAGAATTTTGAGATGGCTGGAGCTCTATTTCTTGGCATCCCTTATTCACATGATCTGCTGGGGCCTTGGAAAATATAAAATTGATGTCTTTCTAATCAGTTTTTGACCACTTAACCTGTATTAGAAATTGACCAAAAAGATATTATGCACATCAGCACTTGTACATGTTGGTTGCCCTGATAAGTGCTTTTGATTGTTGAAGATATTAGTGTTAGAGTAATCTTGGTTATGGGGAGTTTATTACACTTGTTCTATGAAGCTTTTTTAATGTTAATCACATTTTTTTGGTGGATGATGCTAGTAGGTGCAGCTTTTCGTAGCCATAATATATGATGAGTGAGTAATAATAACTAATATGAAATGTGCAAGAAGGAATAACTCTAGTTGCTATATAATCTTTGTGGGTTCACATCCTTGATGATGGTGATAATCTCATTAGCAGTGTTATGCTATTACTCTTCTCCTTGACTTGTTTAGTTTCCGTCACGGTTGCTATTTGTTCTCTCAATGTTTTTCAACATTTTCTAAGTTTTGTCGGGCTTATTTGTTTCTGACAAATGGCCTGTCATAGCGCACAGTGATTAATGCATCCCTTGAGACACAGCCCAAACTTATGTAATATATGAAAATGTATTTATGTTATTAAAATACCTTGCAAAAATAGTACACTTATATAATATATACTTGCAAAAATAGAACACTAATATAAAATACACTTGAAAAAATTAAACACAAACATACAATATAATATACTTATAATCTTAAATTCATAAATGATCTATTAATAACACAGTTTATGTAAAAGAACAGTAGCTGGAAATTATTGAAGGAAATATTAGTGCATGATTGAAAAAAGAAATAGTATATTACTTATATTGATGTTATTATTTTTCAATGATTTGGATCAAGCGCTGAATGTCAATAATAGACCATTAACCCATATAAATCCTTTGCAAGTGTCCCCACTCATTTTGACATTGGAGAAAAAAGTATAACGACAAGGAGAAAAATTAATAGGAGATGAAGAAACATATATTATTAGAAAAGTGAGAGAATTGTAAGAAAATATAAGAGAAGAAAACATAGATTCTAAATTCTAAAATGAAGAAAACATAGGAGAAACTATCAGGAGGCAAGGAAGTTAAGATCTGTAATAAAGTCCCTTGTACTTAGATGATCACCCAAGGAACTTGTTGAATGCACACATCACGTCAGGCCAGCGCCACAATATACCATTTTTGTTACAGTTGGCACCTTAGAGTTACACCATGAGCTCGTTGTGTATGCTGAGATGCATTCACACTGGTAGTATTGGATAACTGTTTATTCTGATGTTGATAGAAGTAAAAACTGCATAATTGACTGCGTCTCTGCAAGTGAAAGGAACTTAGTTGTTTCTGGATTTGTTGGGACAAGAAGAGTTTCACATCATTAGTTCTTCTGATCATTATATCAGGAGGGTGTAAATCTTTTTTATTGGTTAGTAATTTGCATGCACATCGAATGCTTTTTTGATCTTTATAAACCTAAAAAGCTTTTTACCCTGATTGAATGATGACTCGTTGCAAGTTACTTGAACTTTCAAGACTGCAATGTTTAGTAAGTTGTGTAAGTTGGTGCCTTTTGATGACTATTCTTCAGTATGTTGCTCTTTTGATATGGTTTTGAGAACTCTGAAATGATAGTTTTCAATGTTGATGTGTAACAGATTCCTGATCAACATCGAGCTGAAGCACCTCCATTTGATGCCTGCCTGCAGGTTTGTAGTTCTATTTCCTTTCTAATTTTTTGCTGCCATGATTCCAACTGTTGTTTCTACACTCGTCGCATCGTACTAATAAGTTTTTATTTTCTTCAGTTATCTTTACCCGCTTATAATTGATGCATCCCTTTTTTTCATTTTTCTGCAGGCATTGTCTAAAACCTATAGTTGATGAATGAGAATTAACTAGATTTGCTTGAACAGAGAAGTATTGCCATGTATATCGCACGCAGTTTCTTTTATTCCATTATCTGCGTCAGTTTGTTTGCGTCGTAAATGTTGAGTCCTGTATTACCATATTGTCGATCATCATGCAGCTTTGTGTAGCTTCAAAACTCATAACACAGTTTCTGAAGTTCCTCTTCCTTTTACATAATACATTACTGTCCGTGTTTGTGTTTTTGGCAACTGTTGTGTTTTATTCTGTTTTTTTCAGAAAAAAAGGAAAAAGAAAGAAAAAAAGTGCCAAGGCAAGGTTGATCATTGATGTGTATACATATACACATATATATTGTATATATTGAATTGGAGTCTGATAACATTTTCAAGAAACTCAAGCTCACAAAACACCTCTACTCAATAACTATTGAGAGAGATCAGATTGAACAAGATAAAAAAAATAAAAACAAAAACAAAAGATTGTATCAAATGCAATATCATTCTGGTGGAGGAATTATTATCAGGTGACTTTGCGCAGGTTCAGGACCACAGAGGCCTCACTTTCTCCGTCTTCCTCTCCTGCTCCGTGGAATCTTTGCAACTTGTCGACAATGGCAGCTGTCCCCGGTGATCCACCGCTACTCTCCTGTGGCGTGGCTATCAGGCTGTCATTGCTCATTGTCCTAATTCTCATCCTCCGAGTAAATTCTCCAGAATCTGAGTGCTGGTGAGATGAACAGCATCCTTCCTCATCCTGCAAACAAACAGTCAGATCCAAATCTTGGATCAATTTAACTGAAACGGATGGATGAGTCCGTACCTGGGATTCAAAAGAGCTGTCGCGTGTTCTCTTGGAAGAAGATCGCGAGAAATTCTCACCATTCTGAGAAAGACACGCCGGGGGAGTCCCCGACCATGGCACCACTTGATTCTCCCCATCCTCTTCTTCATGGCCGCCGCCACTGACGCTGTAATATTCCCCACTGTCAGTCTTGCTCTCCGCCGAATCACATCCATCGTCATCCTCACTAGTTTCCTCCACCTCCGCCGCCGCCACCGCCTCTGAGCTGGTCGAGGCTGCTGCACCTCCTCCTCCCCGGCGAGTCTCGGCGCACGTCCAGCAGACCGAGACGGTGGGGCCGAGCTTCTCGCCGGTGGCCTTCCACAGGGTGGGAGAGTGGCAGATGTAACAGAGAAGGGTCCGAATGTGTTTGGCCGCCAAAAAATTGGCGGCGTGGACGGTTTTGTCACATTCCCAACAAAGGCTAGCCTGATCGGAATCGCACACCATCCACGCCACTTTGCTGCAGCACAGCTCACACCCCTTCCTAACCGCCGCCGCCATGAAATTCGTCCCAGCACAAAATCCCCTTTTGTTAGTCGAACCAATGGAAGAATATAAACCTAACTTACAATAAAGGAAAGATCAATAGTGAATAATAGAGAGATCATGAAATGAAAAGGCAGGTTGCAGAAATAAATTGGATGGTGCACATCGAAGAAGAAACTAAAGCAATAATAGAAGTGGAATTGAAAACCGGCAGCCCTCCCGCCCCAGGTAATACCAATGTATGTATATATAAATCTTGTGATGGAATTGACAGTTTAAAATAAAAAAATAAATAAATAATATTTTGAAATTGAAATAGTAGAGAAGCAAGAAAGGTGGGGCTGTGTGGACTGGAGAGATTTTATCTGGTCATGATGACGTGTCCGAATAGATGTGCTATATTAGATTCTCACAAATATTGGCCACAACCTTGATTCTGGTCCTCAAAAGGAATTGGCATGCCCCACGTCATACTCCACCACATCATCTCTATTACTGTAACTATATATTCTCCTCATTGGACTTTTTCTTTATTTTCAGAACATGGCTAACGTTTTTTTTTTCTTTTTAAAAATATGGATTCTTGTGATCACAAATGATGTGTATACTTTTCAGCCCTATTTTCTTCTTCATTAATTAATGACATCTCACAAAAAACGAGAGGTTTGTTTTTGTCCAAGAGACTAGTCGCTCTATATACAATACAATCAGTCGTACTTGTCTTAGTAACAACATAAAAGCAACCGACGTAAATGGGATAAATTATTAATAAGAAAAAAGAAAAATTTAATATATTTTGGATTGATTGATTGCCACAAACTCTTGATGATGATTTGGCTTGGCTGCACTTCATACCATTATTTGATTGCCTTCAATATCGACGGTGACCTTCAATATATATACATGTGTTTGTTCTTGTGTGGATAGGATAAGTGTTAACTCTTTACAAATTGAAATGTTTTAAGACAAATAATTTGGCTCTATTTTACACAAAACACACATATACATATATATATATATAAATTATATTTTAAAGTTTTTGAGACTATTCGTCTACAATATCATATCTAATAACTATTTATTTACTATTCCAAAAAATATTCAAAACTCTTATTTAAATGAAGTCTTTCATCGTTGCAAAGTTGATCGAAGACTTTGCAATTCACTAGCCCAAACACTAAGCTAATGTGGACTTTTGCACACCGTGATACATGTTTCTTTTATTTTTCCAAACAAGGCTCTTCGAATAACAATGTCAATCGTATCGGGTTTAGGTTTCTTTCTATCTTCTCCGCTACAATCGCTTTTTTAATTAGATTAAATTATTCAAATTATTCAATATAATCTTTAGCTCTTCAATTGCATTAATTCGATACATCTATAACTAAATATAAAATATTCGTTTAGCGTATATTCTCTAAGTTTGGTCGAAACATTCATCGATACGCACGATACTATATCTTTGTTTTAATTGAAAAATATTGACTTTAATGTTATTTTATTTTAATATTTATTTTGAATATCTAATCCAGGGTGCTATAGATAAAAAATTGTCAAACATCTATCCCTCTATCTATGTAAAACAAAAAGATAATAATAATTCAGATTATCACATAGTCCATTAAGGAATTTTGTACAATGTTAATATCTATTCTTCAACTATCTTGCCTAGCCATTCTATCGGCACAAATTTGACAGCAAATGCAACAACCCAAGTCCCGAACCCAAATACGACACAAATACCCCAGTCCACCGCACTCAACCCGGCGGACGACTTATTAATAGCATGGACTGCTTCTACCAACACCATCGGCACGGCAACCATCGCCGCCACGAGCACAGCCATCCGTCTTCGCATACCCGAGAAGACGTTCTTCTCCTCTATCTTCCTCGCATTCACCATGTTGAATACTTGTAGGATCACTGGCATGGCTGCCGTGACCGTGCCGCCTATTCCATTTTTCCCGAGAATTTTGGCACTGCAATAGCCGAGCACGGTCACGACTACGCTCTGGTATGCAACCTGACCCAAAATGTTCCTCAAAATGGCCGCGTTCATTAGGAGCCGGTGGCCTAATTTTGCGTCGAGCCGGGGCTTCTGCCTCCCGAAAACCTCTGCCGCGATGAAACCCATCCCGAAATTCACCCACACTAGCTGGATTAGTAAAACAACCAGCCACGAATCGTCGTTTGATGAGAAGGACCCGATGTACGTGTTCATCATGCTTGTGATTGTTGTCGTAATTTGGAACTGAAGGAATAGTTGAGAGTTGTGTCGAATGCAGCTCGACCACCCGGAGATTAGGTCGAGAGAAGAGGAATCTCCGTCCATTATTAGAATGTCGGAACTTCTTGTATCGCTGATTTCTCCATCTTCGATCCCAACAGAAGCTTCAATGCTTGCTTCTGAGCCAACTTTGGATATGGCGTCATCTACATCATTGTTTTCGATCGAAATTTGATCAAAAATTAGTATTCCTAAGAGTGACCACAGATAATCATCGTCGTCATCATCATTGTCATAGTGTACGAAAGCAATCCATGGGAGCTTTCTTGATTCCCAAACTTGAGCTTTCTGCATTAGCAACATCCTTTCAGTTTCGGAGAAAACTTGTTTCTCCCCGGTGGTGCGATAGTAGCTCGAGCAATTACTTAGTATGTGCTCTGCAAATCCTTTCTCATGGACATACATGGTGTCATTCTCCAAGCTCATCAAGAAGCCCAAGCCTCCATCATCCTCAAGATCGACGTTCTGCGACCTGTAAATCGACAACTCGTTATCCAAGTTCAGTTCTTGAACTGCCCAAGCAATAATCGTCGTCCCGATTAGGCTCTTCGAGAAATATTCGTCGCAGGCGACAAGATTTTCGCAATGGCTGTTGATTAGCCTAATTCCTGCAACTTCTTTCATCAGTTCGATTATAACAGGGGAGGATGTTGCAGGGCAAAGAGCTTCATCTTCTACAAGGTGTTCGACTAAGTAAAACTTCGCGTCCCAAACGGCGCTGCTGCTGTTGTCTGCGGTGACAATCGATTTAATAGCTTCCTTCATCTCTTTCAAGGCAACGAAGCCTAAAAGATTGTATCGATCTTCGTTCTTTATCAAGTCTCTATCGTTTAACCACTCTTGTTTGCTAACAACTCGATGCGCTATAGCAATGGCATGATCACCATCGTTGATGATACTTTGAAGCTTCGCCTCTATCGACTTTTTCACTTCTTCATTTAGACAACTCAAGGTGCCCGAATCATCATAAAAGCTCGAACACATTTCGAGTATCACACCAGCCGGCCCTCGCCGGTGCACATGGAGCAGAGGATCCTCGTCCAACTGAACCAATATTCTCCTCCCTTTCACCTCCGAGGAATCGATTTTTTGAACACTGCAAGATTCATTCAACCTTTTCCAATTCACGTCCAGTTCGAGAGATATCTCCGACAGAATGGCTTGCTCGAAAGGACTCCCGGAGAAGCGATGCTTGCCAGCTTTCGTAGAATGGTAAGCAATCGCCGTCGTGTTCAGGTAAATCCCCTGTCGAACCAAATCAGCAATGTTTGGGAGCATCAAAACCGTTGTTTCTACGCCTTCAATAAATTGCGGGACATTCAAAAACTCGGAAGCCTCGACTCGTTGCACAACAAATGTATTTCCGCCTCTTTCGACAACATTAACCTTAGCAACGCCGAGCCCGATTTTCTCCCACGCCAAAAGATTTCTGATGACAACATCGCGCCGAGAGAAATCGCAAACGGCTTGACAAAGACTAACCTTCATTGCCCAAGGGAAGTTATTTGTGTCCATGGCAGCCAAGAGCAACAGAGTATTGAGACACATGTATACAACATCGTACGACGCTTGTATTGCTTTTGTCTTACCTGGTACGAACCAGCTTCTTCCATCATCGTCTTTGTAGTGTCCTGAAAAGTATCGCGCGAGCGAAATCAAGACACAAGCGACGCCCAAAATCCGATTCACTTTTCTCAAAAACCAAGCCAAAACATCCACTTGACCTTGAAGATCTAAACTCTTGATCAATCGACGATTGAAGTTTTTCGGGCCGTGCTTTATAAAACATACCGTGCTCTTCCCTACGCCGGTAATAAGAATCTTCCCCTGCCCCCGGATTGTAATAGATCCACTATACAAATAAGGATTCGAAGAATCGACTTCCACCTCAAAAGCCGTCTCTTTGAGGTGTGATTCATCGAACTTCAATGGCGGATCGCCGATTTCTTCGAGGAAGAGTCCATCCCCCGGAATCTTGTCGCCATTCTTCACGAAAACTACGTCGCCAGTGACGATCTCCGACGATGGAATTTGCTGCTTAAGTCCATTCCTTATTACAAGTACCATATCCCCAACTTCCCTCACCTCCATGAAAAGAATCTCGATCCCATGTTCGATCCATTCTTTTATTACATAGCAGGCGTAAAATGAAATCAGGGGAACTGCTCCTTCTTCCCACCCACTTTTTGGATCTTGTAATAAAATCCCGACGATGACAAGATACAGAGCACAGGCCGTGGCCGCCTTGAGATCGAGAAAGACTTTTCCGGCGCAGAGAATCGGCCAAAGGTACGACCGTATGCCGGATATTCCTCCGGCGTTAGAGCCGAACGCATTTCTCCGGCGGCCTAGGTCAGAAGCGTCGCCGCGAATCCCCAATTTTGTGTCGGAATTCAGAGCAGAGACGATGCCTTGGATGCCCCCGAGCTCGGCCATGGTGGCTGGATCTTTGGTCTTGAGAAGGTGCGTGAGCTTTGCGGCGTCGACCGGAAAATGAGTGGTGCTCTCCGGCGCCGGGACTTCGACGACCATGAATGATTGCAGCCGCTTTATGACGGAATTTGATCGGAGGCATTCCATGGCGATGATTAGCAGCAGGGTTTGGAGTGTTGGAAAAGACCTTCAAATTAGGGTTTTGTAACGATTGAGATAAAAACATAGACACGATGAGCAGATTTGTTTTACAGACGAAGCTGCAGGAGCCATGATCCTTTGTGCATGGAGAACTCCTGGAAATGAGTAAAACGGAGTCAATGCTGAAGTCAATTATATGCAGTATTACTATTAATTACATTCAACAACACATCAATCAATAACGTAGTGGGACACACCACTCATCTAAAGAATTTTTTGCTTTTAAAAATGAAAAATAAATACTACCATTAATATTTGTTTTTTTTTTTTTTACACGTACAAATAATGGTATTTGTATAATTTATTATAAGTTGTAGAAATATTTATTATATTAATATACACTTACTGAAAAAATGAAATTGTACCTTTATTTTTTGGAATGAACGTAAATATAAAATAAAATTCTTTTTATGAGACGAAAATAGTATATGAATTGAAGTAAAGATACTAACATGGGAAAAACTTTACAAATAGAATTGGTAAATTGGAGATGACTTTAGAGAATTAGACCACATATTTTATGGGATTGTTTTATCTCTTATTTATATTAAGGCTGCAGATATTGTGCTGATCCGGCTAAATCAGCAGAGTGCTGATTTGACCGAATTAATATATATTATATCTGTGATCAGTATCTTTATAATATAATTATACACGCTGATCACCCTTATAACATATGCTTATCCGATCAAATCACTATCGGATAACAGTTGATCCATGCACTTATATTAAACATGCAAAATATATGAGTTTGTTTTGTTTTTATTTAAAATTGATTATTTTAATGATGTATAAGAGAAAATAATTGACAATGTTGATCAGCTCTTTTCTTTTTTTTTTTTTCCTTTCCCCCTTAAGTTGACAGTTCGGAAATTATATTATGTGGCACAAAATCATGGTGCAAGTAAAAGTTGTGTTAGATTACGCTGTCTGGAAAAGGGTTCAATTCGTAGTGCTAATATCTTTTGGTGTTCAAATTTGTGTGGTTGGCCGATTTCAGACCAATGCTTTTTGCCCTTTCATTTATAATTTTATTATTTTTTTAAGGGTAAATTTTGGACACATCTGTTTGTATTTTAAAAGTGTGATTATTATATCGACGGTCAGACATTACTACAAACAAAACACCAATATAATTCAGTTTATGACCTATCTCTAAGGATCTCAATTTCGCAATATACTTTACAAAACATATTAAATAGTACAAACACCAACTAAAACTTTTGTTCACACGAAATTTGTTTATCTAATTCCGTTTATAGCTTACTCCTGAGGATTTCAATTTAGGCATTTCACTGTATAATTTAACGTACATATAAAATTGTACAAATTAAATACCAACCAACACTACAAAAAATTAAAAATAAATAAATAAATGTTGGAAAAGGTGGTATTGTTTTGTAAGACGACCACGAAAATGGCTATATAGTTCTTCGAAAAATGTTGAAGACACTTTTCAAATATGATAATTCTACGTTACGTCTTGCCACAAGAATTAGTAATTTCGTATAAGGCATAAGATGAAGAATAATTCAATTTTTGTAAAAAAAAAAAAATGAGTAGAATCGAAATTAGAAAAATTTAGAGTATATGGAAGTAAAATGAGTATTATATCAAATTCCCTATCGATCATCTCCCTCCTAGCGTGGTAATAGTCACGTCGTTCGTCGAACTTGTAGCGCTTCCGCTCGACCTAGGAACATCCGTTCCCGCGAAAAACCCCGGCTGCTTTGCCGCAGGCAGCTCGTTGTCGTTGCTCAACATGGCCACCACAGACGACATGCTAGGCCTATCGTCGGGGTGCTGCTGCACACACAACAGCCCAATGTGGACTAGCCGTGCCGCCTTTTCTAAGTCGTCCAACTCTTGAAGATGGCTGTCGACTACTTCTATCGATCTTCCTTCTCTGTACAGCATCCATGCCTGCATACGTGATCTATCGATTGAACAATTCGACGAAGCAATTTATAACAGAGGCGACAATGCGAAAAAAAAAAATAGTTACATGTCCTAGAAGATTGAGGCTCCGGTCTCCGTGGGAATACGAACTGTTTCTTTTACCACTCGCAATTTCTAGCAGGATGACTCCGAAGCTGAACACGTCTGATTTGACTGAGAATCGGCCGGAGACTGCATATTCCGGCGACATGTAGCCGCTGCATCGGAAGGTTAAAGTGCGTTGGAAAAAGAAATAAACTCAAACAAATCTATGCGAATATGACTTGAAGCAAACAATATCATACTAATGTGATCGCAACAAAGTGGATATATAAACTTACTATGTCCCGACAACTCGGCTAGTTAGACCTTCGGTTTCATTTCCTCCATAGCTTTTTGCAATGCCGAAGTCTGAAATCTTCGCGTTCATTTCGCCGTCGAGCAGGATGTTGCTAGCTTTGAGGTCTCTGTGAATTATTCGTAACGAAGAATCTTGATGAAGATACATAAGCCCCCTCGCGATACCATTTAATATGTGGATCCTCTGCGGCCAGTCGAGGGGCGCTCGACTCGTTTTGTCTGGCAACATTAGAGTTTTCGACATCTTTTAACGCATTGCTACACAAGTTCTTAACCTTCGAAGTTAACTCTCACCGAATAAAGCCAAGTCGAGGCTTCTGTTCTCCAAAAATTCGTATATTAGCATTTTCTCGTCTCCTTGAATGCAACATCCCAGAAGTTTTACGAGGTTTCGATGCTGGAGATTCGCGATGCAGATCACCTCGTTCTTGAATTCGTCGAGCCCTTGTCTAGATGTCTCCGATAGCCGTTTAACGGCTATATTTTGTCCATCCTCCAGAACACCCTGAAATTAGAACATTACTTGCAAGATATTGCATAAGTTTCGATTAGAGTTCTACCTTATAAACAGGACCATATCCGCCTTCTCCGAGCTTGTTTTGCGACGCAAAATTATCTGTAGCTTTCGAAATTGTCGACAAACCAAACATCGGTAGCTCCAAGTCCTTATCTTCAGAAACACCAGCCACAGACATACCCGATTTTTCGCCCTTGTCGCTATTCTTCTTCGTCCTCCAGACATATAAAACCACACAAATGCCGACTAAAAATGTTCCTACCGTCACCAAACTTACGGCCAATTTCATCTTCCTGTTCGAGTCTGCAATAGTATCCATTAGTCCGCGCTATCACTCACATAAACATATATTCGTAACTACGAATCTCACCTAGCTCCGATGAAGCCATTCGGACGTAAAGAAATTGTCCGGGAGCTGGCAAAGTTCTAATGTCGATCAAGTCACCAAACCACATAAGGCATCCATGGCCACCTGTACTAATATTCAACCTCGAATACGCCATGCAAGAGCAGTTATTCAAGCACGCCGTGCGGCATTCCTCGAGCGACATTGTCTCATTGTACGTCGAATTCCTCGCGTCGGGGAACTTGATGTCCAAATACCGCAAGAATCCGTCCCCTTTTGCGCAATCCAGCGGCGTTTGCCGAACACATCCACTCGTCGACCAGGCAGATTCAGACCATACTTTAGGATCCCTTGGCCTGAACCTGTCCAGACACGAACACACCGGATAATCCCCAACGGTGCAGCTGCCGTGCGCCCCGCAGGCGCCGTAAGCATCGCAATCGTCGATGGGATTACTCATGTAGAGAACCCATCTCTGCGTCGGATCCACCCAATGCCAGCGCTGTCCGACGCCGTTCGGACTCAGAGTGTACCTCGTCAGAACAGCCGACGGGACGATCGCGTCTTCCCTGTAATAAAAAAAGCCGTCTTTGTTTCTATAAATCCCGAACTTGTACGACATGTCTTTCTTGATTTGCGGCGTCCCGCTGTAGACAGTGCCGAGCCATGGCCCCAATCTGTAAACCTCAGTGCCATTCCGTTTCGTGATCAGTTGTGGATATCCGGCGGGATCTAATCGAATTGTGTAGTCGCCGTTGCCGGGATCGTCGCTGTTCTTCCAGCACGACAGGTAGTTGTCCCCGCCGGGGACGGAATTCGCGCCCAATTGCATTTCCGGCAGGAGTGTGTCTGTCGGGTGGTCGAAGCTCTGCCAGAGGTAATTCTCCGGCCGGCGGTCGTCGGCGTCGCGGAGAATTAAGTTCCCGGAGTCTAACAGCTGGGCGACGGGATTTTTCGCGATTCTTGTGGATTTGTTGGAGGAAGACCATACGGTGGTGTTGGTGGCGCTGAGAAGAACCAGAAATCCCGGCGGGATGACTTTGAGGACTGCGGGTGAAGCTGCAGTGTTGGGTAATGGAGATTCTCGATTGGCAACCCAGACAACGGTCTTGACGGTGATGTTTTTGTACCAGATTCCTAGAAACCATTTGTTGGAGCTTCCAGGGGTGAAGAATCCGAGCTCGAACTTGCCCTTTGAGGAGATCAAAGTGTTGTTGTGCGTGATGCTCTGAGTTGTGTCTATGGCGTCGGGGTCTGCTTCGGAGAGGAAGAAGAAGAAAATGAGAAGAACGGCGGCGGCGTGTCCAGTGGAGGTTGTTCTTCTCGTCATGATGACTTGGTCTTGTAGTAAGTTTGTCAAGTGAAGTGTTCGATCATGCTTTGAGTTTGTCCGGTCGTCGTCAGGTAAGAAACGCGTGGTCTTGGTGCTATCGTCAATCAATCGTCCTGATTGGGTAGGGGAAAATCGCGCATGCTGCCGACAGTATTTGCCCACCAACATCCAGCCCTATCAGCGCCTCCAATGGAGACGAACATGTGACATATCTCCAGGAGCCGATGCCACCAGCACGTGTATATACACATTGTGTAATGGAGCTTGGGGCATCACGGTGCTGCAGATCTAGTGTTTTTTTTTTGTTTTTTTTCCTATCCAAACAGTAAACTGGACTAACGTAGCATACACTTATTTATATATATCAATATTTATCTTTTTATTCACCAATAACAAAAAAAAATATATATATATATATTTATGTATATATCAAAATATTTCCAAAATGTTAGGGACAATAGCCAATAGATAACCAAATAAGATGACAAATCTAGTGAAAACGAATTAATTGTGGCCTAGATACATTTAAGAATAATAAAAATAAATAGATTTAATATATAATATTCTAAATAAAAAATATGTAATTATATAATACAATAATTTTGAAAATAAAAAATGTAATAAAGTGCAAGACTTATTCAAGGACCCAAACCCCCCTTAAAATTGTGGAAGAAAAATGCAGTTGGATTGAGCAATACTAATTTTTTTTATATTTAATCCGATGGACATTTTGTTAGCTTTAATTGAATCGCAATCCTGATTTATCATCAGCTAATAGTAGAAAGTTTTTTAATTCAGCACCAAATCCAAAGGGGTATTACAATACAGTCAAACCCCACAAAAGACAAGAGACAGTAGCAAAATACATAGCAGGAAATTTAAATTTTCTGGTAACAAAGACAGCGTAAAATGGCTCATGGAAGCAGAAGCCATGAAAGATGAAAACGCAATGCATATATTTTTAAACAGGATATAGCAATACCACAAATTCAGGACTGCTGTAAGCTTCCAGTTGGGGCAGCAGGATTCTGTGGCGGCGGCGGTGGCGGCATTCTGGACTGGTAAGCCGGAGGATATTGCTGGTGGGGTGGTGCCACAGGAGGTGGAGCATATCCATAAGGCGGATAATAGGGCGGCTGTGGGTAGAACTGCCCCGGTCGTGGTGGTGGTGGTGGCGGCATACCTGGATGATGGCCATAGTGATGAGCTTGTTGCTGTTGGTCGAAACTGGGCTTGGGTTCATTTGATCCAGAAGGTCCGCTCGAACTACCTTCTTGAGAAGGGATGATGGCGCCCATTCTCTGAGGATCCATGGAGGGATAATAAGCTCTGTCTTGCTGCGGCAATGGAGGGATGTTGAAGTAGGGCATAGGAGGAGGTGGTTGGGACTGTGAGCCGGGGGGCTGAAGAGGTTGGTTCTGCTGCTGGGATATGACAGCCCTTGGTAACAAGCCACTGTGGGCCACTGCTTGCTGTTTGACTTCATCAGGGGTTTCGGATTCGGGTCTTGGCACTTGAGGTCGGCCCCAGAGCAGCTTCAATCGCAAGCCTTTGATGACTAGCTTGTTGGCGAGTTCTTCGGCTGCTTTCTCTGCACCTTCTCTTGTTGTGTAGGTTACGAAAGCGCAAGCTCGCTGGAGAACCATTTTGACAGACTCGATCTCTCCGTGGGCATAGAAGTTGTCTCTTAGGTCTTGCTCGGTGATTCTTGCATCAAGGCCACCTATGTAGAGGGTTCTTATGCTTTCATCCTCTGGAGGCTCTAGAGATGGCATTTCTCCAGCTTTGTTCAGAAGCTTCATTGCAACTGGATCGTTGATTCTGCAAGCACGTGCATTCAAATATGAGTGGTGCACAGAGAGAAAATGAAAGAGATGTATTAGGAAGTAATCATAAGGCATAGTAGAGAACAAATGTCATGCAAGGCTTAGATATCAGATATCATATGCAGATGGAGAATTTCTGAGTAGAAGACGATAGAGAAATGTGACAGGATTTGTAGCAAATTCAGAATGGCAACATGATAGAAATACTACCATTTCAACTATTTAAAAATGCTTATCAAATCCTAGCAATGCATAGACAGTGATATCATCATATAAGAACAAAGATAACCTCTAAGTTCCAACATATAAGCTCTGCATATTGCTCAATAACCATCCAAATTTAAGCTACTCTCTGAAATAATAACTATAATTACATATTATCTAGCTTTCAGAGTGAATTTTACCACCACAAGGCTGATCAGGGTTAGCAGAGTATCTTTGGAGACCATTATAGCTATATGAACTTAAGTTCCTCCATCACACTATTATACAATCCAGATTATACTCTTACCATATTGAAATCAAAGCACATATTATCAATTACCACTTTCAGAATAACATTATTCATTTAAAATTTGATCAGTGAGTCAGTAGTTACTGTTGCACACCCAGAAATGTAAATAGATCACATAAGAAAATATTTGAATTGGGTAAACATTGGACGTACCCGTAGTAACGATCTTTAATATTCTGTTGAGACAATTCACCTTCCTCAGGCATCTCATGCCTGTAAGGGCACTCTGGTCCTCTTGTACATTGACCACGGATGTAGAAACTGCAAACATGTGCTCTATTTCTCTTGTAGTACGGTGTGGTTCTTTGGAGTTTCAAGATAGTATCATTTGGACGCACCTTGCCATAAGAAGATTCATAATCTATCCCAGCTCTAGCCTGCAGACAACAAATTTTTTAGGGTTGAGACACAGGATACAATTTGGCAACATGCATCAAAGTACAAAACAAGAGCTTATCAGCCCATCCACTTAAGCCACATGACATTATATGCTCGGAGTATAAATACTAGCCAAAAGAATTGCAATATATAACCCCTAATAGGCAACAATTACAAAATTCAAACCAAGAACTTATCAGCCCATCCACTTAAGCCACATAAAATTTCATGCTCAGAGTATAATACTAGCTAAAAGCATTGCAATATATAACCCCTAATAGGCAGCAATTACAAACTTCAACCATGATGTATTTCCAGATAAAATTATCATACAATGAGTTATATGTGAGAGTTAGTTTCTGTCATATTCAATGGAGGCATGATCCAATAGAATGTTATCATCGATTTAATACAAATAAGAAAAATATTATCAGCTGCAATCACTAATCAGAGTCCTCACTCCCCAGTTAGAATTACTTCAAGGTACCATATTTTTAAGAACATCTACTTCTTATGCTATTATTAAAACTTTAAGAAATACGAGTGTTCTGGTAAGGCTTAATACAAGCCGTAGAAAGTATGAAACTAAATTTTCATAAGTCTTAATGGGTAAAACTAGGTCTAGGCAAATAAATGCGTATATTGTAGCTTTTTATGAGAAACATGAAGCAATGTGCTTATCTGCTTGTATATTATTAACATAGTTATAAGACCAAAAACTATACCTTACGATCATGCTCCTCTGCAAAGTATTCTCTATTCACATCACTCTTAGGGATGGCATCATTGGAATTGATACTCAGAGCAGTGTCACGAACTTGAACAGGCAGCCCATATTCAAGATCCAAAAGGCAAACTTGACAAACATTTTTCAGTTTGCAGCAAGTCTGGCAAATCTCAGTTTTCTTATATCTTGCATCACGTCCAGGCCTCCACCTGAACACTGTGAATGGCCTAGTGCAGATCTTGCACTCCTTGTCATAATCAGCTTTTGTCTGAGCAAATAGAAGTATAAGAAGAAATAAAAAAAAAAAAAAAAAAAACGTTAGAACACAGGCATTATTCCATATATGCAAAAAGGCTGTACAAAATCTAAAGATGGAATGAAATATCAACAAAACTTCACAAGTAAAATCACCTACTGTGCAGTACAACAAGGAAATCAAAGATCAAAAAAATTATCATACACAATTCATAAGCAAAATAGCATGATAATAGTCAAATCTTTTACATAGATATAGTAACTCTTTTCTAGCCAACATCCCTAGAAACCAATGGAACAACAAAAAATCCACAGCAGTCGCTAATCAAATCCAGCTTCAAACAATAGCTATCCCAAAACCCTAATCTCAGCCAATCCGTATTTCTCAATCTTATATAACATCGCTCATACATCACAAATACCTAAATTGGAACATCAAAACACTGGGATTGATATTATACCATTCGAACATACGGATTGTCCCCAAGACAAGATTCACATATAATCGGAAAGTCAGATCGCTCCCAGCCATCAGCTTCAGCGTCCCGCAGCAGCCTATGCGCCATGTTTTTCCAAACTCGATTTCGTCCGTATCGCTCTGCAGCAGCTAATAATAAGACACGATTATAACAAAATTGGAACCGAATAGATGCCAATACTCTGATTTCGTGTACAAGCAAAAACCCTAATAGTATTCGTAACCAAATTAGGTTTTTAAACGAAGTACCTTGTCGGTTTTCAATCCACGCGGTTTTCAATTCACGCGAACCCGAGCTGCAATAGGTGCGACGCGATGGTGGATCTGAGAAGAGAGTGAAACGTTGAGGCGACGGCGTAGCTATGGAAATTGGAGAAGGAGGGAGGGGATGAGAGGGGGAGAATTTTTATATATTAGTATATATTTTTTGGTGTTTGGTTCGATAGTTTTAGGGGAAGGGCCCCTGCCTCCATGTTGGATGGAGTGCCCAACCGGTTTCGAACCGCCGGGTCGCCAGTTTAGACCGGCGGCGCCATCGAACCGAAATTTTTTACAAGATTCGATTTCGGTTATTGTAGTATGTCATATTAAATAACTATTCAAATTCAACTATTTACTCAAATTCAACTATATTCAAATTCAACTATTTACTGTTTAAAAATCAAAACTCAAAAATTAAAATTCACCAAACAACACTCCCATAGAAACTTACCAGGTGTAGGAGGAGTAAACAGAATAATATATTAATAGTAAAATACAAAGTATATAAGTAAACTTATTAGGGCAGAAAATAATATACAAGTATTTATATTTAAAGTAAAATAATATTAATAATAAAATATAATCTTCCTCTCGAAACAGTGTCGTATTTGATTAGTCACGCTTATTGATTATGATATTATTTTTTATTTTAGGATAGATAATTTTTTTTTTAATGTGTCAGCATAGTTAACTGTTCTTATTTTTAGTAAATTATTATATTAATTTTTTTATAAATATCAAAGTATTATTTATATAAAACATAATCATAACATAACATTATAAATCATTAACTTACTAATTTCTATCATATAAGTGACTGTAACAAGTTTTTGTGGTGTTGAAAGTTAATTTGTGATAATGAGGTTATAAATTTAATTTAATTTTTTTTTTTATGTATAGTGATCATATCTACGCAGCAACAGCCAAGTCAATATTGTTAAGATTGTCGAAAAAAAAATGTGACGTCGAATAACTAAAAGCGAATAAGAAAGTTACATGTTCTAAAAGATTAGGATGACAATCATACAGCATCCCGACAATTTAACAAGATTTTGCTGCTGCAGCTTTGCGACAAAAATCACTTCATTCTTGAATTCGTCGAGCCCTTGCTTGGAAGTTTTCGACAGCCTTTTAATGGTTATATCTTGTCCATTTTCAAAAGTACTTTGCAAAAATTTACGAGCATCTTTAAAATTCAAATTATCATTACAAGATGATACAAACTGCTCTGTTGCATCATCAAGTTGAGATCTTCATTTGTTATGAGAAAACAGTTGTGTAGATAATGGAACGCGTGGAAATAACATGGCAATCGACATTGGTGACAGTGATTAAGGTGAGAAAGAATGGTCTTGCGGACATTATTAATGTTGTTTCCAAGAACATTCAATTCAACTAGGACGAAAGCGATTTGTCTCATCTACAAAAAGAGAACTTAAAAAAAATAATAAAATAAAAAAAATGAAAGACCAGAAAAAAAATAGTCTGCACATCAAAACAACATGTTTTTTTTTTATTATTAAGATTTGAGTTTATTCTTTCAGTAATTTTTTTTCAATAAGATTTCAAAAAATAATTACTATGAGCTCATGAGTTTAATTCTCCGATAACTTCATATTATTTCCTATACATATTTCAAATAGTGTAACTTGTTACATAATTTGGATATTATATTTGACTGAATTTTCATGTTATAAAAGAACCAAAAAAAAAAAAAAAAAATCACAACCATATTCGTCTTGTAATAAATAAAATGGTAGTATGAGAATCAACTCGTGATTATGATATTGTAGATTTAAAATATCGATCTCTTCAAATTTTTTGAAAAGTTATATCTATAATTTATATTAAAATATATATTAAATACATTATTTAAATACAAAATTCAAATTAAATATTTCCAATCTAGATTCAAAGAATCACACCCTCAAATTTCTAATATCTATCACTTGGCTCAACTTTTCATTTTTATACACCTTGGGTGTGTTTGTTTGGGGGTTTGGATTTTAAGTTGGGATTTGAACAGTAAAAATTTTGAATTTGAATAGTTGTATGATGTGATATAAATAGGTGTTGATGTGATGTTTTGAATGTAAAATTAATTTTTAATATAATATAAAAAATGAAAAATAGGTGTTTGATTTGATATTTTTTGGGAAAAAAATGGAATGAACAGTTGAAATCTAATCCAATCCCCCAAACAAACACACCCCTTGTATAATTCTACTACACGTGTTCCAACAATTAAGCTGAAATTGTCAAAGTAATGCATATCGGTTGCGTTTGAATCCTAAGACTCACAAATTCAAGTGCAACTATAACTATTTTTATTAATCAGTCAGAGTCAATTTTGATTTATAATTAACGATGATTAGCTAGGTTGTTACTATAAAAAATATTTTTTAAAAAGAAGTCTCGTAGGACCGTAAAAGATGATCGGATAGTGTGAGGATAGACTTACATAGTCACAGTTATGAGTTCAAATCTCCAATGCTTTCAAATCTTATTTGCTACGCATGGTTCATCTAGTGTGACTTATCTTGTCGGGCCTAATTGTCATATTATTATATTTAAATTTGACTAAATATTTATCCGAAGCGCACTCGTCGAGCAGCTGCGAGTTTCTATGTTAGTTCCAGTGAATGAGATGCTACTGTAAAATGAATTTGAATTTGCAACAGTATAATCATGAATTATATTTATTTTTTTCCTTAACATAATTTGCAACTTACTACTAAAAAAATAGTCTTTATAGAATAGCAATTCTGGACCTACAATTCACTTTGCCAATAATACATATTCCTAGTTTCGTAAGGGATGGCCCGGTGGTGCAGGAGTTGAACGTGTGACCGTGAGGTCATGGGTTCGAGTAGCGGCTGCACCATCGTGCCATCCCTAACGGAACATAATTTATTTTTATTTTTATTTTTATTGTTCTTACTATATTCTTTCATGTCAATCAAATACATGTTCATTTGGGTCGGACAAGAATTTTAACGAGTATACTATTATATTGGTTCAATTCAGATCTAGTTTTGTTCAATAAGATCTTCCAACCTTTCAACAACTACTATCAACAATTCTGTGAATGAATTCAATAAATATTTTCTATCAAATACACCAAAACTAATACTCAATGATCTATCGACCATCTGTCATTGTTATTGTCATCTCATTTTCAGAACTAACTGGATCGAATCTTACATTCCTCAATTCATTAGCTTTCATGTAGAAGCCAGGCTGGTCAGGTCGATGCATCTCACAATCTGCATTGCTTAACATCGCGACCACCGACGACATGCTCGGCCGATCGCTCGGATGTTGTTGAACACACAACAGTCCCACATGGATTGCCCGTACCATGTCTTGTAAATTACTGGATTTCTCTAGTTTACTGTCAATTACCTCTATCGATCTTCCTTCCATGTGTAGCGCCCACGCCTGTGTCGAATTTTGCGTAATTAGGACCTCATCGAATAAATGGAACAAAAAGACGGCGCGAAATTAAAGAACGAGATAAATTTACATGTGCAGGAAGGCTGAGGTGCTGATATCCTTCAGGATACGAGCTGTTTCTTTTCCCGTTGATGATTTCTAGCACGATAACTCCGAAGCTAAACACGTCTGATTTTACTGAAAACCGGCCGCAAACTGCGTATTCTGGGGACATATAGCCGCTGCAAGAAAGGATAGTGTTAGAACCAATGAAATTTCATTATTTCCCTGCTCGTTCCAAGTAAGTTTTTTCGAAAATGTACTCACTATGTCCCCACGACTCGGTTTGTAATATCTTCGGTCACCCCATTTCCTTTGTATCTTTTAGCAATGCCGAAGTCTGAAATCTTCGGGTTCATTTCGCTGTCTAGCAATATGTTGCTGGCTTTGAGGTCTCTGTGGATTATATTCAGTCGCGAATCTTGGTGAAGATACATTAATCCTCTGGCGATTCCGTTGATTATTTGGAATCTCGTAGGCCAATCCAAGGATGTTTCGTTCTTTTGATCTGAAACAAGATGTCATCGAAATGTTTATACTTCTAAACCAAGTTACGCTGTTTTCTTAGGCTTATGTGGGAATTCTTACCGAATATAATGTTGTCTAAGCTTCCGTTGGCCATGTATTCGTATATTAGCATTTTCTCGTTCTCTTCGATGCAGCAACCTAAGAGTCTCACTAGGTTGCGATGCTGAAGTTTAGCAATAAAAATGACTTCATTCTTGAATTCATCGAGTCCTTGTTTGGATGTTTCGGACAACCTTTTCACGGCTACGTCCTGTCCATCCTTCAATATCCCCTGTTTGAAAACACAAGGTTGTTATAATTCACCATTTATCATCAATTTCTACAATACTCGTTCTTTCGTTACCTTATAAACAGGCCCGTAACCTCCTTCCCCAATCTTGTTGTGAATCGAAAACCTGTTTGTAGCTTTGGAGATTGTAGACAAGTCGAACAATGGCAGCTCCAAGTCATCGTCATTGCTTTCCCTATCTCTTCCTGCAACCTCATTATTGTCAACAATGTTGTAACAACATATACAGCGTAACAATGCCAGCCAAAAGATCGAAAATCCACCTGCTCTGTTCTTCTTCCTCTTCCAATTACAGAGAACGATGCTTATGCCTATCAGAAAGATCGTTCCTACTATCATCGTCAAGCTAAGTATAAGTCTCACATTTTTCTTCCGAGGATGGTCTGCAGAATCATCAACAGAAAATATATAATTAAACGATGCATTTTCCTACTAATTAAGCTTTTTAGCTGAAATGATCATTTAGGACATGGATAATTTAGCGTTGATTTGACCGGATCAGCATGTATCATGTTGGCGATCAGTATATCTTTTATTATCTTATAACACAACATATACTGCTGAGATATGTATAAACATACGCTAATCCGACCAAATCAGCGTCATGCTGGCGTCCATTTAAACTTACCCAACTCTGTCCGAGCCATTCTGATGTACAAATCCTGATCATGCACCGACATTGTTCTCATGTCAATCAAGTCCCCGAAATACATCAAACACCCGCTCCCTCCACGGCTAATGTTCAACATGGCGTACGCCGTGCACCGGCAACGTTTCAAGCACTCGGCTTCGCAGTCCTTAAGACTCATCCTCTCATCGTACCACGTGTCGCGCGCATCCGGCATTTTCAAATTCGAATACTTAACGAATCCGTCTCCTGCCGTACAATTCAACGGCGTCCGCCGGACGCACCCGTTGGTCGCCCAATCCGACTCCCGCCATCCCTTGGGATCCTTCGGCTCAAACTTATCCAAACAAGAACATAACGGGAAGTTGCCAATAACACAAGTCCCGTAGGCTCCACATGTATTGTAACTATCGCAAGCATCCACCGGAATGCTCATCTCCAGCACCCAATCCTGCGTCTGATCCACCCACCGCCACCGTTGGACGGTTCCGGCGGTGTTTAAGATCCCTCTGGCAAGGACAGACAAGTCGGAGGAATCATCCCTTAAATAAAATCTACCTTCCTCGTTTCTGTACACCCCGTTCGTGAACGACTGATTAGTCACGTGCGGCAGGCCGCTGAAAACGACGCCGTTCCACGGCCCGACTCTGTACTGAACTACGCCGGATTTTTTCATGAACAGCTGCGGGTAACCGGTGGGGTCTAGGGCGTACACGAATTCTCCCGGAGATGGGTCGCCGGGGGTCTTCCAGGACGAGAGGTAGACGGAGTTCAGGCCGAACATCATGCCCGGTAAGTACGTGTCCGTCGGGTAATCGAAGCTCTGCCAGAGACGATTCCTCGGATTATCGTCGCCGGAGTTTCGGAGGATGAGATTGCCTGAGTCTAATAACTGCAGAATTGGGTTTTTGGCGGTGGCGCCTCTTGAAATATTGGAAGACCAGACGGTGTGGTTGGTGTCGTTGAGGAGGACCAGAATCCCTGGTTCGATGATCTTCAATACTCCTGAGGAATTGCTCGTTAATGGAGCTTCCCTGTTGGCGACCCAAACTGATGTGTGTACGGACACCTTCTTGTACCATATTCCGAGATACCAATTTCGGGAATTTTGGGGGCTGAAAAACCCTAGCTCGAAAATTGAGCTTGCGGAAACCAGGGTTTGGTTGTATGTGATGCTCTGAGATGCGTCCATGGTGTCGGCGGCGTGCGAGAGGTTCTGGGTGGAGAGAAAGTGCGAAACGACAAGAAAAATTGTGGCTTCTCCGATAATTGATCTGTTCATGTTTCTTGTATCTGCCTTTGTCTGAATCATCGTTTGGTGTTTCCACAACTGCGATTCAATCATTTTGGGATTGTGAAAATGAGCAGCTCACAATTCACATTGCACTAAAGAATCAGAAATGACAGTACAACTTTTCATGTGTTTTTAATTAAGGTTTCACACCGTTAATCTTTTATTTTTATTTTTATTTTTTTCAAATATGTTATATTTAATGTTAATTATTTCAACAAATCTGAAGCCAACCAAATGGGATTGTTGCGACTTGGGGTCATGTTTAAAGAATTGAATTGAATGGCAGAAGTATAAAGCCTACAGATTTGACTTGGTTTCGTGGCTTGTCTTTCTTTTTTGTCAATATAATTTATATCTGGAAGCTCCAGACGCTCTTATTATTTTAAACTCAAATATTTCGATTTCCAACCATTTTAGTTAAACAATACGATTATAATAACTTAATCTACTTGATGCTTAATCTAATGCGTGTAGTTGTAAAGATCCTAAGGGTGTGTTTTGCCTGCGAGTTTGGATTTTGAGTTGGGATTTGAATAGTAAAAATTTTGAATTTGAATGGTTGTATAATGCGATATAAATAGGTGTTGATGTGATGTTTTGAATGTAAAAAATTGATTTTTAGTATAATATAAAAAATAAAAAATATATGTTTGATTTGATGTTTTAGAGGGAAAAAAATAAGATGAATAATGGATTGAAAATCTAATCCAAAAAACAAACACACCCTAAATATTTGCGACAGAATTATTGCTCTTACAACTATAAAATATAACCTCGCAAACGACATTTGTGAGGGAATTTGTAAGAGATTAACGACTTAGCAAATTTCGACTCTACAACTTAGTAGTCTCCATTGCAAAGTATTTGCAAGATAAAAGGAGTTTAGGTTCCGTTTCTTTGACTCAAACTCTCAATTTTTTTATGATCTTAACTCTGCATTTTTTAAAATAAAATATATATTTTTTTACAAAATATTATTTTAATATCAAATTCAAATCAATTTTTTTTTAAAAAACCAGTACAAAAAACACACCCGAGTGAGAATCTAATAAATATTATATTTTGTAAGATCAAATAGTTTAAATTTGTACAAAAATGATCAAAAATTAAATATTTAAATAATAAATTAAATGTGATATTTTGTAAAATTAAAATAAATTGTACAAAAGAATAAAAATAAAAATAAAAATACTACATTAATATTCAATTATCTGCATTTCTCTTTGCATGACAAAGAAATAAAATTAAAAAATGAACAATAATTTATTTTTCCACTTCCAATCCTCTATTCAACAGAACAAAAAATGAATCATTTCATATTTATCTGTATCAAATACACAATACATTTCATGGCAAGCAAATGGATTTATTCCTCACAAACTCTCTTGCAAAAAAAAATCCCCAAACCAGGTAAAACTAACTTTCGTTTTCTTCTAATTATGTCCCAAACAATTAAAAATTCCCAAAAGTTGTCGTACACAATATTAAAATCTCCATTATCTAAATTCAATCACTCAAACAAGTCTAGTAATCCACAAATAAAAATAAAATTACATAACGAAGTCAACTTTTTTAATAACGAAGTCAACAAGAGTAGCACTATCATCAAAATCATAAATTTATTTTTAATTTTAACATTTCATTATACAACAATATACACAAAAACCGTAGGGATTTCGTCAACTCCAGTAACATTGTCTGCTTTATTTTTGGATTTCCCCCAAAAACTTCGTACTAGTGGAGTTGATTTAGAACTTTCAATATAAAACTTGAATTTGCATCCAACAAAAACCAGAGTGAATAATTCATTTTGATACATTGAATTATCAGTACGATTTGGTTTACAATATATATGGTACCAAATTTTTTATGTACGATTCCTATTATATATCTTACTTCCAAATATATTTTTTTTTAATTTTTAGAAAAAAAAGTAATCGATCATATATTAATACTAAAATAATTTTAATTTTTATTTAAACTACAAACAAAATATCACACATACAATTACTTTTATACAAAAATAAAAAATATCAAAAACTCTTACAAATTTTCCCTCTTCATTTCTATCGCCCATCTAGCACTGTGATAGTCATCTCATTGTCGGAACTCGTCCGATCGCAGCACCTCAACGTACGAGTTTTCATAAAGAACCCAGGTTGCCGCGGTCGAGGCATCTCGCCCTCGTTCTCTACGTTGCTTAGCATCGCCACCACCGATGTCATGCTAGGCCTATCGCGCGGATGTTGTTGAACGCATAGCAGTCCCACATGGATTACCCGCGCCACCTCGTCAAAATCCTCCGATTTCTGTAAATGCCAATCAACTACTTCTATCGATCTTCCTTCCATGTGCATCGCCCATGCCTACGTAAAACCGCGCGAGTTTAAGACCTTGTTGTTGAGTAAACAATGTCGACACAAGCGTGAAGGAAAATTACATGTGCTAGAAGATTGTGGTTAAAATCTCCTTGAGAATATGAGCTGTTCCTTTTCCCGCTTATGATTTCTAAGACGATAACTCCGAAGCTAAACACATCCGATTTCGCGGAAAATCGACCACGGGATGCATATTCTGGTGACATATAACCACTGCAATGAAAAATGTCGAACAAGTTATTAATTTTCGAGTAGTTTTGGTGTTTGATTTTCGAGTATACTTACTGTGTTCCCACGACTCGATTCGTTATATCTTCTGTTTGATCGTTTCCTTTGTATCTTTTAGCAATGCCGAAGTCGGATATCTTTGGGTTCATTTCGCCGTCTAGCAATATGTTGCTCGCTTTGAGGTCGCGATGGATTATTCTCAGCTGCGAATCTTCGTGAAGATACATTAGTCCTCTTGCGATTCCCATAACTACACGGAATCTCGTAGGCCAATCCAAGGATATTCCATTTCCTCGATCTGAAACAACAACATTGTCGAAAATTTGATACTTATAGATGGAGTGATACTCTTTCGAGCTGCATCAAATGTAAGAATTCTTACCGAATATAATGTTGTCGAGGCTTCCGTTGGGCATGTATTCATAGATTAGCATTTTTTCCTCCCCTTGAATGCAACACCCCAAGAGTTTCACAAGATTTCGATGCTGAAGTTTGGCGACGAAAATGACCTCATTCTTGAATTCCTCGACTCCTTGCTTCGAATTCTCGGACAACCTTTTTACAGCTATGTCCTGTCCATCTCTCAGCGTCCCCTGAAAAGAACAAAATGTTAGTTTCCATCTATTTTTCGCACGCCTCTTTCTTCGATCACCTTATAAACAGGCCCATAGCCTCCTTCTCCAATCTTGTTGCGAATCGAAAACTTGTTGGTAGCTTTAGAGATCGTAGACAAGTCGAACAATGGCAGCTCCAGGTCACTGCCATGGCTTTCAGCAATTCTTCCTGCAACATCAACAAATCAACCATCTGTTATCTAAGGAACATTTTTTTTTCTCTGATTAGACAACATAAGTTTCATAATGTACTGAAGAATATAATACTTACCAACAGAATTCTTATTCTTCTTCCTCCACATACAGAGAACAATGCTTACGCTTAACAGAACCGCGGCTCCTACTATCGTCACACTCGCTATTAGCTTCACATTTTTCTTCCCCGCGGAGTCTGCTGAACAATAAGCACAAATGAATTTCATCCAAACCAGAGAATTATATCGAATAGAAATCCATAAACAATCGTAACACCAATTACCTAACTCGGATGCAGCCATTCGAACGAACAAATCTTGCTCGTCTTTAGATATACTCCTAATGTCCGCCAAATCTCCAAAATACAGCAAACAACCACTCCCTCCTTCACTCACATTCAACCTCGTGTACGCCGTACACGAGCAATTTTTCAAGCACTTCTCCCGGCATTCCTTGAGCGTCATTCTCTCGTCATACCACGAGCCGCGCGCATCCGGTAGCTTCAAACTCGAATACTTAACGAACCCATCCCGAGCACTACAATTTAACGGTGTCCTCCGGACACACCCGGTCCTCGACCAATCCAATTCCGGCCATCCTTTAGGATCTTTAGGCTCAAACTTATCCAAACACGAACAAATCCGATAGCCCCCAGAGAAGCAACTCCCATATGCTCCACACGAGTTGTAAGTATCACAATTATCCATCGGGACACTCATCTGCAGAATCCATTCTTGTGTTTGATCCACCCATCGCCACCGTTCTAACGCCCCCGCCGTGCTCAGGGTGACCCTCGACATTACAGACTGGTCGAGAGCATCGTCTCTAAGATAAAACCTTCCCTCCTCGTTTCTGTACACTCCGAACTTGAACGATGGATCGTCTGTCACATATGGCGTGCCGCTGAAGACTAAGCCATTCCACGGCCCGATTCGATGAAGAATTGCGCCGTCTCTTTCTGTGAAAACTTGCGGGTAACCCGTCGGATCGAAGTAGAGTTTGTACTCTCCCGGAGATGGGTCGCCGGCGGTCTTCCAGGACGAGAGGTAGACGGAGTTCAGGCCGAACATCATGCCCGATAAGTACGTGTCCGTCGGATAATCGAAGCTCTGCCAGAGGCGATTCCTCGGATTATCGTCTCCGGCATTTCGGAGGATAAGATTTCCTGAGTCCAGCAACTGCACAATCGGATTGCCGGCGGCGCCGCCGCCGCCGCTGGAAGACCATAGGGTGTGGTTGGTGTCGTTGAGAAGGACCAGAATCCCTGGTGCGATGATCTTCAACACGCCCGACGAATTGGTCCTTAGCGGGGCTTCCCTGTTGGCGACCCACACTGGTGTGTGTACGGACACCTTCTTGTACCATATTCCCAGATACCAATTTTGGGGATTTTGGGGGCTGAAAAACCCTAGCTCGAAAATGGAGCCTGCGGAAACCAGAGTTTGGTTGTATGTGACGCTCTGAGTTGCATCCATGGCGTCGGCTGCGTACGAAAGATTCTGGGGGGAGAGCAAGTGCGAAATGATGAGAATAAATGTGGCTTCTCTGATAGATCTGTTCATGTTGTTTTGCTCTGGATCATTATCATCATTATCGGCATCATCTATGTGCTGGTTTGGTTAAGTTGTTCCATTCTTTGTTAGAAATTATTTGCGACAGAAATGTCAGTTTGTTGAACAGGCTTCAAAAAATCAAAGTTGCCAGCAATGGCAACGAGGAAGTGCTTATTTTTTTCCTCTAAAACCAGGTCAATGGATGTTATCCTTTTTAGTACACTTCTTAAAAATAAAGTAAAATAAAGCTTCAATCTTTCATATTAGAATATCTATTTTATAACCACTATATATGCTTTTACATACAACTTTTGGGAGTTGTAGACTTTTACAAGAATGTAAAAATAATAATAAATTAGAATATTATGTAGAACTATTATTTTATTTGATTTTTTTAAATTAATGTTAATAAATAATGTTAAACTTACACATATGTCTCAAGTAAACAAAGTCTAAATTATGATCGTTGTTATTATATACTAAAGTATAAAATTTCAATATAAATGTTGACAACACACAAAGGGACAGACAATATATAAAAGACAATATAAAAACAGAACACAAAATATATGTAAACAGACAAATTTATATAGATTATGTTTCAGTAACTATGCTTATATTAATTTATATTATTTAATTATATTTTAAACATAATTGAGATAATTAGTATTATAATTAATCAACACATGATTTGTATGTTATATTAATATAATATAAATTTAATACATATATAACAATACATGCCATATGACTAGAGATAGAAAAATATCAAATTGTCCAAAATATTATGCTTACTATATCGAAAATACTAAAAATATCAAAAATTTTGTTACAATAATTATATATAGTTTGACATTTTCAGGATATACTTAAATATATATACCAAAAATAACATATACATACTAGCTATAATTCAGTGTATTGATGCCAAAATTATTGTTTTAAAATTTTAAATTATTAAATTATTTTTTATTTTTGTATTTTGATATGTAACAATATATACAAATACCATACGCGAGCTATTTAATATACCGAATTATTGATATGATATTAGTAAATATATTTGTCATATTGAATTTTAGATACGGTATTGGTATTTATTTATTTATTTATTTTTAATATAAAAATATTCGACATGATATATAGCATAATTCAATATTTTTTTATATACAATATCGAACCATCTCTATATATAATATAGTTCACATAACGCTTATTTGTTACTCCCTCCGTCCCACGTATCATGTCCATGTTGTCATTTTTGTTCGTCTCACGTACCATGTCATTTTTCTTTTTTGAAAAATGATTATACATTTTAATCTCATTTTAAATTTTTAAATTTTATTTTTTTTAAATTTTAATTAAACTAATTAGTTATCTTAATCTTAATTTATAATTATTTATATTATAGAATAATTATTTTCACTAATACATTATTAATTATCTACTAATTACACCTCTTTTAAATTAAAATACCGTATCTACAGTGTAGCAGACACGGTACGTGAGACGGAGGAAGTATTAATTATTTTTGTATAAAAAGAATATATGGTGACATAATTAGAATCACGTTGTCTCGTCTGTTGATACTTGTAATGATTCCCCTAAATATTGTCTGTTAATATCATGCATTCCCCTAAACTACTGTTTAATTAAACTAATTAAATAAATGTAACGCAGGCAATAGTTTGACCCTTCTGTCGGCATTTTACTGGTGGATTAACTCAACAGAATTATATATATATATATATATATATATGATGATTTCCACACAATTGCAATATTAAGAAAATACTTAGAAGTTAATCTATACAATGACGTCACTGGAGTAACGATCAATGGCCTCATTTATTTTATTTTATCTTATCCAGCAGACCAATTTATATGTTGATTAAGTCTTATCAACATAAGTACTAACTAATTTTAAATTATGCAATTAGTTTTTAGTTTAAATTAATTTAATAAAATTATAATTTTCTAATAGATATATATATATTTATGTGTGTGTGTGTGAACACTATATAGTTAATAATGTCATACAGGAACTTTCGTGAAAAAGGATGTAGGGTATCGAATATTTGACTATAATTTCCAGCTACATATGAACAAATTCGAATAGTCAGACAAAGCTCCACGGAAGACTTCACAAGAATTCAAACGTATTTAATAGTAAAATTTTAAAATTAGAATAATTAATTGTATTTTTATATTTATTTATTTTATTATAATATAAAAAATAAAAAAAAATATAAGTTTGATTTGATGTATTTTAGAGGGAGATTTTGGTGAATAGTAGAAATTTAAGTGTGTGTTTACATGTAAAATTTTGATTTTCACTTTATTATTTCAAATAAAATTTCTACAAAAAAAAAAAATATATAAAATCAAACAATTATTTTTTATTTTTTATATTACATTTATATTAAATTTTTCATTCAAAATATCATATCAATATATATTTATATCACATCAGATAACTATTTCAATTTAAAATTTTATTTTCCAAAATTAAAATCCAAAACAAAAACTCCACAAGTAAACACGAAATTTTGATAAACGAGCACAAATGTAAACCCTAATTAATAGATTGTGCTCTCATATTCTGAGTAGGGATGTCAACTGGGTGGGTTCGGAACAGGTTCTGCAGGCCTCGAGACCCGTCCCGCTAAAAAATATTAGGCTCTGAGACCCGCCCCGCCCCGTTTTCACCCGGCCCCAGGACTCACTCCGCCCCGAACCCTCCAGGTTTGGGGCCAACCTCACAACCGTTTTTTTAAAAAATATATAATAATAAATATTTTTTAAACAATCGAATACTAAAACAAATAGCATTAAAAGCACAAAAAAAATCTAAAAACAATCAAATATTGATCCATAAAAATAAGATAAATAAATAAATAATATATTTTTATTATATAAATATACATATATTAGGTATAATAATTTTTAAAAATTATTTGGAGCAGGCGACTAATTGAATTTTATATTTAAATTTATTTAAGTAAATAAATAATATATTTTTATTATATAAATGTACATATATATTAGTTATAATAATTTTAAAAAATATCCGGGTTCGGGTCCGGATCCGGGTTGAGGCGGGTTTTTAGTAAAATCCGTAACCCGCCCTGAACCCGGCCGAGTTTAAAATTTTAAATCCACAATCCGCCCCGAAACATATTATTTAGACCCAAATCCGCCCAATTAAAAGCGGGTTTGGGGCTAACCCGCCCCATTTGACATCCCTAATTCTGAGGTCGTGTTATGAAACTATTATGTTTGTTTCAAAACACTTCGAATTGATGAAATTTTATATGAATAACGTTTCGAGGTAATAAAAAAATTAATTGAGATTCTATTCTATAGTAGAGTCTCAAGACTTGATGTTCAACTCAAAAATGAATGTTTATCTATCGAAAGCCAAATAACATTAAGAGTGTGTTTATTTGGAAGTTTGAATTTTTTTTTTTTTTTTTTCGATTTGAATAGTAAAAATTTTAAATTAGAATAGTTATATGATGTGATATAAATAGATGCTGATGGGATATTTTGAATGTTAAATTGATTTTTAGCCTAATATAAAAAAATAAGGATAAATTGCACAAAATTCACTCGTGGTTTCATGAATTGCACCAAATTCCCCGTACTTTTAAAACTGCTTCAAACTTCCTCGTGGTTTCATAAACTTTGCGTCTAACCCCCTCAGTGATCCTTATTTAACGGTATTTGACCTAAATGCGTTAAAATCGCGATTAAATTTTAGAATCTCAATTTCTAAACCCCTAAAATTACAAATATATATATATATTTTTTTATATTTACCCTAAAAAAAATAGTAAATATACTAAAAATAGTTATTTTTCTCAGGTTGTAAGAGTTTATTTATACTATTTTTTAGGCTAAATATATATAAAAAATATATATATTTGTAATTTTAGGGGTTTAGAAATTGAGATTCTAAAATTTATTCGCAATTTGAGCGCATTTAGGTCAAATACCGTTAAATAAGGACCACTGAGGGGGTTAGACGCAAAGTTTATGAAACCACGAGGAAGTTTGACGCAGTTTTAGAAGTACGAAGAATTTGGTGCAATTTCATGAAACCACATGTGAATTTTGTGCAATTTAGAAAATAAAATAAAATAAAATAAAAAATAAATATTTGATTTAATAATTTTTTTTTAAAAAAAAATTGAATGAATAATAAATTTGGAGAAAAACTCCCCGAAGAAACACGAGGTCTCAAAAGCCTAATCTCATTTAACAAAAGCTCAACGTATTGCAGCCCGTGAATTAGTGATGGAGGTCTCAAAAGCAAGTTCAAATATTACACCATCAATGGAATCCAGGTCTAAAGAACTAGATCAAAAAAAACAAAAATTGTTTGTTTGGAATAAGTGTAACATTTTTTTCCCAGCTTTATTCCATTATAATTCAATCCTCATCTTGCAATTTATGCATTAATTTTGATATTTTTTTTCTATTAATTTGTACTGCACATAAATATATTACTACTATTAAAAAAATTATATGTAAAAAACAAATAAATATCTTATCCACGAATGGAAGGAGTATTATATTTATATATAAATATATTTAAATTGAATTTATGGTAAATAATACTATCTCCGTTCGGATCTTAAAGTCACATTTACTTTTTACGGATTATGTTTGAATATTAATTATTATATTGAACTGTAGTACAAATAAAAAAAAAGAATATATATATTTTTATTAATGTCTTATAATACTAATATAATAATATTTGTAAAAAAAAATATATTCAAATATAATAATATTTTTAATGTTAAATAGATGTTAAAAATTCATCATTCTTTATTATTTTGTAAAAGACTGTACACAATCTTTCTACCAAATAGAATTTAATGAAAAATACATTCTTTATACGACTCCAACAATATAAATATATATATATATATATAATGGATTAATTGTAGAAGCCAAAAAAAATAAGACATCAATGCTGCAACTTGGTGTAGAAGAGGCAGCATCAAGTTTTCCAAATTCATATGATGTAATCATAGCCATTGTATATTAATTCATGATCTGATGTATAAAAAAGAATGTGTAACACAAGCCTTGTTTAATTTTTTAAGGTTTTTGAAATTTGGAAAGCTGAAAAAATAAATAAATAATATTTAATTTGATATTTTTAAAAAATAATATATATATTTGATGTAATATTTTTTTAAAAATAAATAATACCAAAGGAATGAATATTGTTAAAATAAACAAAGCTAACATATACTCTTAGAATTGGTCTTAAATCGAATTGGGCCTATTTTAGCCCGATGGTGGATCTGGTTCTGAATTATGATTTCAATTTTATCGAGGCTTAACGTTTTGAAAATTAACCCATAATTAAACTAGGCCCGTTTCAGCCCAGAACCCACCAATTTATTAAAAAAAAAAAAAGTGTTAGCAATATTCTAATTGTTTGGAAAATAAATATATATCAACTGATTAAAAATCTAGTTAAAAGTCCATTTATATTAAACGCATTTACAGGTTCATATACACAAAAAAATTAAATAAAAATGTTATTTCTAAGCCATATTATTTATCTATTTCATAATATTTTTATAGATATATTTTTTGTGCAATGCAGTAATTGGAATGTTTTGCATACTTTTCTATCTAATAAATTTTGATTTATTACTTTCAAAATTTTATGTTTTAATTTATTTAAATATACTTAGTTTCTTAATTTTGATTTTAAACTAATTTAATTAAAATAGTATTTTAATATAATATTATATAAAAAAATATAATAAATTTTTATTCAGAATGATTTCAAATAAGTATGATTGATTTGTGTTTGAAATATATAACAAACAAACCCTATGTCTATTAAAAAGTTAAATAGAAATAATTTTTATTAAATAGATTCCGTGATGTAATATTAAAAAAATAAAAAACAAAACATAGGAAGATGGCAAATTGAGTCCAACCGATAATGAAACAAACCTTAAAACAGTTCTGGGTTGAAATGGATCCGAATTAAACAGTCTCGGGCCGACCCGTCAGCACCTTGACTAGTTGACTCGGAAAACAACTTGCCGAATGACCAAAACCAAACACAGCGTAGGATGCTGCCACGTGTACGGCTACAACAAAGCACACATATGCATAAGCATTTATTGAGTGGTCGGCCAAGCAGATGAGACAAGCAGGCAGCAGGCAGCAGCCAGCAGCAAACCCACGAGTAAGATATTCTTCACATGGGAAACTTCGCGACACACAATCAACACGAAATGACGAAAATACCCCATCTCCACCTACCAGGCAATTTCTTCCGTCGAAGCAAAATCCCGTCTGACCTTTTCTTCCCTGATTACTGCTGAGCTGGCTTTCCCTGTCCATTATTGGCTGTCCTTTCCATGGCCCCGCCCCCTTCTGCGAAACCGCTTCTCGCCCCCCTCCCCCCCCCCCCACCCTCTATATTACAACACTATCTACCCTTCTGCTTCCCCCAACCATTCATTCTTCAATTCGATCAGATTCATATACATACTTGTTTGGGTAAAAAATCAATTAGAAGAAGAAGAAGTAGCTAACTTTCCTTATCTATGGCGTCCAAGGGTCAATCCAATTTCGAAGATTTCCTGCCTCTCATGGCGGAGAAGCTCGGCGGCGACGGCTTGATTGGGGAGCTCTGTAATGGGTTTAGACTGCTGATGGATCCCGACAAAGGGTTGATCACATTCGAGAGCCTCAAGAAGAACGCAGCTTTCTTGGGGCTTCAAGATTTGTCCGATGAAGATCTTTATGGGATGCTGAAAGAAGGCGACTTTGATGGCGATGGAGCTCTGAATCAGATGGAATTTTGTGTTTTGATGTTCAGATTAAGCCCCGAGCTGATGGAGCACTCCCAGTTTTTGTTAGAGGAGGCTCTGCAACAGGAACAGTTCCAGAAATTTCATGTTTTCTTGTGATATAATTTTATTTTAATCTTTTTTTTTTTTTTTTTTCCCTAATTGGAATTGGAAATTATACAGTGATTGACTGGAGAAAGATTAATAAAAGTTAATGATGAACCCTTTAGTTCATTCGACTTGCCTAATTTTATTTCTCCCTTTTCTGAATCTGTCGTTGAAGGATTTCTTGACAATGTCTTATTTTATGAACTGATTATGTCTGAGTGATTCAAATTTTTCTGCTTGAATTGTTGCTGTAACACAATAGGATTAATAATCCAACAACAAAGAAAATATAAATTTTCGGGGTTCATTAACAATGCTTTGGCTAGGTCGCACAAACATATAACAAATTTATTGTGGACCACACTATATTATAGATTATAAATATTCTTTAATAAAGACTAATTTAAATTGCGTAACTATTTAAATAAATTAAGAGAATTCATCCAAGGAGCTTAATTTATTAACTCCAAAACCCCATAAAAATTTAGAAAAAATGACAAATTAGATTTAAGGTATATCAAAAAAAATTGTATAAGCAAGAATTGTATAAATTGGCCAATGGGAATTGGGATCACATGTCCAAAAAACAAAATCTATTTTTTTATCCTCATATACATATTGAGAATATACATACGTATATATGCATAAAATAATCTATTTTATATGTATACACTTTTGTATATATAAACACACACTGTCAGCTACATTTAGGACTCAAATTTCAACGAATGCGTATGTAAGAATATGTAGAGGTCAACACATATCTGTGAATTTCATTTGATTTGTGTAATGTTGTTCAGTCTGGGTTTGACTATTGGAGATGGTTTCTCTTCAAGACCGGTGTTTAGAAGGATTTGCGACTTTTGAGAGAAAATACACCCTTTTCATTTTTTATTTTTTTTAATTTATTAATTTCTTTTAATAGATTAAAATAATAAAATATGAAGAAAAAAATCTAAAATATTATTGAATTTCCCGGGTCTAATGTCTATAACATGGGATAGTATGCTTGTAAATATAAATATATAAAAGTAAGAATAAACTACTAATTGAATAGCGATTACATCAATCAAGAAAAAGAGAATTTGGGTATGGTGTGCTATTCAAGTTTTTTATTTTAATTTTTTTTTCTTATTATTATTATTATTATAATTATATTTGGGTATTTTATTATCTTTTGTGTTATTCAAGGTTACCCATGAGGTAGATCATAGGCCACTAGTACATTTAAAAATGTGACTAGATTCAATGAAGAGAGATATTTCAGGGCTCTACTCAGACAACTAAAATGTGAACCATATCATGTCATGGGCAGCGGAGGCCATTTGTGTGTTGAATAGTCAGCATAATGCCGACAACGTCTTATATATTAGCATGTAGCGTATATAAACACAATATACAATATAAGATTTCTTTAAATATAAAACACATGCTGTTCTAAACTAATTATACATCAAAATGGTCTACACAACACATTCTGATCTTAATACACGGAAGTGCGAACTGGATAAACCTTCAATCAAACCTAATACTCTATAAACTAGATCCGATAAGCAAGTCACACTAAACGAATCATAAGTAGCAGGTAATCTTACGGTCAGAATGCCAAATCCCACACCACCAGACCGTCTCTTATGAAACTTTTTTTAAAAAAAAAAAATACAAAGAGAGGCATTATGCCTTAGATCATACAAGACTCTAACAAAATTTGTAAATGGAATTGGAATGCGAGGTTAGGATTTTATTAATTTTGAGTATTTTATAAGTCAAATACTGTTGTATTCACTATTAAACACATTCCCGTACTAATATTAGAAGCTTCATTTTGCACATATTTTACAAACATGGTCGTTTTAAACACAAGTACAACACGTCCATATTCTCTGACAAATAGGACCATATTTCATAAAATTCACGACTGTGTTTTAGGAACGGGTCTCAAAATTGGCAAATTATAAGAACACAACGGTGTTTTTATACAAGATCTCATACGAGCGTGTTGGTAGCAATACACACCCATGTTGCTACATGAAAATAATAAAGTCCGTATATTGATTTGATGATTGTTTGAATATGACCTTGTTTTACATAATACGTCCGTATTCGGTCTAAATTAAATATCATATCAGTATTTTTTATATTCACATCAGTATGTTATGTTGGAATTTCAACATTACAATAATAAAAAAAATATATATATTAATATTTTTAGTGGAATTACTTTTGATAGCAATTTTTTCGAATGAGACTAAAAAAATGTGTTTAGAAATTTTGATAAAAAAATTTACTGAAACTCACACCAACAATCTACATCCAAGTGTTTGTAGTTTAGTTACATATATGCACCCTAATCACGCTTCGTAACTTACACATTATACTCCAATTGCATATAAATACATCATATTTTGATGTTATATGTGGGGATAATTCACTTTTAGTTTATATGTTAATTTCCCACTAATTAGCCTAATTAATTTGATTTTAAAAAATCCTTAAAGCCCAATTAATTAAGCCCAAAAAATTGATAAATACATTATTATTATTATTATTATTATTATTATTATTATTAGTTTGAGCTGTATCGTTTCTACAAGCTGATTAATCAACTTAAATATTTTGAATTTAATTAAATTCTTCTGATTTTTTGTTTTTGTTTTTGGCTATTAATCAACAAGACGTTTACAAGTTTATGGGTTAGGATGGCCCAGGCACCCATACAGGCCTTTGCCCAACGGTCATTTCCATGGAGAAACATAATGCAAAACACAAAATTTCAAGCAACAAGTCTGTTTCTTTGGGGGGGATTTTTTTTTTTTTTTCAAAATTTTGACTATTTGAATAGTAAAATTATATTGTTACATAATATCATATTAAAAAATTATTTAAATTCAAAATCGAAACCGTGAAAAAAACCACAGAAATTTCAAATTGATTAACGCCAATATTATTATTGGCATAATCTTCACCACCAACCAACCTAATTCTAATTTTTACTTCACATTTCTCTCTCTCTCTTTTTTTTTTTCTTCTTAAATGTATATTTATTTCTCTATAAAAATATTATATAAAATACTTATTTATAATACAAAATATTACATTAAACAATTAATCAACTTAAAACTGTCCATAACCAAAACACAAACTGAATCATTGCATCTATGATAAAAAAAAATTCTTATCTAACACCGTGACCATTTTTATAGTATTAGAATTCTTAGGGTGTGTTTGGTTTTGTATCTTGATTATAAAATATATAATAAAACTGAAACAAGTATTTAATCAAAGGTTGGTTAATTTTTATCTTACTTTAGTCATTAATTTTATTGCATTTATTTATTTATTTACTATTCTTATAAATTACTTCAAAAACCACTTTTATTGCTTCACGCAATTCAACTAAATTAAATTGTAGTATTTGAAGAGTTTCACGTGCTGCCTAATTAATTAAGTGCATGCATTATGTCACTCAATTTCTTTTCCACCATCACTCACTCACTCACTATATACATATAGAAATCCAATTGACCATCTATCTATCTACTTAATCATATATAAATATTGCAATAATATTAATAATATACTATTTTATTTATAAATAAATTTATTATTCGATGGGTTTCAACATGGGTGTAGGGCAGATTGTCTCCAAAAGCAAAACTTCCACTCGCAATCAAATCACACTTATTTTGTTATTTTAATTAATTAGTATATTTCATCAGATCAGATCAGATCAGTCTCCCTTATTTTCAGCATTCTGATGTCACGATCCAACGGTCTGAATTATTTATAGTCTTGATTCTCGATGATCACCTCTGTCATGATTATCCTCTTGAAATTAAATTAAATTAAATTTATGAAATTTGGATACAGCTCACACAATGAATGACGACATTAGGTAGCAAGTGGCTGAGGAAAACTTATTGAATAATTGTGCATCTATAACTAACTAACCATGTATTCATGTGTACATTTACCTAAAAAGAAAGACCACCAAAAAGATGTATATATACTCCAAATATGCACACACCAAATTTATTTTGTTATTTTGATGATATCAAACCAAATTTAATTTAATTTAATTTTTTCATGATTATGGGTTTTAGGTGTAGTGAAGAGATTCAATCTTGGAATTGTTTATTGTTAGGGTTAGGGTTAGGCTTTGGGAGAGAATTATAATAACAATATATACTTTCATTGTGTTGTCACATATAGGAATTATTGCTCAAAAAATATAATATAGTGATTTGATATAAATAGGTATTGATATGATATTTTGAATAAAAATAATTCTAGTATAAGTTAAATATTTTATACTATATTTTTTAGAAAAAATTGATAAATAATAAAAATTTTGTAAAATTTTAAAAAAAGAACATACCATATATATTATTAGTAAATGTGTGGTGCCAAAGTAGATGAGTGAGTCAATTATATGAGAACATTTTGAGTAAATGATGAAAAGAAAATAAATTAATGTAAAAATAAGGAGTATAAACTAAAAATGGTGAGATTTGGGGTTTGTTCTTTTTTTTTTTTTTTTTTTTTTTTTTTTTTTCTGTTTTTCAAAAAATTAATACACTATACATATTTATTATTTTTATATTTATTACACGATTTCATATACCTCATATAAAGAGTTTTTTTTCCAACAAAAATATATTTGAGAAATTATTTGAAGTGATTTTTTTTTTAGGTGAAGTATATGAAATTGTATATGTAATATAAAAAATAATAAATGTATATAATGTAATAATTTTTTTGAGAAAAATATGTGTTTAAGTTTTTTTGGAAACATAAATGTTGGGGATATAGAAAATATTGTTAATTGAATTTTGAATTTAAATTTTAAATAATAAAATTTTAAAATTAAATATTTATTTAATTAAGTATTGATGAAATTTTTTTAATAATATTAAAATAAAATAAAATATTTATTTTAATAATTTAAAAAGCAAAATTGATGAACAAGATTTATTTGCTCAAGAATTTTGAATTTTACTCTAATACAATTTTTAATATTTATTTTATAATTAACATTAATTATAAAATATATATTATAAATATAGTCTCTATTCGTGCAGCTGTTTTTTGAAATTGTGATTTTTTAAAAATAATATTTATATTTTTTACGCAAATTTTTATATTATAAAAAAAAAAATTCAAAAAGAAAAAATTAAATATTTTTACAGTATAAATTTTTTACAGCACATATAAAAAATCAATGTACCCAAAATGCTGAGTGAACATAGCTAGATATCCTACCTTTTGAATATTTTGTTCGTTTTATACGAGAATTTAGGAAAAGTATAATTAATAAATAATTAAATATATATTAATTAAAATAATTATTATATAATAAAAATAATTATAAATTAAGATTTAAAAAATAATAAAATAAATACGACTGACAGAAATGGAGAAGTGGATATGTGAAGTAGGAAAAGGAAGTAATTATCTAAAAGGACACCGTTAATAGAGAACTGTCAAGTCAATGAACACGTGTCAGAAATCTAGACATGATCTGAAATTTGACATTTCTTGGAAATGCTTGCGTAGGTCAGTCAACAATCAACTGTTTATTTATTTTGTTTAGGTTGCATGATTTTAAAGAAAAATATATTATTTTTTTTATAAAATATTAAAATATTATTTATAATTTAAATAAAAAATTTAACTTTTAATTATAATGATTTTTTTATGTATATATTTTTAAATGTTTGGTATTAAATTATTTTTCGAAAAAGTATGGTTGTTTGTTTGTGTTAAGTTTGAGTTTTGAATACTAAAATTTTGAATAAAAATAATTATTTGATGTGATATATATATTTGATATGATATTTTAAATACAAAATTATATTTGAATGTGATATAATAAATAAAAAAGTAGATTTTTTATTTATTTTTTAGAAAAAAAAAAGAATCATAGTTCAATTTTTTACTATCTAAGTATATTTTTTAAAAAACCATCGTATTTATTTATAATTTTCATTTAAAAAAAAAGTATTTTATTTAGAATTTAGTTCAAATTTTTACTATTCAATTATACGATTTTATTATTATTCTTTTTATTTTTATTTGTTTTGTAAAAATACATGTGTGTGTTTGGTTGATTTTTCTTCTTTTTTTCTTTTTTTTTTCTCAGAATTTTCCTTTTTACAAGTTCAATAATGAATTTTATCTTCTTTTTTTCCTGTGAAAAATTAGATTTAATTATTTATAAATATTGCCATATATTTATGCATATTTATAGTTAATGTTATGTGATCCAACTAAGAAATGGTCTCCACGTAAACACGAAGGTGTATTCTTGCAACAAAAAATATATACATATATTTAAAAAAATAATATTCCTTGTGTCTCAGCTATTATATTTATTTTATTTAGACACGAGAATTTAGGAGGAATATAATTAGTAAATAATTAATATTGTAGTAATAAAGATAATTATCATGTAATAAAAATAATTATAAATTAAAATTAAAATAACTAATTATTTTAATTAAAATTAAAAAAAATTATAAATTAAAAAATTTAAAATAAAATTAAAGTCGTATAATTTTTTCCAAAAAAAAAAGTAACAAAATAAATAAAACGAACAGAAATAAAAAGATGAACATGGTAAGTAGAACGGAAGGAGTAATATAGTAACATACATTCATTATTTTATATTTTGTTTACACAATTTCATATCCCTCGCATAAAAATATTATCTTTCAAATTATCTTACAAGAATATTTCTGAACAAAAATATCAGCACACACATGTACTAGAAGTTACAATTATAGGATTCTAGGCAAGGGTTACCGATCTAAATTGAATAAATCAAATGTTGACTTTCCCAAATAATTAATCAACTCAGTTCATCCATCATTTTTCAATTGAATAATTTTCTGTAAATATTATTAAAAATATACAAATATATACACACGTTGATATAATATATATAGATATATCATCTACTAATAAAAAATCAACAATTCAATACAAAATATTATTTTTTATATTAGCAACACAATTCTCTATACTACAGACAAAAAAATCAATTTATCTGAAAATGTTGAATGAACAGACTGAATATTAACACATGTCTTTATTTCACAAAGCATATACCATATAAAATAAGTGAAATAAGGACATGCTATATATATATTTTATACTTATAGCATGTGATATATAAGAATATATCATGTACTAAAATTAACTATTGCATATGTTGTATGAATCTATATTTATATTATATTAACGCAAATTATGTATTTTATAGACGTTCAATACAATAGTACAATAGTAAATTTTAAGCCCCCTAGAATTCTATCATAGCTAAACTTGCAATCAAACAAATCCTATGATATATTTTAGATATAGGACTAACTTATTAATAACTTATTTATATTTTTATTGTAAATAAACAACTATATTTATACACATTAATTTTTTATTTTTAATAAACCAAATTTATGCTAATTACATGTATATATATCCTAAATAAACAAGTTATACTCTTTTAAAATATATAAAAATATATTTTAATTTTACTTTCAATCAAATATATAATGTTATAACTCAATTTATAATCATATACAATTTCATTATGATTCGAGTCTGAACTTTACGTGTTCGATCTCATCTTTTAATGGCAAGATTTTGCTTCCATCAACAGTTGCACCTGTCCAGGAATGCTACCTGTCGTCTGTCCACATACGTATATATTTATTTATTTTATTTTATTTTATTTAAAAAAAAAAAACATAATGAAAATTGTTTCTTTGATTAAATCAATAACTTGCCATTGCAAAAGCGTTCGATGACTCCAAAACTACTCAAACAAGTATTCTTTCACTTATATATTATTAGTGTTACTAGTCAACTTACTCTTTTAATTTCATTTACTTTTATTTTATTTTAAAAATGGCGACACTTTGCTTGAGTTAATCATTTCTTTTAAATGGTTTTAACTACTGATTATTGTCTACCCCTCAATATCTTGTAAAAAGTGAAAAATGGCTTCCCGTAATGAATGACTTAGTTGGTATGACGGTAAATTTATGAATTTAAAATTTTTTATTGATATCTTTTCAGTCAAATTTGTCGCACAAGGTTTTTCCTATGAAACTTACACGACTAATGTGGTCTGAAAATTATTGCATTTGATCTTAAAATTTATCGATACAATACCGACTCCGAGCAAACGGAAAAAAAAAGTTATGATTATACAAATAAAAGAATGAATATGCATGGTGAAATTTATCATACGTAGAGAGGAGAGTGAGTAGTTGTTGATAAATAAATTATATATACATTATATATTACTTAAAATATTTTATTTTTAATAAAATTGATTTATATCAATTATATATATATTTGTATTAGATAACATTTTATTTTTATAAAATAATTAATGTTCATGTTGTATATTTTATTGATGTGGAATTTTTAATATTTATGTTTAATCAAATACTGTATGTTATATCATAATTCAAATATGTTCTCTATTTATCCAAAAATTATACTTTTTGGTTCTACATATTTTACAATAATTTTCATTTTTGTTGGTTCTTTCTATTTTACAATATTTTTAAAATAAAAAATAATTAAATTTATTTAACCTTATTACATTATTCAAATAAAAAATATAAATATATATTTCTCTAACTATAGTATCTAATTCTCAATTTATTCCATTTAATACTATTAATCTATATTCTTGCGCCGAAGATTAAATAATACATTTTATTATTTTCATAGATTGAAATCCAAAATTTATACGTTTTTTTTTTAAAAAAAAATAAATAAATAAAATTGACCACAATATACATTATAAATGCTATCAAAGTTATATTTCTTTACCATACTAATATTATTACATCAAATTAAAATATAACAATAAAAAGCCTTCAACCAAACACACATACGTGTAGGTTTGATTTATTGCTCAAAAATATTAACAAGAAAATAAATGGGAATAGTGAGATTGGTCGATGTATGAAGTAGTTGTGCCGACCTATTTTAGTCCTCTTTTTTCACAGGGGAATTCGCAATAGTTATTAGTCGGAGGTGTTTTGAGTAAACTTTCTATTGAATTTCATACGTGCCAAGTAAAATTTGGAGGCATCGAGATTTGGCTTTGACCTCGTGACTTCATGGTCAAAAGCCCACTGCACATCACCAAATCATTTTTTATGGAACATAATTATTTTATTATTTTTGTATATGAATAATATTGTTGATATTTTAAAAATATGAATTATATTTCAATAATATATATAATATAAATATTATTTGATAGATAATAAAAATTTATATAATATAAATAAAAATGTATATTTATTTATAATTAATTTTATAAAATAGAAAGTTTTAAAAATATTTATTTATTGAAAAAAAATATAAATAAAAGAGGTTTTTAATTGGATTTTATTGGCAATAACTTGAGAATTGGTAGTCCTTTCTTTCGAATGTGCTCTGAAACTTCCGTCCGAATCTAATAGCTTGCAAACTAAGTCCAACAAAAGAATACTTTGAGGCATTGAAATTTGAACCAACGATCTCACGGTCACGAATCAATTTCCATATCACTGAGCCATCGTTATTGTTTCTTCTTTGTCCCACAGCTACTGTGCTACGGGAAGTCGAAGAAGACAGTATCAGATAGATAGTAGTAAGCCGACGTTCTGCCTACTTGTTTTCGAAATCAATCAATCTAGAACCGTTTAAACGGTAAATTAAAAGGCAATTCGGGTGCATGGGTCGGGTTGGTAGTGGTTAATCTAAATGACGGTGACCGGGTGAGATGGTGGTATGAATATAAATATAATTTGAAAAACGATCGATCGATCTTCTAAATAAAATCCAAAGACTTCATAAATACAATACTAAAAATACTTTGGATTGATTGATTGGTTCCAAAAACAGCTCTCCCTCATTCCTCTTTATTATTAATCTGTGTCTGAAATTGGAATTAATTGTTGGTCCATTGCTGGAGCCCCGGAGTGGTCCATTTGGGGCACTTGGGGCTCCGGTAAGAGGACCCGACCCGCGACTCCAACAGCTCCACCATCGGCGCGAACTTGACGCAGCGCGGGGTTTTGTACTGGTTGATCGACGCGCCGAGGCTGATCGCGTAGTCCATCAGCTTGTCGAAGGTTCCGTTCTCGACGATCTTGATTTCCAGGGGCCCGATGGCGTCGAACACTCGGTTCTGCCGGTACACCGCGTCCAGGGAGTCTTCGATTGTCAGGCAGCAGTCTTCGAAGATGGAGGGCGGGATTGGGGCCGACGCGCCGCCGTTGCAGGTGAGCTCCCAGTAGAGCACGTAGTGGCCGGGAACGGTGGACGTGTCGGCTTGGCTGGTGTACTCCGTCAGATGAGCGTCGAACGGCATCAGATGGGTCAGCGCATTCCGGACGGCGTTGTGGAGCTCCACCTCGTCGGTCTTGTCGGAGTCGATGCTCAGGACGACGTTCTTCCGGCACACGAAGTTGAATTGCGGCGCGTTGTTTTTGAATCCCGCCACGCGCAGAATGTCGCCCACTCTGTACCGGTAAAGCCCTGTAATTGCGTCGATGAAATCAAATCACGTAGTATTAATCAATATTTAACCTAACTGGATTATAATACTGACCAGCGTAAGTGGTGACGACGAGTTCGTATTCCTGTCCGAGCTCGACGTCGACGAGGTCGACGAGTTCTTGGTGGTCCTTGTCGGCGGCGGCGGCGGGTAGGGATAGCGACAGCGATTTGGTGTGGATGGGGAGGAACTCGAAATAGCACATGTTGGGGATGAGGGTGTAGGCGACGTCGGAGGGTTTACAGAGGGGGTTGAGGTTGAGGCCGAAATAGCATTCGGAGGAGGCGTACATTGTGCAGACAAGGGGGAGGGCATTACTGTAATAATCCAGTGTCGGAATGTACTGCGACATGGTCCCAGTCACTATTACATCGATATACTTTGTGTTGGGCCACAGCCTGGTGATGATCCCCTGCCATGACTCCTTCCTGCACTCCCGTTCGATGAACTCCGCCAGCTCCGGGTCGGGTTTAAGGATCCTCATCACCGCATCCCTCACGGACGGGTCGGTAATCAGCGGGTTGACCGTGCCCGCCCGAATATCCTGGCAGAGTAGCGCCCAGTGCTTCTCGAGGAATCGGATGGCCCGGATGAAACCCGAGGCGAAAACCGCCCCGACCCGGAGGACCTGGAAGTTCTGGCAGAGGCCGCAGAGCATTTGGGAGTACATGCTCTGGTAGGAGTCCGGGCAGAGAATGGTCTCGTTGGGGGAGGTGTAGTTGGTGTAGGGATCGAAGGCCCGGTCCTTGAAATGGGAGCTCTTGTAATAACTTGTGAGGACGGGGCGGGCAGGGAGGCCGCCGGGGGTCCGGGTCTCGCATTTTATGAAGTAGAAGTACATCCCTTTGCCCTCTTCCAGGCCCCCCACGTATTGGCTCATCACAGGCATCAGAAGGCTGTACAGCAGGGACCTCCTCTCCAGCTCCTCCTCGATCGTCGGCATCACTTTCCTTTCTCCGGCCGATGTCCCGGAGCTGTTGTATCAATCAATTAATTGGATTATTCAATTCAGGAAATTAATTAATTAATTAATCAAATAGTATACCTGGTGAGGAACTCGGAGATGGGGTGGGAGCAGAGGATCGGGGACGTATCGCCATTGGCGATGCGATTGATGTCGGGGAGGATGTCTTCGTAGGATATGACCGGTAAGATTTTCTTGAAAGTGTCCCTGTCGGCGGTGCGGCCGTCGAGTCCATGCCTGTTGAGGTACTCCACGTGGGCATTCCTCGACAGGATCTCCCTCAGGACACGCTTCTGAATCTCGTCTGCGTTCTTCGTCACATCCTCAATGAACTCCAGCTTCTTCTTGTTCATCTCCGCCACACTACCCGACCCCTTATTCAGACACGCTTCCCTCGGCGCCTCAGGCATGGCTGCTGCTTCTCCAAAACACCCCACAACAGAACAGAGAATATTATATATATATATATGTAAGTGCAGGAGAGGAGACGAAACAGAAACAGAAACAGAAACAGGCTACTGCGGTGGGGGTAGGAGGAGGAAGGGGGGCGACGAGGGTATCCTATATATAGAGGTAGAGAGAGAATGGATGGGAGGGCCGAGAGAGAGGGGGGCCCGGCCCGTGTGGTCCCGGGTTTAAAATGGGGGTGGATTGTGAATATGGACGGGGCTCTGTGGCAAACTTGTTGGCACTTAATTCCTCCATGCTTTTTATTACTCACTCAGACATCACACTTTCATGCTTCGTATTATTTGCCTGCGACAATTGTAGAAGTGTACCTACTACTGTCTGCTTTACCTTTTGTAATAAATCACAAACCCCTCTTCTCTCTCCTCTCTGCCTGCCTAATTCCCCTCTCTCTTTCTCTCTCTCTCTCTCTCTCTCTCAAATGTCTGTCCCTTCATCTTTTTTATTCCTCCTCAGTACTAACTGTGATGCAGACAGATACATCAGATTTTTTAAACCCTTAAATCAAACCTACACTTTTCTTAACAAGAAATGAGAAAATTCAATTCGTTTGTTATGCATACATAGAATATGGCCTCTCATTGTTGTACCCGTAAATATCCCTCCATCAGATTTTATTATCCATATATATATATATATGTACTTTCAATTCTTGAAATCTTTTATAAAATAAATAAATACAAAAAAAAAAAAAGGCCAGCTGGAAAGAGGAAGCGGTAACCGGGAGCAGCCGGTAAGCATTTGGCCAAGTAAACCGTTTCGCCGTTTACGGGCAACACACCAAAACGGCTTCCGGTACGTGACAGCTGGCCGTCAATACGGTTGTGTTTGACACGTAAGTCTGTTGTTCAATTAATTCTTCACGCACTTGCCACTGGCTATTTCAGTTGAGCCCAATTTAATTAATTTGATGGTATTTTTTTTAATTGGATAAAATATTTTGCTCGTTACTTCAATTTTCTATTTGGGAATGTTCATAAGTTCTCTGCTCCTCACAAATTCTGCAGTCAAATTTCTGGCCTGACCTGCCCAATTTTGCCTAATTTTGTGCCCAACGTGTTTTTCATATAATCGATGTTTCATTGCTCTTTTTTTTTTTTGTGTGTTATTTTATTTACCCATATTAAGATAAAAAATTTTATGTTCGTTGGTAAATTTATAGCTATTTTTGCATTAAACAATAATATAAAAAGACATAATCATATATCGAGTATATTATATATACGAGCATTTGCAAGATGTCTGATCCAATTACTTTTATAAGGTTTGTATATCAATGATCAATATGAATCTCTTTGACCATCTTATTGATTTTACTTGTACCTAACTTGAAAACTTGGAATAATTCAATTTTTTTTTTTAATAAAAATATAGTAATGTGCAACATTTGCGATTTTTATTTTTATTTTTATTTTAAATAAAATACACTATTTAAAATATCAAATTTAAACTATTATTTAAATTAAAAAAAAAATCAATTTTCTTTAAAACGATATATATATATATATATACGATCAATGTGTTAAATGAGACAAATCAATATCTCTATCAACACAAGTAAAATAAGTAGATAATACATAATTTATTGTATCATAGGTCAATTTATATTTATACTGTTTTATTGTATGAATCTATTAATAATAGCATTGGCATGTGAGGCTATGTTATATGTTTTTAAATAGTACTTCTTCAGTCTCGGCTGACTTCTCCTTTTTATTTTCTATGCGAGAATTTAAAAGAGATATAATTAGTAAATAATTAAAAATATATTAATAAAAATAATTATCATATAATAAAAATAAACTTAAATTTAAATTAAAATAAATTATTAATCTAATTAAAATTAAAAATTTTAAAATAAAATTAAAATTTATAATTCTTAAAAAAATGTAACATAATAAGTGAGACATATAAAAACGAAAGAGTAGACACAGTAAATGAGACGGAAGAAGTATGTATATTTATATTATATTAATTTAAATAAAATATTATACTTCTTTCGTCCTAGTTTAAAGGATCATTTGTTTATTTTTTTTAATAAATTAAAAAATAACAATGTTTTATTGATTAAGGAAAGTATGCAAGATAATTTGACATTTTTTTTCTTAACAAGTAGAAATAAAGTAATGATATTTTTGTAATTTGTGTAAAATTAAAATATTGGTATATATTCTTTTAAATGAAATAAACAAAAATAATGACTCGTTTACTGTAGACACATAAATTTAGAAGAAATAATTAAGAATGTATTAGTGAAAATAATTATTATATAATAAAATAATTATAAATTAAGATTAAAATAACTAATTAATCTAATTAAAATTAAAAAAAAATTAAATTAAAAAATTTAAAATAAAATTAAAAATATATAATTCGTTTCTAAAAAAAAAAGTAATAAAATAAATGGAACAAAACAAAATGAAAAGAGAATACTATTGTGTTAATATTGTTATCAACAACTCCTATTATAATTTAGTACGGCAACAATAGCTAAAATTAAAATATTTATTTGATGCAAGGAAAAAAAAAAAGAAAAAAAAGAAAAGAAAAGAAAAGGTGGGTCAAGTCAAGAGAGGAGAAAATGTCACGATATCACATAAAGTGACAGTTATTTATTAAACGTTGATTTATGTAAAACTATGCATTAAGTATTTATCCATGGTCAATTCAACGCTGGCCAAGTAGATGTCACTGCACGTCATCCAAACACATGGGCTATTTCCCGCTTATATGTTATTTTAATAATTTATTTATGAGCCGCGGATTCCGTACTAATCCGATTAAATTAATTTAATTAGTATATATTATATATTATTATAATATATTTATGTTATAAATCTAATATAGTACAATATTTTAAAACATAAGATATATTATGTTATACAAAATATATATTGTATATTTTCATGTGATAAATTGTTATAATTAAATTAATATTATACTGATTTGATTGGATCTAACACTTGATCCATGCTCTTATTTATATTTCTTTACAATTCAATCATTATGCTCTTTTAAAACAATAACAATAATAATAATAATAATAATAAATAAATAAATAAATAAATAAAAGTTTAGTTTTATTAAAAATACTCGATATTTTTTATAAAATATTATAGTATTAAAAAAAAAAATCAGAGAAGACGCCGATAATTTTCTCTTTAATACGTTTTCTCACTTATAGTATTTACCTTTTTCGTAAATATGTGAGGTGGGTTGTTTTATTAAATAATAAAAGATATATTTTGATATAAGGGATGGAGAATTATGTAAAAAATACTATAAAAGTAATGAAGATATATATTATATTAATTTTTTTACAAAATGAACATACACGTGGTTGGTTGTTTGGGTTTGTTTGGTTTTGATTTATAAATCACTATTCATTTTATATAGTTTTAGTAAAATTATAGTACTATTTTTTTTTACAAAATATTAAATAAAATCACTATTTAAATACAAATTTAAATAAAAAATTCAAATTCAAACTAGAGAACTCTTTTCCATTTGTAATCATGTACTATGGTGGGTTCTTTTGAATTTTGATTTTATTCATTATTATTAATTTTTTGTTTTGATTTGAACATCAATTTAAATATAATTATATTTTGTAAAAAAATAATACTTATATTCTTATAATAACAAAATTCCAAAAGAACACAATAAGAAAAAGTTATAGAATTAATGACAATTTTGTTAGTAATGTTAGCTATTTTTTGAATGCGGATTGAATAAACATTAAACCAAATATAATAGATTGCAAATTATATGAGTAAGAAAAATGGCTCTAGGAAAATCTTTGTGACAAACAAGACCTTAAGAACACAATAAAGAATTTTTAGAATTAAAGATTTATGATTTAGAGTTTGATTTTACTTTATTTATGCAAATTAGAATTAAAGATTTATTGATTTAGAGTTACTTTATTAAAGAAAAATTATATTGAGTTGAGATGGAAGGAGTATACATATATATATCAAAAAAGAAAATATTAGCAATATTGATCACACCATTAGGATAATAAATAAACCCAAAAAAAAATAAAAAAAAATAATACACTCCAAAAAAATTGATGAGCTAATATTTCATTTAATTATTTAATTCTAGTCATGGAACTAATCAAATTATTATTATACATAATTGAAAGAGGAAACATACCCAAAATAATAGGCACAAATTATCGACTATGGACCAATTAATTAAGTAATTAAACAAGTGGTTAGGTGTTACGTGATAGGAAAGCAAGTCATTTATGCTATCCCTATTTGTAGGAATGTTTAATTTCATTTGGTATGTGAAGAAGCACTCCATGTTGTTGTTGTTATTATTGTTGATCTATTCACTATACAAACTCACAACGTGCTATTGATCGAAAGTTATCTGAATTCGATATTATATGCCCGTGTGATTTAAGATGTGTAAGATTACAAAATTTTCGACGAGGATTTGATAATAAAAAAGAACAATTGATTACTAACATTGAATAATAGATTCGACAGAATTTGTATGCCATTCGATAAATTTAATATATATATATGTAAAATTATATTGGCGTCGCATGAAATTATTATTCATATATGTGATTTACTCACATATTAATTTGATCTTATGATTGTAATTCAACATGATAAAGTTTTTTTTTTTTTTTTTAATTCTCTCCGTGCACGAAAAATATGTTAATATGGGTTGCACACGAGTTTTTAATAAATATAGTATTATATTGTTAGATTGTGATATAAAATAACAGTATTTTACTAAATATATGATACACTTTTGATAAAATTGAGTATGTAAGTGCTTGTGCTTGTGATGAGATTTGTATAGTAAAAATTTTGAATTTGAATAATTATATGATATGATATAATTGGGAGTTGATGTGGTGTTTTGAAGGTAAAATTGATTTATAAATAATTGTAATTTGAATGTGTATAAATTCAAAATGTATAAAAATTATTTGTTATAAATAGAAAAAATATATATATTTTTCTGACTTTTTTAATAAGTATTTATATATATATAATTAATTAGATTTGATTACATAAGAAATCTAAACCATCCATTTACACAGCATCCAATGGCTATAAAACCACT